TGAGGGAGGAGCCCAGGAGGATCCGGGTGACTCTGGACTATGAAGGGGACGTGTGTCTTTTTATGCTGCTGACTCAGGAGCCGAACTCTACACGTTCTCAGGAGCCTCGTTCTCTGGAGAGACCCTCCTCCCTATTTTTTACCTGTGGGGAAATTATAAAACCCACCTCAGGATCTCCTGAGGAGACTAAATCTGCCTCTCAGGCCCAGTTGGTAGTTTCTTTCCAGACCGGAATGACAAGTATAAAAACCAACATTTACCTCACAATAGCAGTTTTTGGGTTGCCCTTTGAGAGAATTCATTCCAGTAATGATCTGCAGAAGCAGCAAAACAGACAAAAATTGTAGACTCCCCTCCCCCGCCATTCCCTTGGCAGCAGACAGCAACACTATAAGAGTTCCAATAAATAATACCTCAATAGGAATTCACTGAATTATCTTCAAACAGGCCTTTGGCTGATTGGCATCCAATGCCCTTTTAAATGTGTTGTGGGAGTGCGGATTACAGTGGTACCTCGCAAGACGAATGCCTCGCAAGACAGAAAACTCGCAAGAAGAAAGAGTTTCCGTTTTTCGAGGTGCTTCGCCAGACGAATTTCCCTATGGGCTTGCTTTGCAAGAAGAAAGCCCATAGGGAAATCTCCGGGGACCTCTTTTAAAATGCTGGCGGTCGGGAGCAAAGACTTTCGCCCACCGCCGGCCTTCAGAAGAGGTCCTCTTCTGAAGGCCGGCGGGGGGCAAAAGCCTTTGCTCCCCCCCACCTGCCTTCCCGGGACAGCGGAGACTTCTCCGCTGTCCCGGGGTGATTTTAAAATGCTGGCGGGCGGCAGCGAAGCCTTCACTGCCGACCCCCAACATTTAAAAGCCCCCGGGACAGCGGAGACTTTGCTGCCGCCCGCCAGCATTTTAAAATCGCCCCGGGACAGCGGAGAAGTCTCCGCTGTCCCGGGGGCTTTTAAAATGCTGGCGGTCGGCAGCAAAGCCCTCCTGTCCCCGGAGCTTGTGGGGCGGGAGGTGGGGAGAAGGGCTTTTCTTCCCACCGCCAGCCTTCAGAACAGCCTTCTGAAGGCTGGGGGTGGGAAGAAAAGCCCTTGTCCCCCCCCCAGCCTTCAGAAGAGGTCGGGGGACAGACTGTCCCCGGACCTGGTCTGAAGGCGGTTTCCATAGGAACGCATTGATTGATTTTCAATGCATTCCTATGGGAAACCGTGCTTCGCAAGACAAAAACTCGCAAGAAGAAAAAACTCGCGGAACGAATTAATTTCGTCTTGCGAGGTACCACTGTATTGGTTTGTTTTCGTTCGTTAAATGTTTTGTAATGCGGGTGGCATTTCACTGAGCCTCTTGGGCTTGCTGATCAGAAGGTCGGCAGTTCGAATCTTCTTCTTCTTCTTCTTCTTCTTCTTCTTCTTCTTCTTCTTCTTCTTCTTCTTCTTCTTCTTCTAAAAAAATAGTTTTTATTTGGTTTTACAAGTATAAAGTTATAACATTATCAAATCCACTCAAATTTAGATTTCTCTGAATCTCAAGACTTCCCACCATCCTCTCCATGGGTCCTATTGTCATCATTTTCAGCTGCATATTATTTCATCATCTATATTTTAAGTCTATCCAAGTTATCCAATGTATTTGTTACATTACAAGTGTTGTTAAAATCCTTAAATAAATTATAAATCGTTCTCATTCTTTGTTAAAACTCTTTTGTCTTCTTGGTTCCTAAGCCTTCTGGTCAGTTTTGCCCTTTCAGAAAAACTGCTAGGCAGTGTTTCCCCAGTCTTCAGCCTCAGATATCTCTAATTTGTTCATTTTCTTTCCACGCAAAAAGTCCAAAAGGGGGCTCTTCAATTGTTAATATCACTAAATATCAAGAATATTAATCTTCCAGTCCAGCACAACAACTTTATCTCCATCCGCTCTCATGTGAATTTTCTGGTGTCAAAGGAGAATGGAGTTTGAGGTAAAACGTTTCCCACAGTATGAACAGTTTCAGCCTTGTGTGTATTCTCATATATATATTTTAATTTTTGTTGGAAATTTTATTTACAACATAACATAAACCCCCACTCCCCCAGTACTGAAATACAATAAACATAATATACAACAATACAAACAACCAAATAAAAGACTTCCTTTATCCTGTATCTGGCCTCCTTATTTACTTCTGATGTTTCCTTTATGAATAATTATTAAGATTTTTCTAATTATAACTTAAATATCCACAAAGTCTCCTGCAGACATTAATCGAAACAAGTCCAGGTAGGTATTTTAGGGCACTGTTTTGTGAAGTATTCTCTGCGTTTTCCCCATGCTTTTTGAAACTGTCTAGTGTGATCTCTAGTTGCCTCTGTTAATCTAGCCAGTTCAATATACTCTTAACAGTTTGTCTTGCCATTCCTTTTTTGTTGGCACAATCTCTTTTCCCAGTGTTTAGCAGTTAGGATCCTTGTCGCTCCTGTGGCATAGAGGAATATTTTCTGATCTTCTCTTGCTATACCTGTGTCTGTTATCCCTAGTAGAAAAGCTTCTGTATTTTTCATAAAGTTATACTGAAACATTTTTTTAAGCTCATCATATACTATATTCCAGAATCCGGTGGCGGATGACCCATTCTGAACCTGACTGGACACAGGTTAGAGCTCAATGTCGAGCCTACCAAGTGGCAGTAGCGATGGCGAAGAAGACTTTCTTCACCGCCTCTATTGCATCTGCAGAAAACAGCAGCAGGAGACTTTTTCAGGTGGTCCGCAATTTAGCGGAACCACCTGCTACATCGGGGCCCAGTACGGGCCACATGATCTCCTGCAATGATTTTGCAAAGTTTTTTGCAGATAAAGTCACTCAGATTCGGGAAGAGGTAGATGCCACCGTGGGAGCAGGGCTGGGGCGGGGGAGTGCTAGAGTCCTGTCTAGTCAATTGCGTGGGATCAATTCCAATCTGTTACCTCCGAGGATGTGGACAGGCTGCTTGGACGAGTGAAACCAACCACCTGTCTCCTTGATCCTTGCCCATCCTGACTTATAAAAGCTAGCCGGGAAGGGCTGGGTGATGGGCTTCGTGGGGTGGTGAATGCTTCCCTCCGTGAGGGAGCCTTCCCAGACCCGCTGAAAGAGGCAGTTATTAAACCGCTTTTTAAAAAATCATCTTTAGATGCGGCCACGATGGCCAACTATCGCCCAGTCTCAAATCTTCCATTCTTGGGCAAGGTGACTGAGCGAGTGGTTGCTGAACAACTCCAGGCACGCCTGGAAGAAGCGGACCATTTGGATCCCTTCCAGTCGGGATTCAGGCCTCATCACAGGACTGGTTGATGATCTCCGGCGGGCTAGGGACAAAGGTAAGAGCTGTTTCCTAGTTCTGCTGGATCTCTCAGCGGCGTTTGATACCATTGACCATAGCATCCTTCTGGACCGTCTTGAGGGGCTGGGAGCTGGGGGCACTGTCATACAGTGGTTCCGCTCCTTCCTCCTGGGCCATGTTCAGAAAGTGGTGGTGGGGGATGAGTGTTCAGACCCCTGGGCTCTCACTTGTGGGGTGCCTCAGGGTTCTGTCCTCTCCCCCATGCTTTTAACATCTACATGCAGCCGCTGGGAGAGATCATCAGGGGGTTTGGGCTGGGTGTTCATCAGTATGCGGATGATACCCAGCTCTACCTCTCTTTCAAATCAGAACCAGTGAAGGCGGTGACGGTCCTGTGTGAGTGTCTGGAGGCGGTTGGAGGATGGATGGCAGCTAACAGATTGAGATTGAATCCTGACAAGACAGAAGTACTGTTTCTGGGGGACAGGAGGCGGGCAGGTGTGGAGGATTCCCTGGTCCTGAATGGGGTAACTGCCCCTGAAGGACCAGGTGCGCAGCCTGGGAGTCATTTTGGACTCACAGCTGTCCATGGAGGCACAGGTTAAATCCGTGTCCAGGGCAGCTGTGTACCAGCTCCATCTGGTACGCAGGCTGAGACCCTACCTGCCTGCAGACTGTCTCGCCAGAGTGGTGCATGCTCTGGTTATCTCCTGCTTGGACTACTGCAATGCGCTCTACGTGGGGCTACCTTTGAAGGTGACCCGGAAACTACAACTAATCCAGAACGCAGCAGCCAGACTGGTGACTGGAAGCGGCCGCCGAGACCTACATTGGCTCCCAGTACGTTTCCGAGCACAATTCAAAGTGTTGGTGCTGACCTTTAAAGCCCTAAACGGCCTCGGTCCAGTATACCTGAAGGAACGTCTCCACCCCCATCGTTCTACCCAGACACTGAGGTCCCGCACCGAGGGCCTTCTGGCGGTTCCCTCACTACGAGAAGCCAAGTTACAGGGAACCAGGCAGAGGGCCTTCTCGGTAGTGGCGCCCTCCCTGTGGAACGCCCTCCTACTAGATGTCAAAGAGAACAACAACTACCAGACTTTTAGAAGACATCTGAAGGCAGCCCTGTTTAGGGAAGCTTTTAATGTTTGATGTATCACAGTATTTTAATATTCTTTTGGAAGCCGCCCAGAGTGGCTGGGGAAACCCAGCCAGATGGGCGGGGTATAAATAATAAATTATTATTATTATTATTATTACTGGCAAGTCAGGTGTCCTCCATCTTAAATTTGCACTATTCCTGCCTAAGTGTAGAACCAGACATTTGTCCATATGGAAATTCAGTTACTGGGGCCCAGTTCTCCAATCTGTTAATGTCATCCTGAAACGAAATATAGTATTCTGTGGCATTAACTATTTCTCCCAGTTTGGTGTTACCTGCAAATTTAATCAGCATCCCCTCAAATACCTTCACCCAAGTTGTTTATAAAGACGTTGGAAAACAATGGGCCCAGGACCCTGCAGCACCCCACTTGTCACCTTTTTCCAGGATGATGAGGAACCATTAATGAGTACTCTTTGACCTCAAAGAGTACTCATTAATGGTTCCTCATCATCCTGGAAAAAAGTTGTAGTCAACCAGCTACAAATCCACCTCTAAGAGTAACATATGGGGCTGGGCAGATTATGGACAACACTACTGGTTCCTTTTTTCCACATTTTATTTTTATTGATACTCATCCAAAGATATTCAAAAGTTTATACACAGTGCAAAGTATATTCTTATACCTGAATAAAAGAAATATTTTTTAAAAATCTAATCTAAAAAGAAATAGGAGCAGGGAGAAGGGAAAAAAATAAACAGAAGAAAAAGGGAGAAATAGAAAAAGATGGAAAGACTTCTGATTCTCTGTCAAGTAAATATAACAACTTGTTCTAAGCATTCACTCAAATTGACATCCAATCGTTCTATTTTCTATAAGCCAATATTATTTTCGATCTTCAGATCCAGATACTGCATGTTGACTGTCTCTTTCACACAAAAACCCCACAGTAATTTTCCAATCCTTAATAAATATCAATTGATTTCTTTTTATTAAATTCCCAACCTTCTTCCTCCCAGAAGAGCCCAGGGTGGCAAAGCAATGAGTAGCCAAGGGACACAAAACAAAACATATTTAAGCCATTTAAAAGCAGTCTAAATATCTGAAAACATTTTACAACACCAAAAGGTCATTGTTAACATCTCTCAGTCGGGTTACCCACATGCCAACGTTTTTTTATTTACTGTTACATTTATACCTCACATTTTCTCTAGGGAGATAAAGTAGGTCCGTGGTTTTTCCTGTCCTCATTTCCCCTTGTGAGGTAGGCTAGGGTCCTCAGAAGCACTCAATGGACTTTGTGGCTGTTCGGCGGGATTTGAATCTGCATCTCCCAAGTCCTTGTGCTACACAGTGGACCACACTGCCTCTCTCTATGGTGGTGGTGGTGTTAATGGACTGCAAAGATGTTTTTTAAATGGTTGAAAAGAAACATGCTGTGTAAGAGCATGAAAGTTGTAGGGCATTGAAAGGGAAGCAGGTGGGGGCATGTCCTGTAATTATATATCAGGAGAGGTGTCACTAGTAATGGGGTTAGAAGATAAATGTACTTTTTTAAAAAATGGGGGAGGGGGTCAAGGGAATCAGAAGTTGTGCCTCCTCTGCCACAATGTCCTTCCTGCTATTCTCTTCCTTTCCTTTGAGAGAGTCTCCCTACTCAGCCTCATCCCCACCACCCTGCAGCTGTCCCTTTGGCGCCTGTGTTTCTGCCGCTGCCCCCCAGGACCCTCCTCGCCCCCTCATTTTTTGGCCCCCACTAAGCACTTCCTGCCAGAACAAGGGCAGGTGCCACCATCATGTCACCAATTGGACACAGCACCCCAGGTTAACATACCCAGCACTCCTCCAGGTTAACATACCCAAGCTCCTTCAACCATTCCTCATAAGGCCTGGTTTCCTTAGTTTTCTGGGGAACTCCAGCACATGAAGTGGCTGATGGCGGGCACGTAGGTGGCACAACAAGGTTAAGAGGAGCCTTCTGGATCAGTCCCTGGTCCATCTAGCCAGACATTTTTATTGCCTTATATGACAAAATGTATTACTCGATCGTAAAAACAAAACTTCTAAGCAGTTTACAAGAAATTCTAAACAGATCGGTTAAAAGCAGTTAAAAACAAGTAATTAGAAACCTTAAAAAAAACAAAAAACAGCAGTAAATTGAGGAGAAGTTAAAACTCTCCAATGTCTGGACAAAATGCTTTTCAGCAGGTGTCAAAAAGAAAGCGGCAAAGGTACCTGCCTGATGTCCAGAAGGCTAAGTCCCACAAGCATCCTGTTCTTGCAGGAGCTGACAGGAGGCTTGTGAGAAACCCCAAGTGGGAACTGGTCACAAAAGTCCTTTCCTCTCTGCTTTCATCAACCAGTATTCAGATGCGTACACAGGCAGTCCTTGTTTTGTGTGGGGGTTACGTTCTGGACGCTCATGTGCATAAACCTACCCTACCCTGCCCTGCCCGCCCCCCCTTTTGTGACAACTTTATGACCTTTGGGGGCTACTACTGGGTTTGGTGCCATGCACGCCTGCGAAATCAGACGCCGCTAAACCGGTCGTAGCCTGTAATGCCTCTGAAATCTGACCAAGCGCAGGTTCACGCACGCCCTTCATATTCACGAGGAATTTCAAAACATTACAATTTTAACATTTTTAAATGAGGCCTTTGATGGCTAAAATATACAACACCAAGAGAAGTACGTTGTGCAAGCGGGAGGCAGTGACTGGCTGTCACCCATAACTTCTAGTTCACGGGCTTACAAACTGTTCTTGAAGACCTCCACAAACCGAGCATTGAAGCTGGTTCTCTCTGTGCTTCCGCACATGGGCAAGCAGTTCAGCACTGACTCCAAAGTTTTCCCCGCAGATAAAACACGCCAACGGCTCCTCTGCCGTGTGGGTCTTCTCATGTTCAACGAGCTCCGAGTTTTTTACGAAGCCTTTCCCGCAGTAGCAGCAGAAGGCTGTGTGGCTACTCTCGCGGGACAGAAACTGCGAGTTCCAAAGGAAGAACTTCCCGCAGTGCGAACATTTATATGGCTTATGCGGTGTGTCGCCTCTGTGAGTTTGCCGATGAGCTTTGAGCTCCCACCAGTTTATGTAGGATTCCAGGCAAAAGCAGCATTTATAAGGTTTCTCGCCTCTGTGGAGTTGCTGGTGTTTGAGGAGGACCGACTTGGAGGAGTAGCTTTTCTCGCATTCTGTGCAGGAATAGCGTTCTTCTCTCCCACGGGTTTTTACTTGAGGGATCCAGTGAAAGTTTTTCCCGCAGTGGGAACATTTATGTGCAGTCTGGCCAGTCTGGATTGTCTCTTTCTTTCCACAGTGGGAGCATTTATACAGTTTCTCACCTACGTGGCTCCTCTCATGTATCAAAAGGTCTGAGCTGCTGCTGAAGCTCCGACTGCATTGCCAACACTTGTATGGCATCTCCTCTGTGGGAATAGCCCCGTCTGTACTCCCGTGGGCCTTTTGACCACAGATTTCCCCACCCGTGTCATATTCCATGTCATTCTCTTTATGCTGCTGGGCGGCATCTTTGCAAACCCCCTTTTGGATAATAAATGGATCTGCTTTCTTCTCTGTGTCTTTCCTCTTCTGTGTCTCTGCCCTACGCTGGTTCTTATCAGCTTCTCCCTGGCCCAGGAAATCCTTCTCTTGGCCTGCTTTCAAGGTTGTCTTCCGCTGCTCTGTTTGTTCAGGACTTTCTCGCCAGCGCTTCTGCCCCTTGCTTTCACTCAGTCGCCTGTCCCCTGCTGGAAGAAAAAGAGAATCAGGGTAGGAATCAGACACAGCTCCAACCAGGGCTTTTTTTTCAGCCAGAACACACTGGAGTTTGGTTCTGGCTCCTCTCAGGTGGGTGTTATTGCCATTATAAGAGAACAAGGGAAGTGTTCATGGTGAGTTCTGGCACCTCTTTTTTCTAGAAAAATAGCACTGGCTCCAGCTTTGCTCTTTGTGAAGAAGTGCTTCCTGTTTTGTCTATCATGAATCTTCTACCACTTGTGATACAAAGTATTATGAGGAAGTGGACTTCTTTTTTGTCCCTATTCCCTTTTCTCCATTCCATGCCTACAGCTCGACTATGTTTTCCCCACCAAATTAAATAGCCCCCAAAATTTATAAGCCATTTGATTTTAGAGAACCCCAAAACAGTTTTAAAAAATAATAAAACAGTAAGATTGCGCTGGATTATGGAGAAAGCTAGAGAGTTCCAGAAGGACATCTACTTCTGCTTCATTGACTATGCAAAAGCCTTTGACTGTGTCGACCACAGCAAGCTATGGCAAGTTCTTAAAGAAATGGGAGTGCCTGATCACCTCATCTGTCTCCTGAGAAATCTCTACATGGGACAAGAAGCTACAGTTAGAACTGGATATGGAACAACTGATTGGTTCAAAATTGGGAAAGGAGTACAGCAAGGCTGTATATTGTCTCCCTGCTTATTTAACTTACATGCAGAATAATCATGCGAAAGGCTGGGCTGGATGAATCCCTAGCCGGAATTAAGATCACCGGAAGAAATATCAACAACCTCAGATATGCAGATGACACAACCTTGATGGCAGAAAGTGAGGAGGAATTAAAGAACCTTTTAATGAGGGTGAAAGAGGAGAGTGCAAAATATGGTCTGAAGCTCAACATAAAAAAAAATGAAGATCATGGCCACTGGGCCCATCACCTCATGGCAAATAGAAGGGGAAGAAATGGAGGCAGTGAGAGATTTTACTTTCTTGGGCTCCATGATCACTGCAGATGGTGACAGCAGTCATGAAATTAAAAGACGCCTGCTCCTTGGGAGAAAGGCGATGGCAAACCTAGACAGCATCCTAAAAAGCAGAGACATCACCTTGCCAACAAAGGTCCGTATAGTTAAAGCCATGGTTTTCCCAGTAGTGATGTATGGAAGTGAGAGCTGGACCATAAAGAAGGCTGATCGCCAAAGAATTGATGCTTTTGAATTATGGTGCTGGAGGAGACCTTTGAGAGTCCCATGGACTGCAGAAGATCAAACGTATCCATTCTTAAGGAAATCAGCCCTGAGTGCTCACTGGAAGGACAGATCGTGAAGCTGAGGCTCCAATACTTTGGCCACCTCATGAGAAGAGAAGACTCCCTGGAAAAGACCCTGATGTTGGGAAAGATTGAGGGCACAAGAAGGGGACAACAGAGGACGAGATGGTTGGACAGTGTTCTCGAAGCTACTGAGTCTGACCAAACTGCGGGAGGCAGTGGAAGACAGGAGTGCATGGCGTGCTCTGGTCCATGGGGCCACGAAGAGTCGGACACAACGAAACGACTAAACAACTAAACAACAACAAAAGATTGCACTAAAAACAATTAAAATGCTCAGAAAATTAAAACCAGCAATAAACCGAAAACAAATCAGCATTCTAATATCTTACTAGGGTTGTCTATAAACAAAAAATGTTTTAACAGGAGTCAAAAAGGGTATGCTTGCCTAATGTCAATAGGCAGGGAGTTCCAATGTGTAAGTGTCACCACAATAAGATCAATTTCTAACAAATGCGGAACCTTTTATTCTAGAGGAGGTGATCATTTCTGAAGTTCCTTTCTGCACATTTTCCAGTTCTAACTCTATCTATCTGTGTGCAGTGGTGCCTCGCGAGTTTTTTCGTCTAGCGAATTTTTCGTCTTGCGAAGCACGAAATCCCATAGGAATGCATTGAAATTCAATTAATGCGTTCCTATGGTCAAAAAAGTCCAAACAAAGCCAAATTTGGTACAACAAGAGTTTATTAAGTGCTCTTTAAAGTCACGCATACTGTAAAGAGCATTTCAAAAATTGAAGGAACAATAAAGTTTCTAAACATGACAGAAAAACATTTAAAAATCAACAAAGTGTACAGTACATTTTCTAAGACTCTGGGGGACAACTCGAAGAAGGTTCCTTTTTAAAAAAAAAATGATATTTATTAGAAATTTAAAGATTACAGAGAAAAGAAAAAAAGAAAACAACAAAAAATGTAACATAACATACATTACAATACATAAAAAAGGGGGGGGGTACATAAAAAACCAATACAATACAGCAAAAAAAACACACATCCAATATTCCATATCTTTATCTTTCATTTGCTTGTTTCATCGACCTCCTCACACCTCCCTTTTTGTGTTCTAGTTTAATTAATTGTTTCAGCAAATTCTTTCCATCTTTCTCAATTTTTGTTGGGTAATTTATCTTAACAGTCTAACCTAATAATTAACTCAGCAAATCCTTTCCATCTTTCACTATATTCTGTCATTCAATTTGCCTTAATTTATTTTAACCTTATCTTACCATAAAATACCTTAAAGCTTAAAACCTAATACTTAGTTATACATAACTCCTTATATCATTTCTACTAAAGCCAGATAGTTTCATTCCAATATTTCCCTAATATTCATTAATTTTACACTAATTCCCCAAAATTTTTTTTTATAAACTTTCTTCCAATCTTCATCCAACATCTCTTCTTCCTGGTCTCGGGTTATGTCAGTCCTTACTGTCCATTCCATCTAGTCCATCAACCTGGTAATCTTATGTCCGAGGCTCTTAAGTCTTTTCCATGTCCCTTCTGCAGATCTTCTTCTTGTTTATACCTGCACTTTTCCTTGTCTTTTGTTGATCTCTTTCTTAATTTCTTTCCTTTCTCATTGAGGAGTAGGTCTCGGGGAGACTCCATCCCAAAATTATCTCCATCTCCCCTCATCAGATCAGCCCATTCCCCACAGTCCCACTCCCCACAGTCAGCAGTGTAATCCAGAAAATATTTAAAAGCATGTTTCAAAGTCCCTCCAAGATTAAGAGCCCCCACAGCTCCAGACTCCCCCGGCCCACTCCGAATTCAATCTTCAAGAACGACGGCTTATGCTTCTGCAGGGCCTCGGGTCTCTCCATTTGTATTACTTGAGGTTCAACAGCAACCTCCTCCATTATCTTCTGCACTTGCACTTGCCCTGTCAAAACAGGTTCCTGAGTTGGTTCCTGAATGGTTTCTATATGAGTATTCGCCGTTTGTCCAAAGTTTTTAACTGCAACAGTCATCAAATCCATCTTCTCATGCATCTGCTCCAACAAAGCGCTTGTCTTGCAAAAAGCAAGCACCAAAACTTCTTCTAAACACATTTTTTATTCAAGGTCAGAGACTGGTCCCACGATCCTAATCTCCCAGCTGTGAAATCCCCAAATTGACTGCAGCAACAATTTAACAAGCTCCCTCTAGAGGAGACAATTTCTATTTGTATCCATCTTTTAAAAGCAGGTCCAACAAAGGAAAATTACTTTCATTTTTCAAATATTTTGTTTCTTTTGAATGCAAAAGGCAACATTGGAATCAATTTGTTTCTCTTTTTTTTAGCTATCTGTCAAAGACGTTCCCTTCACAGTCAATGAATATCCCCAAAAATTTCTGTCTCTGACACCCCGTTCCCAGGTTTGAGACAGTGGAAATTTATCTTTCTTTACTCTCTCTCCTGCAGGCTTGAACAGTCAAAGTCCCCCCCCCTTTTCTCCTGCTTCCAAGGGGGGTTTTGGTGGTTATAAATGAAGGAAATTTAGACCTTTATATACGACTTTCCAGACTTTAGCTTGCAAGGTTTTTGCTTCAGTCTATTTACAAAAGCGGAAGGCGGACTTCCTGTTTTGAACCTTCCCACTTCGGTACCAAATTAACATGTTTCTTAATCCAATTTTCCGTTTCTACTCACGGGTACTTGTTTAGAGTCCAATTGTCCACAGGAAAAAGTCAGTGCTCTCCGGCAACGGCTGTGCGGCTTCACTCTGTAAAAGTAGCAGTCGATTCAAAACACCGCGCTGCTCACCCCACGTCACTTCGGATCCCCGAAAAAGGGTTTCCAACTCGAAGAAGGTTCCTCTTCCACTCTTTGCTTCTTGCTGAAGAACCTGTCCATGGTCTGCTGCTTCATCCGCCTTTTCAGCTCCTCCCTGAAAGGCGACATGACCCTCGTATCAAAAGTGTTCGCAAGGTCATGTGCCACGCGCTTGTCAGGGTGGTGCCGCTGTGCAAAAGCCTGCACATGCTTCCACTTCAGGCAAATGTCCCTCAGTTCTTTGGAGGACAGCTGTTCCTCAGTTGCTTCCTCCTCTTCCAGCGAGGCCTGCTCCTGTGCAGCCTCTGCCTGCAGTTCGACCAGCTCCTGGGTGGTCAGCTCGTGGTTGTGCTCCTCCACCAGCTCGCTGATGTCCTCCTCTGTGACCTCTAGGCCCATGGTCCTCCCCAAGGCAACAATGTCCTGCACCACTGTTGACTCTGGTGCATCAGAGTCACTTGGTGCCACACAGTCCGGCCACAGGCTGCGCCAAGCGCAATTCAAATTTCTCTGGCTGATCCCGTTCCAGGCCGTGGTGATCATCTTCAAGCAGGTGACGATGTCGAAGTGGTCCTTCCAGAATTCCTGCAGGGTGATGGTGGTGCAATCAGTCACCTCGAAGCATCGCCTGAAAAGCTCCTTGGTGTAGAGTTTTTTGAAATTGGCGATGACCTGCTGATCCATCGGCTGGAGCAGTGGCGTGGTGTTAGGCGGCAGGAACATGATGCTGATGAAGCTGAACTCCTCCAACAAGTCCTCCTCAAGGCCTTTAGGATGAGCAGGAGCATTGTCCATCAGAAGCAAAGCCTTCAGCGGCAGGTCGTTGTCCAGCAGGTACTGTTTGACAGCAGGGCCAAAAGCAAGATTGACCCAGTCCACAAACAGCACACGTGTGACCCAAGCCTTACTGTTGGATCGCCACATGACACTCAGCTGCTCCTTGTCGACCTTGTGTTTCTTGAAGGCCCATGGGTTCTCCGAGTGGTACACCAGCAGGGGCTTGATCTTCAGGTCGCCGCTTGCGTTGGCACAAAAGAGCAGGGTCAGACGGTCCTTCATGGGCTTGTGGCCAGGCAACTTGGCCTCCTCCTGTGTGATGAAAGTCCTTTTGGGCATCCTCTTCCAAAATAGCCTGGTCTCGTCGCAGTTGAAGACCTGCTGTGGAACGTAGCCCTCCGTCTTCACAACCTCCAGGAACTCCGCTGCAAAGTCTTCAGCTGCAGAAACATCAGAACTGGCAGCCTCTCCATACCTGACCACGCTGTGGATTCCAGATCTTGCCTTGAACCGGTTAAACCAGCCTCTGCTTGCCTTGAAGACTTCTGGCTCGCCTGAGGTTCCTGGCTGTTCCCGGACGAGGTCTGCGTGCAAGGCCTTGGCCTTCTCACAAATGACAGCCTCAGTCACTGTGTCCCCTGCACGCTGCTTCTCTTCTAACCAGATGAGCAGCAACTTCTCCACCTCCTCCAGAACAGCTGGGCGGTTCTTCACGATCCTGGTGACTCCCTTGGCTGCATCAGTCGCAAGGATCTTCTCCCTCATCTTCAGGATGGTCGCGATGGTCGATGGACTCCTCCCATACTCCCTGGCGAGGTCTGTCACACGCATTCCACCGACGTGCTTCCGGATGATCTCCTTCTTCATTTCCAGCGTAACCTTCTCCTTCTTCCCCTCGCCGGCCTCTGCAGCAGCAGTCTTCTTGGGTCCCATGGCAGCACAGCTCCTACCTTCGCAAACCCAAAAAATAAATAAATCAGTGCTTCACATCCAAAAAATTCAAAAGCACCCAGCCACCCACCACACAGAAATTCAAACCCAGAACCAAGTCCTTGAATTCCAAACACCCCAACACAAAATCCAAAAACCCCCCAAAAAGTTTTAAAAGTTTAACTTACCGAATGGCTGCAAAAGAAGTTTTGGAAAAGCTTCAAAAATCACCAAAGTCTTCAAAAACCTCAACTATTCCCCCAGCCATCCACCACACAGAAATTGCAAACCCCTCCCCAACTGTTCCCCCAGCCCCTCCCCAACTGTTGCAAACCCCTCCCCAACTGTTCCCCCAGTCACCCACCACACAGAAATTCAAACTCAGATTTTTAAAAAAAAAAACAGCAGAGTGGCCCAATGGTCACAGAAAATCATAAAAATGCAGGAAAAAACCACACAAGCTTCCAGATTCTTGCAAACCCCTCCCCAACTGTTCCCCCAGCCACCCACCACACAGAAATTCAAATCCAGAATTTTTTTAAAAAAACAGCAGGGTGGCCCAATGGTCACAGAAAATCATAAAAATGCAGGAAAAAACCACACAAGCTTCCAGATTCTTGCAAACCCCTCCCCAACTGTTCCCCCAGTCACCCACCACAAAGAAATTAAAACACAGAATTTTTTTAAAAAAACAGCAGAGTGGCCCAATGGTCACAGAAAATCATAAAAATGCAGAAAAAACCACACAAGCTTCCAGATTCTTGCAAACCCCTCCTCAACTGTTCCCCCAGCCACCCACCACACAGAAATTCAAATCCAGATTTTTAAAAAAAACAACAGCAGAGTGGCCCAATGGTCACAAAAAATCATAAAAATGCAGAAAAAAACCACACAAGCTTCCAGATTCTTGCAAACCCCTCCTCAACTGTTCCCCCAGCCACCCACCACACAGAAATTCAAATCCAGATTTTTTTTAAAAAAAAAAACAGCAGAGTGGCCCAATGGTCACAGAAAATCATAAAAATGCAGGAAAAAACCACACAAGCTTCCAGATTCTTGCAAACCCCTCCCCAACTGTTCCCCCAGCCACCCACCACACAGAAATTCAAATCCAGATTTTTTTAAAAAAAAACCAGCAGAGTGGCCCAATGGTCACAAAAAATCATAAAAAATGCAGGAAAAAACCACACAAGCTTCCAGATTCTTGCAAACCCCTCCCCAACACCAGGTCCTTGAATTCTAAACACCCCAACCCAAAATCCAAAAAAAACCCCAAAAAAGTTTTAAAAGTTTAACTTACCAAATGGCTGCAAAAGAAGTTTTGGAAAAGCTTCAAAAATCACCAAAGTCTTCAAAAACCTCAAAAAAGACTACCACACCGCGTGCTATGAGTTGCTCCTCGAAGTCAAGTCGCAACTGCACCTCTTCAAGCAATGCACCCTGGGTATTAACGGTTTTACGAAAAAGGAAACAAACTTGCAAGACGTTTTCGTCTTGCGAAGCAAGCCCATAGGGAAATTCGTCTTGCGAAGCACCTCAAAAAATGAAAAACCCTTTCGTCTAGCGAGTTTTTCGTCTTGCGAGGCATTCGTCTTGCGGGGCACCACTGTGTTTCTGAATTGCATATATAGGTACTGAATTTTTTTGAATTACAAATGCAATTTTAAAAATGGACCTGTCGGCCAAATAGGGAAGCTCAGCACCCAGCCCTGGTCTAGAGTAACAGGCTTCCCTCTCTGTGCTTCTTCCCCCTTTGCAAAAATGATTGATCTGCCCCATAATTGAGCAGGACCACTACTCAGCAGGCAGTGGCCAGTTGTGTGGACAGTTTTAGGCCCCCAAACCCACAGAGCTTGAAGGTGACCTGGGAAGACGAGCCTTAAATTTTATGTGGGGGGAAAGCCACAAAACTGGAAATTCAGGAGTCCCTGAGGTATTCGAAGAGACAGACCCCAGAGGAACTCACCCAATAAGCTCACACTCTGCTTGTCCCCCTGCTTGGGCCTTGTGGAAAGCTGCATCTTCACCTTGCCCGGCAGAGCCTGTTCTGCCTTTGGGGATTTACAAGCTCCTTTTCTGACATCTCTGTGATCTGCCAGTGGGGAAGATGGAGGGGAGAAGAGTCAGTTCAAAACCAAGTCACAGTGCAGGCAAAATGTGTGTTTAGAGGATGGTGATAAATGTTACTTATTACAAGGACTTGATATTATCACAATCCGTCACAAGAATGTAAGGACATAATATGAGCCCCCTAGTCTCTCATAACACAAAGGGGAATGAAGAGGGTGGAGCAAAGGGAGACAAGAGGAAGGAGTCTCAGGTTCCTCACAACTGCCTCATTGGGTCAAGATCTACTGGGAAGAATTGCTGTGATCACTAGGCCTGAGCTGCTTTGTTTCTTTGAATAAAGAGTGAATTTCACTGACACTTTGTGAGTTACTGCTGACTTGCTCCCCACTCCTGCCTTGACACTGGCTTTGTCAAGGTGGCTGGGTGCCCAACTGGGGCTTTCTGCTTACGAACATTGTTGTATGTCGCTTTGGGTTGCATTGGCAAAAAAACAGAGTGATAATAAGTTATAATAATAATAATAGCACAGTGGTACCTCGGGTTAAGTACTTAATTTGTTCTGGAGGTCCGTTCTTAACCTGAAACTGTTCTTAACCTGAAGCACCACTTTAGCTAATGGGGCCTCCCGCTGCCGCCGCACCGCCAGAGCACAATTTCTGTTCTCATCCTGAAGCAAAGATCTTAACCCGAAGTACTATTTCTGGGTTAGTGGAGTCTGTAATCCGAAGCGTATGTAACCTGAAGCATATGTAAGCCGAGGTACCACTGTAGTAGTAGTAGTCATAGCAACTCAAGACCCAAGAGTGGTTCAAGGGCACCATTTTCGAAACCCAATTCAGGCATGCTTATGATGCCTGCAGTACACATTTAAAGCACATGGCTTCTCCCCATTGAGTTCTGGGAACTGTAGTTTACTCCTCACAGAGCTACAACACACAGCACCCTTAATAAACTACAGTTCCCAGGACACTTTGGAGGAAGCCATATGGTCCACATGTGCATCAAATGTATGCTGTGGATGGGACCAAGGAGACAACTTTGGAAACATCATCTTACCTGTACTTCCCAGCTGTTGACCTCATTCTGACTCAGAAGGAATTCCTCTGCCAGGGTCACTGCCCAGGCACAGCTCCCTGGGTTACGTTCCCTCACCCAGCTCTGCATCTCCAGTGGCAGGACAGCCAGGAACTGCTCCAGGGTCACCAGCTCCAGGATCTGCTCCTTGGTGTGTCTCTCTGGCTTCAGCCACTGATGGCAACACTCCTGGAGCTGCCTGCAAAGCTTGTAAGGCCCATCTGCCTCTTCGTAGCAGAGCTCACGAAAACACCGGCGCTGCCTCTCCATCTCGGCACCGTCCCCAGACGGAGTTCTTGCCTTCTCCTTCCCACTGGGAGTGGCACCCAAATCGGTCTCATGGTCCTCTTGGGCTTCCCCAGCAAGACATGGCTGGATTTGGGAAGCCCACAATGCTCTGGGCCAGCTGTGGTCACTTGTCACTCCCTCAGAAGTAACCTCCAATACTTTGGGATTGTCCCAATCCCTTGTCTCAGGCACTTGTGGGTTTCCCTCTCCAGAATGGGAATCCTGTAGCATCTTCAAAAACTCCTGCAACTGGGCGTCCCAGTTCCTTGACGGCTCATCGTTTGGCTCCTGTTTCACATTTTGTTGGGCTTCCACAAGGAGAACTTCCTTGAGCCTCCCAGTTTTCGGACAAATTGATCTTTGCTCTCCAAATTCAGGGCTCCAGCTCTGCTCCATTTTGATTTCGGGTTCCATGGCCAGCTTTAGCACCAGCCACAATCTCTTGTGTCACAGCCTTTTTCCTCCCACAGGGACTGGCCTTGTTGTGCCTCTTCTCTGCTCTCTCTTTCACTATCAACCCTTTAGGGATGCCTCAGCGCTCTTGCTAATATCCTTGTCCTTCAGCTAAAGATATTCATCCAGCTGGACTCTTCAAATGAGACTGCAAATCATCTGGATCTTTCAACAACTAGCAGAATCTGACTGTCCTTGAAGCTAATACGACCAAACTTCACCTACTGAGGGGGGAGTGGAGGGAAAAATAAGAGAGAAAATCTATAGGACTGAAGACTAAATAAAACCTCTCGGGATCTCTGAATACCCCATATTAATTGGGTCTGCTATTTCTCCACCTCCAAAAATCTATTTTAATAACTGTTACGGAAATTACTAGGGGGGGTGCATCTTTAAATTAAATATTACAAATATTATGCCTGAATGTATCCTTTCAACTTGACAGCTCAGGGAAGTTACCTAGCTTTAAAAATAGTATAAAATCATCTCCTTTCCCAGTTTCCTCCATTCCAAAGCTATTTTCCCCTTGAAAAGGACTCCAGGAAGTTCCCAGAGGTGACAATAGCTGGGCTCATTGTTAGCCAAGGGAAGCCAAATCTCATCACCCGACTCGCCTCAGGCTCCAGACATGCAAAGGAACTTCTATTGTACTTTTGGGTGGTGGGTACTTAAGACATATTTGTCTATGCTAATCTTATACCTGAGTCTTGCCCTGCCATGTCTGCTTATGCTAATCTTGTACCAAGGACTTGTCTGGACATGTTTGCCAAGGTTAACCCCTCCCCTTTTGTGATATGTCAGTGATGTAGCAATGATGCTGTACAAACTGTATTCTGGGATATGGTGGGAAAGTTTTAAAAGTCTTTGTCACCCCATCCTCAGGGTTCAAATTTGCTCTTTGAACCTATTGCGCAATAAACTTTGGTCTACAGCTATTTGCTCTGGTTGGCTGAAATCCTTCCTTTATTCCGCAGGGACCCGCGGGCTCTGCCCGACAAGCTGGTTGACTGAGCAGCCTCGCACCTAGATTTTACCATAACATTCCTAAGGAGCCTACAGACAAAAATACTCAAGGCACATGATACTTAATTCCCCTCCTGTGCTCACAAGCCAAGGTGATGTAAACAGCCAGGATAGCTTACTACAGCCTCTAAAACACTTTAAAACAATCCCAGAGTCCCCTAGAAAACGGTTGGATTGAGAAGACACTCTTGGAATTGGGAGGGGAATGTGGGCATGTGTCTCTTAACAATTCTCAGTTCCCTTAACAAATTGCGCTCCCCAGGAGGAAGCAGCGACTGCTGAAAGTGGTATGAGACTGCTTTAAATGTATAGTGCAGTTAAGGCCATACATAAGATTGGGTGTGGGTGGGGGTTCTCAGCAGCCCCGAAGCAGGGCTGGCCTAAGACATTTTGCAGGGCGGAAAACAGCACCCAGCACTTGGAAAATCTAGCCGTGCAGTGGGAGGGGACCTCTGAGGGTCATCTAGTCCAGCCCCCTGGAACGCAGTAAGATGCAGGTGCCCCATATGGGGACTTGAACCCAAACCTCAATGTTATCAGCACCATGCTCTAAGCAACGGAGCTATCAGCAACCAAAGGCACAGCACCCAAGCCTGGCCATTCAAAACCAGTTCCCCAATTCATTCTGCTTAATGGGAGGGCCAGCTTGCAACTTTTACCAGCGGCTGACCCAAGTGACGGGGATGCCTCCGTCGCCCTGGTCCTCTTGTCTTATGAGACCTCCCCAAGCTCAGAATAAAGAGCAATAAAAAAAATTTAATTAAATTAAAACAGAAGCAGACTCTCCGCTTCTTCCCGCCTTTCACTCACCTGCTCTCTCATTTCCCTCGCGGAGAACCTGCCGCCAGCTACGTCATTCTCAGGTGCCAGTCAAGAGAGGGAGGGAGGGAACCGGAAAGCAGCGTCTCCCTTCCGCCTGCCCCTGCGCATCATTTTCCTTTGACATATGCTTGGGCCGCTCTAGGATTCGGACCTCTGTTACTTTAACCCCTTCATAGCTTGTGGCCCTTCATAGCTTGTGTCACAGAACTTGCCTGAGAAAGAGATGGGCTGGAAGTCTCATAACTGAATGTCAATGGTGCAAAGCGATGCCTGCATTTCCCCCCAAAAATTAGAATGGAAGTTTATTTTAGAAATCACAGTGGACATAAAACCATGCAATAAAAAAATATACAATCAGAAATCAGATAACTAGTGTGGAAACATGTGTTCTTAGTTGCCCAACACGCTCCCTCTGCACTACACTGCTTTAGTAATAATAGCAATAATTTTCTTATTTATAACCCACCCATCAGCCACTCTGGGCGGCTTACAACATATATAAAACTTAGTAAAATATCAAACATTAAAAACTTCATGATACAGGGCTGCCTTCAGATGTCTTCTAAAAGTTGTATACAGTGGTACCTCGGGTTTCATACACTTCAGGGTACAGATGCTTCAGGTTACAGACTCTGCTAACCGAGAAATAGTACCTCGGGTTAAGAACTTTGCTTCAGGATGAGAACAGAAATCGTGTGGCGGCAGCAGCAGGAGGCCCCATTAACTAAAGTGGTGCTTCAGGTTAAGAACAGTTTCAGGTTAAGAACGGACCTCTGGAACGAATTAAGTACTTAACCCGAGGTACCACTGTAGTTCTTTATCTCCTTGACATCTGGTGGGAGGGCATTCCACAGGGCGGGCGCCACTACCGATAAGGCTCTCTGCCTCGTTCCCTGTAACTTCACTTCTCACAGTGAGGGAACTAGCAGAAGACGCTTGGAAACGGACCTGTGTCTGGGCTGAATGATGGGGGTGGAGACGCTCCTTCAGGCAGGGCCAAGGCCATTTAGGGCTTTAAAGGTCAGCACCAGCACTTTGAATTGTGCTCGGAAATGCACTAGAAGCCACTGAAGGTATTTTAGGACAGGTGTTATATTGCCCCAGCGGCTGCCCCTGGTCACCAGTCTAGCTGCCGCATTCTGGATTAGTTGTAGTTTCCAGGTCACCTTCAAAGGTAGCCCCACGTAGGGCGTATTGCAGTAGTCCAAGCGGGAGATAACCAGAGCAGGCACAACTCTGGCTTGTCATCTCTCCAGCTCCGGCAACAAACCCTCAGGCAAAGGCAGACTGAGGGGGAATTTGAAATATACTTAGAGTTGAGAGTGGATTTCATGCTCTTTATTCAGCTCATAGTGGTGAGAATGTCTGCTTTATATACATTACAGTGGTACCTCAGGTTACATACGCTTCAGGTTACAGACTCCAGTAAACCAGAAATAGTGCTTCGGGTTAAGAACTTTGCTTCAGGATGAGAACAGAAATTGTGCTCGGGCGGCGCAGCAGCAGCAGGAGGCCCCATTAGCTAAAGTGGTGCTTCAGGTTAAGAACAGTTTCAGGTTAAGAACGGACCTCCAGAACGAATTAAATACTTAACCTGAGGCACCACTGTATTTACACAATGGGCCCCACGTGATTGGTTAATTCCGGGATTCACCTGTAGGCCAATCACTTCCACCTGGATTCACTTCCACCTGGAACTGGATTGGGTGGCTCCTGTGGACCAATCAGACTGCTGCCTTTTGGATCCTATTCATAGAATCATTAGTGATGTATGGAAGTGAGAGCTGGACCATAAAGAAGGCTGATCGCCGAAGAATTGATGCTTTTGAATTATGGTGCTGGAAGAGACTCTTGAGAGTCCCATGGACTGCAAGAAGATCAAACGCATCCATTCTTAAGGAAATCAGCCCTGAGTGCTCACTGGAAGGACAGATCCTGAAGCTGAGGCTCCAATACTTTGGCCAGCTCATGAGAAGAGAAGACTCCCTGGAGAAGACCCTGATGTTGGGAAAGATGGAGGGCACAAGGAGAAGGGGACGACAGAGGACGAGATGGTTGGATAGTGTTCTCGAAGCTATAAACATGAGCCTGACCAAACTGCGGGAGGCGGTGGAAGACAGGAGTGCCTGGCGTGCTCTGGTCCATGGGGTCAAGAAGAATCGGACATGACTAAACGACTAAACAACAACAACATAGAATCATAGAGTTGGAATAGACCACAAGGGCCATCGAGTCCAACCCCCTGCCAAGCAACTCAGTACTGTACATAACAGAATTGTAGAGCTGGAAGATGGATTTTCTTTAAGCAGAGCCTGTCTCTCCACAATGCTTATTTGTTTTTAACGTTATTTACACATTGCCTTCTTGGGGCAGTGTACATCTCTTTCCCACCCCGCTCTCTGCAAAGCAAGGAAGAGACTATCAAAGCTGCTCAAGAAAACATCAAGCAGAGGCCTGTCGGAACTGGGGAGGAAAAAAAGAAGCCACGTGGGCGTTGAGTTCCGGAGTCCTTTGCAGGAAGGGGGAAACCCAGCGGCTGAAAACAGAAGAGGTGAAATTTGACTCTTTCTTTGGCGCGAGGGAGCCATGGCTGTTGCTGCAGGGAGTCCCGTGCAAGATCTCTGCGACGAAGCCACTTGCTCCATCTGCCTGGAGTATTTCAAGGATCCAGTGACCACCGCAGAGTGCGGGCACAACTTCTGCCGGTCCTGCCTGGTCCAGTGTTGTGGGGCGAGAGGCAGGCAGGCTTCCTGCCCTCAGTGCAGAAAAACAGTCCAGAAAGGGAATCTCATCCCAAACCGGCAACTGGCTCACCTTGTGGAATTGATCAAGAAGCTCAGTCTCGAAAGGGTGGAGGAGGAAGGACGGAAGGGGGGAGTCTGTGAGAAGCACCAGGAGCCCCTGAACCTCTTCTGCGATGACCACGAAAGTCCAATCTGTGTGGTGTGTGAGAAATCCAAGATGCATGAAAATCACAAGGTGATTCCTCTGGAGGAGGCTTTCGAGAAATACAAGGTAGGATCTTAAAGTGGTGGGGAGCAGAGGGATAGCTGTGGATTCTTCTTCAGCAATTTTCTTTAACTCTTTTTTAAAAAAATATTTTTTATTAGGGATTTCAACATAACAATTTGTCAAAAACATCATCCAAATTTCCCCCCCGTTCCCCCCCCTAAAAAAGAAAACCCCACCCTCGCACCCCACCCCCCCAGACTTCCCTCAGCTCCTCTCTGGTTTCTTAGCACATGCTATTCTCTGCATGTTATAAAATTGTAAAGATCCTCAGTTTATCTCTCTGTATGTTACCAATAATTCTTTTTTAGTGTTTATTCAAAACCTGCCAAGGAGTTCAGTTCCTTTTGTTGTTTCTTTAAATACTTCGTAAAAGGTTCCAATTCTTCTTTAAAGTCACAGTTATCCTTGTCATCTAGTTTGTGTCAATTTCGCCAATTCCGCATAGTCCATCAATTTCTCTTGCCACAGTTCTTTAGCCGGGGTTTCTTCGTTCTTCCATCCTTGTGCTATTAAGACTTGCCGCCGTTGTCGCGTACATGAAGATGTTTTTTAATTTCCTTGGCAGGTCTTTTCCTACAATCCCTAACAAGAAAGCTTCAGGCTTTTTTACAAATGTTAATTGGAACATTTTCTTCAACTCATTATATATCGTTTCCCAATTTTTTAAAATTTTACTACAATCCCACTACATATGATAATTTTCTTTAACTCTTATGCCTGAATTATGCATGGTATTAATTGCCTGAATGCAGTTTCCATACTTATTGTTAATAATAATAATAATAATAATAATAATAATTAGTAGTAGTAGTACTGCCCTGTCCATCTTCCTAGGTTGCCCCAGCCACTCTGGGCGGCTTCCAACACATATAAAAACATAATCAAAGAATACACCTTTAAAAGCTTCCCTATACAGGGCTGCCTTCAGATGTCTTCTAAGGTTACATTATGTAAAAAGCAGCTGAGGAGAAGCCTGAGGGCTGGCTGGGAGGAGGGAGTTTGGATTCTCTCTTTGCTAGGGTACCAAAAGGAGCTTCCCTTGAAATGCAAACAGCAGCTTCTGAGATTTATGTTGCCACAATGGCAGGAAGAGAAAGTGCTTAAACTAGTGTTAGAAACTCAGATATATAAGCTAGGCGCCAAACGGTTCCTTCAACCGGGGTCGGAGTCACCAAAACGGAATGCCTAGTTGCCATTTTGGGGCCAGGCAGCTCAAAAGTCGTAATTGTCAATAATACTATTTGGTTTCTGAAATTCATTCTGATTTTGCAGATAAAAGATAATGGATAGAATTCTACAGGATGTGTTGCTAGTGTGTGAAAACCGTCAAGATCCAAGGATCCCCAGGCATGTACCTCCAGACATCAGGCGCCATCCTGGCACCCAGGCATCTTGGTCGCAAGTGGCCAATAGCCAGGTGCAAAATAGGCCTGACACCTGGCAAATTTCGAACACTGCTCTAAACTCCACATGTGTTTTGCTGGTTGGTAGCAGCCTTTTGGTGGCAGAAACCACGGAGGTGGGGAAATGAGATTGGACAAATCACAGAGCAGGAGAGATCAGACAAATCAGTTGTTTTACTTTGTGCCTTTTTTGCTGATTGGCTGCAGCCATTTCAGGAAAAAATATGGAGGGAGGGGGAAAGAAAGCAGACAGATCTCACATTAGAAGTAATTTCATAGGAAATAATGGAAAGCATACCCTCATTATGCAAACGCTCACCTAATGAACGATTTCCAGGGATCTAATTGTGCTTGGGAAGTGGGACCTGTGTGTACAACCTCTACACTGTTTTGTAACTTTTATTATTTTTGTTTATTCTTTTGTCTGCATTTTTTTATTTTATGTTAATAAAAATAACAATAAAAACTTATGGATGGCAGCAGGTTGGCAAAGGCTGCTAAAAATGCCCCCCCACCAAATACTCATATTTTTTTATCAAGACTTCTTCATTTATAATTATTTTAAAAATGCAAACATTAAGTGTTGCATTTTATATCTTCTCAAAAAGAATTGATGAAATAGAAGTGGGGGGAAGACTACAAAGCTACAAACCATTACGTGCAAGGCCTTCAGAAATAGTCAATTCCTCTCTCCTCCTCTCTCTATCTCTCTATCTAACCTGAGTTTTTTTCTTTTCTCTTTAGGGACTGATTTGCAGCCGCCTGGAGATTCTGATGAAAGAGAAAGAGAAAATTATGGCCTGTCAAGCAGACCTGGACAAGGAAAGCCAAGACCTTCTTGTAAGTATCACTATTATTATTAGGCAGGGAGTGAGTACTTTATGAATCAAGTCAGGACTGAGTAGGGATGGGCAAATCTGTCCATTTCGGTGTCTTTCCATTTCTCATTTTTCCACAATAGTTTGTTTGTTAACTTGTTGTTGTTTTTATATAAAAAAAATGCTGAAAATTAATCAGATTTAAGGGTGGATTTCTCCATATATAAATATATATCTGCAATTTCCCTATATATCTGCAATTTCCCTATATTTAAAATTTTGCAAGACAATCTTCCCTAATAGTGCTTTTTTTCTAAAAAAATATGTTTAGGGGTACTCTCATTTTTCCTATTCATATTAAAATACTGCCTCTCAATGAGGCCAAACTTAGATTCACAAAATGTTTAGGGGTATGTGTACCCCCAGAAAAAAGCACTGCCTAATATTCAATTCTCTCCGTTATTTATATTAATAAATGCATATTTATTCATACTTCACCCCCCCCAATATATGCATTTCTGTAGACACTACCTGGCTGGGGTAACCTTGCAAAACTTGGAGAAGTGTGAATTTCAGGGGATTGCTGTGTTTTGAATGCAAACTGAATTGAATTTCTTTCCCATTTGGCAGCCCAGCTGTACAGAACATAGATTGCTTGAGAAAGTGACTATAAAAATTGTTAATGAAATATGTTTCTGAATGTGCCCGCTTGTTCATCTGTAAGAGACGCAGGCCATATTGAAGCTTTAAAGTAAATTGGGGAGGTGAATGCAGGTGGTATTTTGGTCTAAACCACTGAGCCTCTTGGGCTTGCCAGTCGCAAGGTCAGTAGTTTGAATCCACCCAATGGGGGTGAGCTCCCATTCCTCTGTCCCAGCTCCTGCCAACCTAGCAGTTCGAAAGCATACCAGTGTCAGTAGATAAATAGGTACCGCTCTGGCGGGAAGGTAAACGGCGTTTCCGTGCGCTCTGGTTTCCATCATGGTGTTCCGTTGTGCCAGAAACAGTTTAGTCATGCTGGCCACATGACCCGGAAAGCTGTTTGTGGACAAATGCCGACTCCCTCGGCCTGAAGCAGAAATGAGCACTGCACCCCATGGTCTAATACGACGACGTAACTGTCCAGGGGTCCTTTACATTTACTTTTACCTTAAATAGGGGAGTGCTGGGCATGAGCATGCTAGCTCTGCCACCCCCCCTCCTCCTCCATTTTTGTTGTTGTCGTCTTTGTACTCCTGAATGGCACAGGTTGGAAGTGAAGAGTATTTTGTGCCCATTGAGGCTCTCTGAACATTAATTAATTTTTATAATGAAAGGTTTTTAGAATGTTGGATTATTTTGATTGTTGTTAGCCGCCCTGAACCCAACTTCAGCTGGGGAGGGCGGGGTATAAATAAAATTTATTATTATTATTATTATTTATTATTATCTTAGAACCTTGATTATACCGAATATGAAATGATGCAGGGAACCTCCATGTCCAGAAAAATGTTCCGTGCTTTAGGGCTGTTGCTTCCCACAAAATGGAAGGCAACAGAAATGGAGGCGGCAAATAGAATGTGTTCATCTCTGCCTCCCCTGCTTCTTCAGCCACTGGACGTTTATTTCATGTCTATGAAAAGTCATTGAAAGTGCACTTCCTGCGGAGATCTCATAATTTCCCTCCTGATGTCATGAAGACTGGCCATATTTCAGATTCTGGTCTCTTCTTTTCCTCCTGCTTCTTGCAGAAATTAACAGAAACCGGGAGGCAGAAGACAGTGGAGAAGTTCAGACAACTGCAGCAGTTTCTCAAAGAACAAGAAAAACACCATCTGGATCATATAGAAGAGGTGGAGAAGGAGATTGCAAGGAAAAGGAATGAGCAGCTGGCCAGGCTCTCCAGGGAACTCGCCCATCTTGAAAAGGTGGTCCAGGAAATGGAGAAGAAGCGTCTGCAGCCAGCAAACGAACTCCTGCAGGTAAAATGGTGGCAGGAACAGCCCAAGGATAAGTCTGCAAAAAATTATGGGCCTCCTTAATTTATGTTAGTAAAAGAGCTTAGTGGATGGAGTCTCTAGTCCAGTCTCTTATGCACAGGTGCACCAAAAGACCTGGGATGTTTTCCTTACCTTAATGCAAACTAGAGATTCTTCTGCGGAGTTGATGGAACCAGGTGTTTTTTCCTCCTTGCTAACAGTTTGCCTCCTAATGCCTTCCGGTTTGGCAGTGCTGTTTTCATGCCCTGTAGTGGGCTTCCCAGAAGCTGTTTGGCCGCCTCAGAGCAGGGGTCAGCAAACTTTTTCAGCAGGGGGCCGGTCCGCTGTCCCTCAGACCTTGTGGGGGGCTGGACTATATTTGGGGGGGACGGACAAATTCCTATGCCTCACAAATAACCCAGAGATGCATTTTGAATAAAAGAACACATTCTGCTCATGTAAAAACACCAGGCAGGCCCCACAAATAACCCAGAGATGCATTTTAAATAAAAGGACACATTCTACTCATGTAGAAACTGCTGATTCCCAAACTGTCCATGGGCCAGATTTAGAAGGCACTTGGGCCGCATCCAGCCCCCGGGCCTTAGTTTGCCTACCCATGCCTCAGAGCTTACCAAAAGTAAAATGAATCAAAACAGGTGTGAGCTCCAGCATTGAGCACACTTTTTTTTGACATCCCAAGGGGGGTGGGAAATTCCACTGAGCCCACACTTAAAGGTGAACCTGCCTCATTTACTCTTTATACATCAATACACCAACTGAGTCACAACCTTCCACCAACGTTTGCACTTCTAGGGACTTTCCAAGGCAGCTCTCCAGCCAAGTAATGTGTACAATTCATCCATTTGCAGAAGATTGTCTGATTTAGCTGTTCCTATCCCAAACTGACATCAGAGGGCCAGAGTGTTCCTCCATTGCAGGGTCTGAGGGGTCTTCATAGTGTGGCCTGTGGTGTGCAGTGATTTCCATTCTCTTTTCCCTCTAGGATGTGAGAAGCACCTTGCAGAGGTAAGTGGATCTGGCTCATTTCCATTAGCATCACTCCATAAGACTGGGAAAAGTCACATAAGACCACTGTGGGGGAGATAATAGGATTTCTACCTCTAAAATACACCAGGATCTGTGGGGGTTTAGGGGTCCTGGAGTTTGTTTTCTGTCGTCCCTTGCACAGAGTCCCTTGGAATTGCTCCTCAAACTTCTCCTGGATACGATCACAGGCTATCCTGCTGAGCAGGTCATGAATGACCTCTTGGGAAAATATCTTTCTACCGTAAGGATTTTTCATTTTATTGAAGTTGCATGGAAAATTTCATAGACTGTGCCATGATGGGGCCTTTCAGGCAGAGGTGGTTTCCAAATGAAGTACAGTGGTACCTCAGGTTACATACGCCTCAGGTTACAGACTCCGCTAACCCAGAAATAGTACCTCAGGTTAAGAACTTTGATTCAGGATAAGAACAGAAACCGTGCTCTGGCGGCACAGCAGCAGCAGGAGGCCCCATTAGCTAAAGTGGTGCTTCAGGTTAAGAACAGTTTCAGGTTAAGAACAGACCTCCAGAACGAATTAAGTACTTAACCCGAGGTACCACTGTACTGCCATTTCCCCTGCTAATTTTTGTTTTACTTATTTAAATTGTGTTTTGTATTGGCCTGGATGGACTTTTGACCAATAACTTGGTTTGCTTGTACATCTGTGGAAAGTCTGCCTCATCCTCTGAGATCATTTGGTTCTAGAGCAGAGGTTATCTACATATCAAAGCAAGATATCGCCAAGCTCAAGAAACAAATGCTTTGAATTTACTCTAAGGGAAAGCTTTTCTCCTCGCACGGGAAACTTACTGCTGTTGCTCTGCAGCACTGTCTTGGCCACTTCACCAAGTGTGATATATCCCCAGGCAGGGGGAAATCTCACAAGGAAGAGAGTTAGCGGTGTACCTTTGTTCCCGATCCTGTAATTTGTAACTTCAATGTGTCACTCCGGTTCAGGAGAGAGGTTATAAGGAACATTTCACGTATATGAACAGCAGCAACCATCTTTTTTTCTTTACACCTTCCCTGGGGACATCTAGAGAAAGATGCTGTGCTGTCACCAGGCACTCAGAGAATTCATGCCCCCTGATATCACATGATGGTGCTTCTTCTTTGAGTAAATATAAGCGGGGAGACTCAGAGGCCTGTGGTTGCTGTTCTGGTCCTGAAATGTCTGGCTTAGTGCAGAAGAAGAATCTTTCCCTGCTGTGCCTCCCTGTCTGCAGCTCTCTTCCTCTCTCTCAATTCCTTTTTGTGGAATTGTGGATTTGAACAGACTCACGTTGTGTTTCTTTTCACCAGGTATGAGAAAAGAGAGACGTTGGTGAATCCACTGGCTTTCCCTCCAGAGCTGAAGGGGAGAATCTCAGAATTCTGTGATATAAACCCCCTCCTGGAGGATGTCATGAAGCAATTCAAAGGTAATCAAAAATGGTGCCAAGGGTTTTATATTGGGCATATATTACAGGCAACAACTAATTTACGTGGGACCATGACCATGTGCATCACCGCAACCTGGAAGTGACCGGAAAAGGGGCAGGGGCAGGGGTCAAAAAGATAACCCTGTGCAAAACGGTCATTGCGTATAGTCCAAAGCTGGGCACGCCAGGCTCTTATTGTTTTGTATTTTGTTCTCACCACAGACATGGGTATCACCAGGATACCTTCCTTCTTGGTGGTGCAGCCATTATTTTGTTTTCCCCAGAATTCCCCATATACATTGATATTCTGGTGCAGGGGGGTTTGGAGAAGAGAAATGGTGTCTGTCACAATTAAAAAGAAGAAGAAGAAAAGGCATATCAAAGTGCATATCAAAATCAGGGTTCTTTCATTCAGTATGTATCTGTTTACAATTACAGTGGTACCCCGCAAGACGAACGCCTCGCGAGACGAAAAACTCGCAAAACGAAAGGTTTTTTCGTTTTCGAGTTGCCTCGCAAGACGAATTTCCCTATGGGCTTGCTTCGGCAAAACGAAGCTTGCCCCGGGGGACAGCGGGTCTTCTCTTTTGAAGCAAGGGGCTGCGGGGAGATAGCGATCTCCCTGCAGCCCCTTGCTGCAAAAGACGTCCGGGGGGAAGCGGGGGAAGAAGCGCTTCGCTTCCCGCTGCCCCCGGACCTCTTTTGAAGCAAGGGGCTGGGGGGAGATCGCGATCTCCCTGCAGCCCCTTGCTGCAAAAGACGTCGGGGGAAGCGGGGAAGCGAAGCGCTTCGCTTCCCGCTTCCCCCGGACCTCTTCTGAAGCAAGGGGGCTGGGGGGAGATAGCGATCTCCCTGCAGCCCCTTGCTGCAAAAGACGTCGGGGGAAGCGGGGAAGCGAAGCGCTTCGCTTCCCCCGACCTCTTCTGAAGCAAGGGGCTGGGGGGAGATCGCGATCTCCCTGCAGCCCCTTGCTGCAAAAGACGTCGGGGGAAGCGGAGAAGCGAAGCGCTTCGCTTCCCGCTTCCCCCGGACCTCTTCTGAAGCAAGGGGCTGGGGGGAGATAGCGATCTCCCTGCAGCCCCTTGCTGCAAAAGACGTCGGGGGAAGCGGGGAAGCGAAGCGCTTCGCTTCCCCGCTTCCCCCGGACGTCTTTTGCAGCTGTTCCGAAGTGGGGAGGGGGGCGGGGACAGCTGCCCCAGCCGCCCCACTTCGGAAAGCTGTTCCGAAGTGGGGAGGGGGGGCGGGGACAGCTGCCCCAGCCGCCCCACTTCGGAAAGCTGTTCCGAAGTGGGGAGGGGGGCGGGGACACCCGCCCCAGCCGCCCCACTTCGGATAGCTGTTCCGAAGTGGGGAGGGGGGGCGGGGACAGCTGCCCCAGCCGCCCCACTTCGGATAGCTGTTCCGAAGTGGGGAGGGGGGCGGGGACAGCCGCCCCAGCCGCCCCACTTCGGAAAGCTGTTCCGAAGTGGGGCGGGGGGCGGGGACACCCGCCCCAGCCGCCCCACTTCGGAAAGCTGTTCCGAAGTGGGGAGGGGGGGCGGGGACAGCTGCCCCAGCCGCCCCACTTCGAAAGCTGTTCCGAAGTGGGGAGGGGGGGCGGGGACAGCTGCCCAGCCGCCCCACTTCGGATAGCTGTTCCGAAGTGGGGCGGGGGGCGGGGACACCCGCCCCAGCCGCCCCACTTCGGAAAGCTGTTCGAAGTGGGGAGGGGGGGCGGGGACAGCTGCCCCAGCCGCCCCACTTCGGAAAGCTGTTCCGAAGTGGGGAGGGGGGCGGGGTCACCTGCCCCAGCCGCCCCACTTCGGATAGCTGTTCCGAAGTGGGGAGGGGGGGCGGGACAGCAGCCCCAGCCGCCCCACTTCGGAAAGCTGTTCCGAAGTGGGGCGGGGGGCGGGGACACCCGCCCCAGCCGCCCCACTTCGGAAAGCTGTTCCGAAGTGGGAGGGGGGCGGGGACAGCTGCCCCAGCCGCCCCACTTCGGAAAGCTGTTCCGAAGTGGGGCGGGGGGCGGGGACACCCGCCCCCAGCCGCCCCACTTCGGATAGCTGTTCCGAAGTGGGGAGGGGGGCGGGGACAGCTGCCCCAGCCGCCCCACTTCGGAAAGCTGTTCCGAAGTGGGGAGGGGGGGCGGGGACAGCTGCCCCAGCCGCCCCACTTCGGATAGCTGTTCCGAAGTGGGGCGGGGATACCCGCCCCAGCCGCCCCACTTCGGAAAGCTGTTCCGAAGTGGGGAGGGGGGGCGGGGACAGCTGCCCCAGCCGCCCCACTTCGGATAGCTGTTCCGAAGTGGGGCGGGGGGCGGGGACACCCGCCCCAGCCGCCCCACTTCGGAAAGCTGTTCCGAAGTGGGGAGGGGGGCGGGGACAGCCGCCCCAGCCGCCCCACTTCGGATAGCTGTTCCGAAGTGGGGCGGGGGGCGGGGACACCCGCCCCAGCCGCCCCACTTCGGAAAGCTGTTCCGAAGTGGGGCGGGGGGCGGGGACACCCGCCCCAGCCGCCCCACTTCGGATAGCTGTTCCGAAGTGGGGAGGGGGGGCGGGGACACCCGCCCCAGCCGCCCCACTTCGGATAGCTGTTCCGAAGTGGGGCGGGGGGCGGGGACACCTGCCCCAGCCGCCCCACTTCGGAAAGCTGTTCCGAAGTGGGGAGGGGGGGCGGGGACAGCTGCCCCAGCCGCCCCACTTCGGAAAGCTGTTCCGAAGTGGGGCGGGGGGCGGGGACACCCGCCCAGCCGCCCCACTTCGGATAGCTGTTCCGAAGTGGGGAGGGGGGGCGGGGTCACCTGCCCCAGCCGCCCCACTTCGGATAGCTGTTCCGAAGTGGGGAGGGGGGGCGGGGACACCTGCCCCAGCCGCCCCACTTCGGAAAGCTGTTCCGAAGTGGGGAGGGGGGCGGGGACACCTTCTGAAGGCGGGCAGGGGGCGAAAGTCTTTGTCCCCCCTGCCTGCCTTCCCAGGGGCTTTTAAATCGCCCCGAACAGCGGAGAAGTCCTCCGCTGTCCGGGGCGATTTTAAAATGCCGCCCGCCAGCATTTTAAGATCGCCCCGGACAGCGGAGAAGTCCTCCGCTGTCCCAGGGTTTTTTAAAATGCTGGGGGTGGGAAGAAAAGCCCTTGTCCCCCCCCCAGCCTTCAGAAGAGGTCGGGGGACAGACTGTCCCCGGACCTGGTCTGAAGTCGGTTTCCCTAGGAACGCATTAATTGATTTTCAATGCATTCCTATGGGAAACCGTGCATCGCAAGACGAAAAAACCGCAAGACGAAGAGACTTGCGGAACGAATTAATTTCGTCTTGCGAGGCACCACTGTATACACAACCTCCTTTTCCTTGTGGTTCCCTGTCTGCACAATCTGAGTTTGTCCTTTTGGAGGTTCTCCTGCTCTGAATGGAGTCACAGGGCATTCAGAAGCCCCCAGTTCCCCCTCTGCCTCCTGCTCAGGCTTCTTTCTCAGCCCTGGAGCCAAGGCCTGAGCCGTCTCCTCCTCAGATGTCCCCTGCAGCTGCCATATCTAGGGCTTCAGCCTTCAAGATATCCTGAGAGTTCCCCCATTGAGAGTGGAAGCAAGAGCACACGAGCCCCAAAGGGCACAATTATGCTCGTTAACAATCTGAAAGATTTGTGAGGAAGGGTTTCCTTTTGTCCTGAGAGCTCTGCCAATCCTTCCTCATCGAACTTCGCTTCTCCTTATGTCTCACAATTTTGGCTTTAATGATTCCCCCCACCACTTTACTTGGGGAAGATGTTAAGGCTGCCTCCATCTCCCCTCTGCTCCTTTTACGGGGATTCCTATTGCTCTGCCTCTCCTCCAGTCCTCCAGTGTAGAGCCCAATTTCAGGGACAAAGTTCAGAAACTAGCAGGATACATGCTGAATATTTTTGTTATCTTATTTGTAAGCTTGTGTTATGTTTGCTAAGTTTTGAAGCTTTAGTTATTTCCATAGATTCTTTCTATGGTTTTCTTGTTTACAATTATTTTTTCTACTAGTTTATCTTTTCCTTAAATTATAATAATGCTACATTATGAAGCATTATTTTATATGGAGATTTATTTCTGGTGGAAGAGAGTCGCCCTTACACTTTATATCTTTTTGCTTCCTCAGATGCTCTGTTACTCAGAGAACAGCTTCAAGAAGGTAAATTTCCAGGGAAGGAACTGGAGGGATGGGGGACTGGTGTTTCATGGGTGTTGAACAGTCTGTTCTTTAGACTTTGGAACCATCAGCAATAGCGTCAGCATGTCTATAATTTCTGGCTTTAAATAGCTTTTTCCCACCTGTTTACTTCAGGCAGATGTTAACCTTTTAAAAGATGGAAATTGCACTGCCATCCAGGATATATCCCCATTTCAATCATGGATTCTGAATAATTTTATTCTGCCATTTTCCAGTATGGTTTACCATTTTTGATTTTCACATAGAATCAGAATAGTTTTAAGAGTTTTAAAGGTTTCCAGGGGTCATCTTGTCCAACCTCCTGCAGTGCAGCTAGACAAGTTGGCTGTCTGAATTTCTTAGTCATACAGTTTTCTCATTAGTAATTTGTTCTATGATTTAATCTTTTGCTTGAAATAAGGAAACCACGGATAAGTTATGAAGCATTGTTTTGTAATGATTATTTTTATTTTAGATATAGCTGTGTAGGCCCTTAAACATTGTATCTTTTTGCTTCCTCAGAGGTTCTGTCATTCGGAAAACCTCAGAAAGGTAAATTTCACATGGAGTCCCAAATTCATGGGGTGGTGGTGGTGTTTCAAGGGGGTGAAAGTTCTGTGCTGCAGAATTTCAAGCGACCCAGCACTTGAGTCTGTCCCTGCTGTTTGAGTTCTTCCTATGCACAACAAAGGCAGGGAAGGTGGACTCGAAGGTGCAGACAGGGTGAGAAGGTGTGGACTAAGGAGGGAAGACTTATTTCCTTCCTAGAGAGAGTTTGGTTACTTTTCCATGTGATCAAAGCACTTTGCAAGAGCCCTGTTGGGTCAGAAGAAGAATCCTCTTTCCAGCAGGAGCTAAACTGGTGCCACCAGGAAGCCTCCAGTCAGGGCAGAAAGGCAGTGGCTCTCGTCAGTTTCTGACTCCCATCCCCTGTCAAGGACTGGACTGATAAGGGCAAGAGGGAAGAGGAGGAGGAATGATGGAGATCACACCCACCCATATCCTGTGTTCCTTTCTGACAGACAGACAGAGGAATCCGAAGAGGAGCGGGGAGAGCCAGAGAGGAGTAGATACTTGATTCCTTCACACAGCGAAAGTGGGATAAGCCTCTCTCGCTCTTGAACGCTGCCTGTCAGTTCTGAAAGCAACACAGAGCTGAAAGAGCAGGATGCAGGAGAAAGGAGGGGGGGGTTAGACTTGACTCCAGGTGAGGAGGGGCTAACAGTGCCAGAATCTCCAAAAAGCAGGAGAAAGAGTAGATTAGAAGAACCGCGTAAAACCGGAAGGAGGTGGGGAGGAAAGGTGGAGAGTATCTTGCCTTGGCCGGAAAAGGAATCTAGTCGAGTCAATTGACTCTGACAGTGATGGATGACCCAAGGAAACTTGGACTGCTGAAACTCTATAATTGCTGAATAAATCTGAAAGTAATAAAACTGTCAGCATGCTGTGTCGTGTGTGGGAGAGACATACTCATTGAGAGGGAACCCTTGAGGCAGCATTAGTTCTGCCTCCAGCTGAGGCAGAATTGGGTCCGCATTGACACTCTCCCCGATTCTAACCATAGTGAGGGCATTAAAGGGTCCATGTCTGTTGTCTGCCTATCTAAACTGGTTGTCTTCATTTGCCATCCCCTGGGAGCCCTAAATAGCCAATTCACACAGAGTGTGTCAGAGGAGGGCAGTTTCCCTTCTCTTCTGCCCTTTCCCTCTCCTTAGCTGACACAGCAGAGCTGAATAAAAAATTATTGGGGGTTTTTACTCTGAAGATTTGTGAATTGACAGGAAGGACACAATATAGGAAGTATATTGAATATAAAAATAACAAGTATGGTTTTTATTCGAAGTTTATTCTGATGAGAGTCTGGAAGAAGGAAAGGAGGGCCCTAACCCTAAATGCAATGCAAATAAGTCCTGTTTTTATGAGAGGGAGTCTGGTTCCTGGGCTGTTTCTTGGATCAGGATGTCCGTCTCTTGACTCTGGGCTGACTCTGCCTAATCTTCTCTTTCCCTCATCTTCTCCCCAACAGCAAATGTCACTCTGGATCCTGACACAGCCTATCTCAGGCTCATCCTGTCCGAGGATCGGAAAAGTGTGAGACTGGGAGACAAAAGGCAATCCCTGCCCGACAATCCTGAGAGATTCAACAATTGTACTTCTGTGTTGGGACTTGAGGGATTCACAGCAGGCAGACATTTCTGGGAGGTCACTGTGGGAAGCGAGGGATGGTGGACTGTGGGGGTTGCCAGGAAGTCTGTGAAGAGAAGGAGCTTTCTTCCCTTCAGTCCTGATGGAGGAATCTGGGCTGTGGAGAAGTCTGAAAGCAAGTACTGGGCCTGCACCTCCCCTGATGATCCTCCTCTGTCCCTGAGTGGGGACCTCAAGAGGATCCGAGTGACTCTGGACTATGAAGGGGGACGTGTGTCATTTTTTGACGCTGACTCAGGAGCCGAACTCTACACATTCTCAGGAGCCTCGTTCTCTGGAGAGACCCTCCTCCCATTCTTTTGTCTGGGTGGAGGTAAAACACAGCTCAGGATCTCCTGAAGACACTATATTTGCCTCACAGGCCCAGCAGAAGTTTCTCTCCTGACCAGAATGACTGATATAAAACCAGCATTTCCCTCTCAAGAGCATTTTTTTGTTTTGTTTTTTGTTTTTTATTTATTGGTTTTAATTCATTTTACAACATCATACGCTAAAACAGACAAAGAAAAACAAACATATATATCACATAACACACAACACTAACAACACAAACTGACTTCCCTTCATCTCGGTTTTGGATTATATTATAAAATTTCCTATCTGCAGTTTCTTTTCCTCAGAAAATTCTTAACATCACAAGTGTTATATCGCACCTACTGTAATTTTTAGGTTTTTTACCTCTGTTTCCATGTATGCCAAAAATTTATTCCATTCTTTATTAAACTTTATGTCTTTTTGATTTCTTATTTTCTGTGTCATTTTTGCCAGTTCTAAATAATCAAATAGTTTAGATTGCCACTCAGTTATAGTTGGGATTTTTTGTATCTTCCAATTCTGCGCTATTAAAGTTCTGGCAGCCACTGTCGCGTACTGGAAAAGTGTTTGATCTTCTTTTTTGATTTCCTCTCCAATTATCCCCAGCAGAAAGGCTTCGGGTTTTTTTATAAAGGTATATTTAAAGATTTTTTAATTTTTTTATTACTCAAGAACATTTTTTGGCAGCTTTTCTGGGACCCTTTGAGAGGATTCGTTCTAGTCACAATATGCACAAGCAACAAAACAAACAAAAATGGGTTCTTTTCCCTTCTTTTCCCTTTCCTTTCCTGGAATTTCCTCTGCAGCGGAGTTTTTTAAGAAAAAGAAACATTCCCAATAAATAATCTTTTCCCTCAAAAGCCTCCATCACTCAATTGCTGTTATCTATCTTCATTAAGCATTAGTAATAAATAAAGAAGTAAATGAAAGGAAACAAATATTCATTGGCTAGGAATTGAATGCCACCTGTGTCAGTGAGAGCACCAAATTTTGGAGAGCTGCGGGTGGGATGTGGATTTTGATTGGCCTTATTTCTCTGTGGTAAACAACTAAGAAGAAGATTAAAATTTATAAAGAAGGAATCCACTATTCAGAAATTACCGTATTTTTCGCACCATAGGACGCACTTTTTCCCTCCTAAAAAGCAAGGGAAAATGTGTGTGCGTCCTATGGAGCGAATGCAGGCTTTCGCTGAAGCCTGGAGAGTGAGAGGGGTCGGTGCGCACCGACCCCTCTCGCTCTCCAGGCTTCAGGAAGCTATCCGCTAGCTGTGGGAGACCCAGCTCTCCCACGGCTAGCGGAGCGCTGCATTAATCCTGAAGCTTGGGGCGTGCGGAGCTCAGCGCGCCCCAAGCTTCTGGGTGCCGGCAAGGTCTAGCGCTCCGCTAGCCGTGTCTAGGCTGCAGATAGCAGCCTGCTTCCCGGAGCGTCGGGCGCCCTGAAAGCAGAGCGCCCGGTGCTTCGGGAACACATCCGCAGCGTGGGGACCCTTGCAGGAGTTCCCCGCAGGGCTCCCCACGCTGCAGATAGCAGCCTGCCGCCGGGCGGGTGGGGTGCCCTGAAGCAGAGCGCCCCTCACGCCAGGCATACATCCGCAGCGTGCGGAGCCCTGCAGGAGTTCCCCGCAAGGCTCCCCAAGCTGCGGATAGCAGCCTGCCGCCCGGCGGGTAGGGCGCCCTGAAGCAGAGCGCCCCTCGTGCCAGGCATACATCCGCAGCGTGCGGAGCCCTGCAGGAGTTCCCCGCAATGCTCCCCAAGCTGTGGATAGCAGCCTGCCGCCCGGCGGGTGAGGCGCCCTGAAGCAGAGCGCCCCTCACGCCAGGCATACATCCGCAGCGTGGGGAGCCTTGCAGGAGTTCCCGCAGGGCTCCCCACGCTGCGGATAGCAGCCTGCTGCCTGGCGGGTGGGGCGCCCTGAAGCAGAGCGCCCCTCACGCCAGGCATACATCCGCAGCGTGGGGAGCCTTGCAGGAGTTCCCCGCAGGGCTCCCCACGCTGCGGATAGCAGCCTGCTGCCTGGCGGGTGGGGCGCCCTGAAGCAGAGCGCCCCTCGCGCCAGGCACACATCCGCAGCGTGGGGAGCCTTGCAGGAGTTCCCCGCAGGGCTCCCCACGCTGCGGATAGCAGCCTGCCGCCGGGCAGGTGGGGCGCCCTGAAGCAGAGCGCCCCTCGCGCCAGGCACACATCCGCAGCGTGGGGAGCCTTGCAGGAGTTCCCCGCAGGGCTCCCCACGCTGCGGATAGCAGCCTGCCGCCTGGCGGGTGGGGCGCCCTGAAGCAGAGCGCCCCTCGCGCCAGGCACACATCCGCAGCGTGGGGAGCCTTGCAGGAGTTCCCCGCAGGGCTCCCCACGCTGCGGATAGCAGCCTGCTGCCTGGCGGGTGGGGCGCCCTGAAGCAGAGCGCCCCTCGCGCCAGGCACACATCCGCAGCGTGGGGAGCCTTGCAGGAGTTCCCCGCAGGGCTCCCCACGCTGCGGATAGCAGCCTGCTGCCTGGCGGGTGGGGCGCCCTGAAGCAGAGTGCCCTGCGCGCCAGGCAGACATCAGCCAGCCCCACAAGCTCGGGGGACAGCAGGGAGGCGCAGCGCCACTATCCCGCTGTTCCTTGACCTGGTTCGGTTTCCCTGACCTGCTTTTGGGGGGGAAATAAAGGGAAATTTTTTTTCCTTTATTCCCCCCCAAAAAAACTAGGTGCGTCCAATGGTCCGGTGCGTCCGATCGTGCGAAAAATACGGTATCTGGGCTTCTGGGTGAAAATGAGGTGGCCAAATTCACTGAGGACTTTCAATGGTCCAAGGTGGTGGGAACTAGAAGGGATTGATTGTGATGATATTTCCAAACTGACTAAATGGACATAAAAATATCTAAGTGGTAAGTAATGAAATTTGGGGCAAAAGCTTCTAACTTCACTTATAAGGTAATGATGACTGAAGGTGGGGGCTGAGTGTGGAGGAAGCTTTTGAGGCCATTCTTTGTGTGCCTCCTCCTCAAGAGGCCCAGAGGGTGGCAACACAAGAAGGGGCCTTTTCTGCAGTGTCTCCCCTCCTCTTGGAGGAGGAGTCCGGGAGGGCAAGAGTTAACACCCCCTGCCCTTAAGGAGAGTCCATATGTACATGTTTAACAGTTTAATAAATTGTTCTGTGCACACTTATGTTCAGCAAGATGGGAACATGAGCCCAAATAGCTTCATGTGGCAAGCGAGGGAGCCATATGCATTATGACTCAGGAGCCGAAATCTACACGTTCTCAGGAGCCTCGCTCTCTGGAGAGACCCTCCTCCCTTTCTTTGATCTGGGGGGATATAAAACCCACCTCAGGATCTCCTGAGGAGACTAAATCTGCCTCTCAGGCCCAGCAGGAGTTTCTCTCCAGACCAGAGTGACTGACATAAAAACCATTTACCCGCCAAGAGCAGGTTGGGCAGTTTCCCAAGGGCCCTTTGAGAGGATTCATTCCAGTCAAAATCAGCAGAAATAACCAAACAAAAATGGGTTGCTCTTGCTTTGCATTTTCCTTCCTTTTCCCATAATTCCCTCTGGAGCTTACTTCTTCCAGAGACATTCACACTTTTAACAGTCCCAATAAATAATCTTTTCCCCACCTTCAATCTTGTTTTCCTTTTTGAGATGTCTGATTTGGCAGAGGACGAGGCTCTTAATCCCAGGGTTGTGGGTTCGAGCCCCACTTGGGGAAATATTTCCTGCACTGCAGGGGGTGGGACTAGATGACCCTCAGGGTCCCCCACAACTCTGTAATTCTAGGAGACCTTCCTCTCCCCACAATACCTTATGCAGCTGTGAAAATGCATACATTATTGGATTAATAGAGGACTAAAAAAATGAACAAGGAGAAGGGGAAGACAGAGGATGAGATGGTTGCACAATGTTCTCGAAGCTACCAGCATGAGTCTGACCAAACTGGGGGAGGCAGTGGAAGACAGGAGTGCCTGGCGTGCTCTGGTCCAGGGGGTCACGAAGAGTCAGACATGACTAAACGACTAAACAACAACAAGAACAACAAAAATGAACCCCTTCACCCATGTCAGGCAGGATAGCTCTTTGCTCTGGAGACCTCAGATGGGAAGAAAATGAAAAAGAAATTGAGCAGGGCGTCATCTTCAAATGCCCTCTGCAAATACAGCCTTGCCATCTCCACATGTCAGAAGTAAACCTTATTGCATTGAGTGGGGCTTCTGCTCAGTTAAATGTGTTTTGAGTGGATGCATTAATGTTCCTTATTCACAGGCTGGATTCTGACTTATTGAGGGCATCAAATGGGGTGTCCTCTTTATAATGCTGGACTCTAACTCCCCTACGATTTATCCAGCATGGCCATTTATCCAGAGAGGATGGGAGTTGCAGTCTGGCAGCTTCCGCAAGGGGCCCCATGGGCTGTGCTGCCCTATACATTACGCAGGGCACCTTCCCTTTGCTCCTCAGCCCCACCTCAAATATACAGTGCTACCCCACAGTGGCGGAGCAACAAGCTGCAGCCCCCGGAGCGGAGAACAGGCTGGGGCGTGGCCCGCGTCCCGGGGTTGCGCAGCGTGCGGCGCAGGTCCCGCGCATCCCAGGGGAGCAGCCGTGATGGTACCCTTTCCCTAAATGGTACCTGGAATGGCACACCCCCACCCCCCTTCGTACCCCGGTGCTCCCCCAAGGAGGGTCATTTTGGCAGCAGGTGCATTTGATTTTTCTCCTGGGATACTAAGAGCTAGAACAACACATGCCTGTGGAATTGACCTCTCTGAGAGATCTGGTAGGACTCTCTCAAAGATCTGGCAGCCTGCTCTCCTTTCCCTGCGTTTTCCACAGGGTGGTGGCACATGATGGAATAAAGACACCTTCCCCCCACCTGCCTGAGGGCTGCCTCCCCTTCCTCCATCCCCTACATGATGTTGGCCTCGTTTGTGTGTCATCATAAAAGTTACATTTAGTAGGGAGACAACATAAAAGTAACATTAAAGAAACTAACATTAGTACAGAGGCAGTGAACACAATTACAATATCTCACAGTGGCTGGAAAAGGAAGCAACACAGCGGACTATGCCGTGGTTTTGAGCATCACAGGGTGCAATGCAGGGGGGCAGACAAGGGGGGATCCTTTACTGATAGCAAATATCTATTCCCTTATTGATACAGAGGAAAAGAAACCTTTATTCAACTCAAAATTCTTATAACACAATCAAAAAGCATTTGCTACTCCTTGAGAAAACATTCAGCAACTGCAAAGACCTGGGGACATTTTTTTTAAAAAATAAAATAAAGATCACATGCTCACTGAGTCATTTCCTGGAAGGGAAACTCCCAGTGGCTGAAAACGGAGAAAGTGAAACTTAACTCGGATCTTCGGTGCAAGGGAGCCATGGCTGCTTTTGAGGGTCACATCCAGCGTCTCCGTGATGAAGCCAGTTGCTCCATCTGCCTGGATTACTTCAAGGATCCAGTGACCATCCCAGAGTGTGGGCACAACTTCTGCCGATCCTGCCTGATCCAGTGCTGGGGGGAATCGGAGGCAGAGGCTTCCTGCCCTCAGTGCAGAGAAAGAGTCCAGAGAAGGAGCCTCATCCCCAACCGGCAATTGGCTAATATGGTGGAAATAGCCCAGAATCTCAGCCTTCAGGAGGGAAAGGAGGAAGGAGGGAAAGGGAGAGTCTGTGAGAAGCACCAGGAGCCCCTGAAACTCTTTTGTAAGGAGGATGAAGCCCCCATTTGTGTGGTTTGTGACAAATCAAAGGAGCACAAACACCACGAGGTGATTCCTGTGGAGGAGGCTTTGGAGGAATACAAGGTAGGAGATCCCTGGATCTTGAGGGGGAGAAATACCTGTGGATTTTTCTTGGGAGGTTTTCTTTTTACTTCTCAGGTCCAAAGTAGGCATGGCATGAATTCATCCTTGTTTATTATGTAAAAAGCAGCCAAGGGGAAGCCTGAGGGCTCCTGGCATGGCTGAGAAGAAGGAGTCACAGTCTTTCTCTCTTCCAGGGGGACAAAGGGATCTCCCTTGATATCCCTGAGAAGCATCTGCAAAGACTAGGTAGAAGTCTGTAAGCAAGGGGTGACCTAACTGGGTCCCTGAGCCCCACAGGGCTGGCACAGAAAAAAGGTAGCTGGTCCAGGGAGCCAAGACCCAAAAAGGTTGAAAACCTCTGGACTTTTATTTCCTCGAAAAAACTACTCTGCTATTATAGCAAGACCACTGGGCGCAAGAAGCCTGTATAATATTCACCTCCTCTCTGTGTGTCTCAATCAGACCTGAGTTTTTCCTTTTCTCTTTAGGGAGAGATCTGTCGCCGCCTGGAGATTCTGAGGAAAGAGAGAGAGGAAATTCTGGCCCATCAAGCAGCCCTGGACAAGGAATGCAAAGACCTCCTGGTAAGTGTCTCTATTCTTGCTAGTTACAGATAGTGGGGGAAGAAGCACTTGAAGAGTCGAGTCAGGACTGAGGAGGGATGGGGAAATCTGCCCATTTCAACTTCTCCCCATTTCTCCTTTTTCCATATCAGTCTGTTTATTAACTCTGGTTATGCCATGCCCCAAAGCATGCAGGGAACATCCATGGCTAGAAAAAATGCTCCTTCCTTTAGGCTGTATCCCTCTGCAAAACAGAAGTCAACAGAAAGTCAATGAAGAGGGCTGCCCCTCAAAATAAAGGTTTACTTCTTTAGCCACTGGAGGTTTAAAGTCTATGAAAAATCAAAAGTGTCCTCCCTGTGGAATTCTCACTATTCTCTTCCTGATGTTTTGAAGGCTGAGCACCTTCCACACTCAGACCTCCTCTTTTCTTGCAGAAATTAACAGAAACGGAGAGGCTGAAGACTGTGGAGAAGTTCAGAGAACTGCGCCACTTCCTGGAAGAACAAGAAAAACGTCTGCTGAATGATGTGGAAGAGGTGGAGAAGGAGATTGGAGGGAGAAGGGATGAGCAGCTGGCCAGACTCTCCAGGAAACTCTCCTCTCTTGAGAGGATCATCCAGGAGATGGAGGAGAAGAGTCAGCAGCCAGCGAGTGAACTCCTGCAGGTAAGATGGTGGCAGGAACAGCCCAAGGCTCCAGGAAAAGGCTGCCCCTTTCATGTATGCAAGGAGTGCAGGGGCTGAGATGATGGAGCCTCTAGTCAGGTTTGTAATGGACAGGAAAACCAAAGAGACCTGGGATGCTGAACTCACCTGAATGCAGACTAGAGATTCGTCTGTGTTCTTGATGGAACAGGAGATGATCTTCTGCTCTTTGCTGATGCTTTGTCTCCGAACGCCTTTCAGCTGTGGGGGGCTTCATCTAGGATGCGTTCAGGCCTCCTTCAGACATGAGCCAGTCTCTTGACCAAGCTTCTCTTCCCGTTCCCTCCACAACTTCTGGGTTGATCCCCTTCCCCATGGATACAGATTGACCCAGAATGGTGCTCAGTCACAGTGACCAAAGAGCAAGACAGAGGGACTCATCCAGACTGCTGCTTGTCCCACCCCTTTCCTCCAGGAAAACCCACTGTTTACTGCTGAATTAGAGCAAACCTCAGCCAGGTTTTCTCCGGATTGATGTTTGCTTTGATGTTGCACTAAGGAGCAGGTTTTTCCTGAGGGAAAGTGGCAGGGCAAAGGCAAAACCACTTGGACTCATGTTTTCTGGGCACAGGAAAGAGAGAATTGTGGGTGAGCCCAAAGAAACACTGAGCTGTTTTTTTACCCCTTTGGAGGCATTTTATGCTGCAGGTGCTTTTCTAATTTCCAGGTGGAAAATAGAATTTGAAATTTGGGGACTGGGCCCGTGCCCTGGCAGGATTATCCTGTAGGCTTACTTACATCTGAATTGCACAATGCAAACTGGATTAAAGTTATTATAATCTAAGACTAGAGATGGTGTGAATTGTCTCTTGAACCCACAAATGTGAAATTTTCCTAAAATGCTGGTGGGTTTCATAAGGATTTTAAACAAAAATGGCAAACTGATGTGGAAATGTGGAGATCTTGAAATCAGAACAGTTAATAATTTCAGACTGGAAAAATAAAAGCTACGAGAAACCCAAACTGGCTGATTCCGCCATCCCTACCCAAAACCTTGGCATGTGCCAGGCAGACTGACATCTGAGGGCCAGGGTCTGAGGGGGTCTTCCTAGTGTGGCCTGTGGTGTGCAGTGAATTCCCTTCTCTTTTTCCCTCTAGGATGTGAGAAGGACCTTGCAGAGGTAAGTGGATCTGGCTCATTTCCATTAGCATCACTCTTTGAAGCTGAGATGCAAGAACCTCAGACATGGCCCTCCAGGGGCTGCAGGGGGGAGACGGTAGGACTCACTCCCTGCAGCACCTCACAGGTAAAGGTAGAGCCCCCTCTTCTGAACTTGTAGCCCCCCAATTCTCCCTCCAAGGTTCAAGGTCAACTGCCTCCTCCCTCCCTCCCCACATCCCTTCACACAGGGATGGGGGCTCTTTTCTTTCTCTTGCACTTTCTGTTCATGGACTTTTTGATAATTGCAAACATCTTAAGAGAAAGTGCCAAAGATACTTGTGAAGAGCTTAGGATATACAAATAGATTTCAATGTCCAGCTAGAAGCCCCCCAACTCTGGTAACAGCCCCTTTGAGGCACAGAGGGAGGGAAGGTCTGTTGGTCTAGAATAGGTGAGTTCTTTTTGGGGGGAGCGTTTCCAACGTGAGAGGCTGAAGGTGGTCTTGAGTGGGGGGTGAAAGTCTGGTTGTTTCCTGCCTCTGGAGGGAGAATCCAATGGGACATGGAGTTGTGCCCTTCCTGGGTGAGAGAGGGGGTGAAGGGAGGGTGGAGGTTGTTTTCCTTGACCTCTTGGCAGCTTGGGACATCACTCACATCTTCAGGAGAAGCTCAGGGAGGGAGGGGTTGCAGGCATTCCACCTCAGGGGTTTGGTTCTTAAGTCCTGGGACCTTCCCAGAAAGTTGTTAGGGGGCAGCGTCATTGGAAGCCATGGGGGCCCTCCGGTGGTGTCGCTTGGGGTTACATCTTGTCCCTTGTGCTGTTTAGCATCCTTATGAAGCCACTGACAGCCGTCCTCAGGGGTTTTGGACTGAGGTCTCATCTGTGGTGAAAATAAACCTGTTGGGGAAAAAATTCCACTTTGTTCATTTTATTGAGATCTCCTGCAATAATTAGGGAGATGGGGCCATTCATTGTTTTTCTTTTCACCAGGTATGAGGAAAGAGAGAGTCCAGAGAAGCCACTGGCTTTCCCTCCAGAACTGAGGAACAGGATCTTGGATTCCTGTGATCTAAATCACCTTGTGGAGGATATAATGAAACAATGGAAAGGTAATGAATAATGGCTCCCAGGATTTTACACTGGGAATTCTGATACTTCTTCAGAACTGGACATGCCAGGCTCTTATTGCATGGAATTGAGCAATCCCAGGATACCTTCCTTCTTGGTGCTCCAGCCTTAATTCCCTTTCCCCCCCAGAATGGCCCATGTATATTGTGACGCTGGATCCTGTAAAGAAAGCCTGAAACAGACTGTAGAGCAAAGTCAAGATTTTTTCCTCCCATGTGCATGTTATATGGAACCTCCTTTTCCTTTTGGTTACCAGTCTACACAATCTACACAGTCCTTTTGGAGGTTCTCCTCCACTAAATGGAGTCAATTTAAGGATGCCACGTTATGAAGTGTTACTTTTGTATGGAGATTTATTTCAGGTGGAAGAGTGTTGCCCTTACACTTTATATCTTTTTGCTTCCTCAGTTGCTGTGTTATACAGAAAACAGCTTCAGAAAGGTAAATTTCCAGGGGAGGAACAATTTCACAGGAGGGATGGGGACTGATATTTCATGGGTGTTGAACCATCTGCTCTGCAGACTTTGGGACCCCCATCAATGGCGTCACTCTGGGTAACAGTCCTCTACTGGTGTTTGGGTTCTTTGTCTGTCCCATGAATGAACTGGGCAGGAGGTTGAAGGCTTGGACTTGGGGCAGAGCTTGTCCCTGAGAAGAACCTGCACACCAGTCTGAGTTCCTTTCCTGCCTATAGACTATTATCCTGGTTTCTCCCTTAATGTTATAGATTTTGCTTTCTTTCATAAAATTTATATACTGCTTGATTGTGGGGGAAAGCCTCAGAGCCTTACGATATATTAAAAAAGCCCTTAGGGAGGATCCTGCAGAGTCAGTCCAATGTCCATCTTGTCGAGTTCTCATTTATAAGGAATCTCCCTTGCATTTTGTTTTCCCTCCACATAATCTGGAGAGGTTCTTTTGGGGCTTCTCTTGATTTGCTTGGATTTCTCCCTCGTGAAGTGTGTTAAAAAGGGCACCCGCAAGCACCCAGTCCCTCCTCCACCTCCTGCCAGGCTGGTCTCCCAGAGCAGAGCAAGGCCTGAGCCGCCTCTTTCTCAGAGTTTCAACCTCACCAGCCCCATTTCTCGTGCTTCAGCCATCCCCATCTCCTCAGAGTCCCCACAATTCTTATGAGATCAGCCCCATTCCATGAAGGAGGACTTCCCATTGCACGAGACCCTTAGAATTACATGACAAAGCTCTGCAGCTTCTTCCTCTGCAATTTGGTTTGTCAGCATACTTGGAAATGCCAGTTTCAACAGCTTTTCCCCACCAGTTTACTTGGGGCAGATGTTAAACCTTTCTTCATCCATCCAGTTCAGACCCCCATTTCATTTGTGGATTTTGAATGATTGTATTCCCCCATTTTCTAGTATGGTTTACCATTTCTGATTTTCCCATGAAATTATGGAATAACAGAGTTTGAAAGGATCCCAAGGATTATCTAGTCCAGCCCCCTGCAATGCAGGAATTGCAACTAAACACGTTAGTTGTTTTAATTCCTTAGGCCTAGTGATATTACATTCTCAAGAATAATCTTTTGGAGAATATTTAACATCACTACTTAGTCCTACAGTTGTCATCTTTGCATGATTTAACCTTTTGCTTGAAATAAGGAAACATCAGATGCTATGATATGGTGATGTTTTGTAAAAAATATTTTTGTTTTGTTTTTAGCTACTGCATTGTAGCCTGTTAAGCCTGTCTTTTTGCTTCCTCAGATGTTCTATCATTCAGAAATCTTCAGAAAGGTAAATTTCACATGGAGACCCCAATTCACAGGAGGGGGGACTAGTATTTCATGTGGGTCAAGAGTCTCTTGAGAACCAGTGTGGTGTAGTGGTTAAGAGTGGTAGTCTCGTAATCTGGGGAACCGGGTTCGCGTCTCTGCTCCTCCACATGCAGCTGCTGGGTGACCTTGGGCCAGTCACACTTCTTTGAAGTCTCTCAGCCCCACTCACATCACAGAGTGTTTGTTGTGGGGGAGGAAGGGAAAGGAGATTGTGAGCCGCTTTGAGACTCCTTACAGGGAGTGAAAGGCGGGATATCAAATCCAAACTCTTCTTCTTCTGTACAGCTTGACTCTAGCCCCTGCTGTTTGTATCACAAAGGCAGAGAGGGTGGACTTGAAGATGCAAAAGGGGGAGGGAACTGCCCAGAAGGATTCATTCCTGCCTAGAGAGAGTTGGGTTGCTTTTGCATGTGACCTTTTTCAGGACTGGTTGCCTCATGTCCTCTTTTTCTCAGACAGATCCTCTACTTTCATGATTAAAATTTCTCTCCTGGGCGGATTTTTAAAATTTTAAAATTTGGCAAAATGTCTCAAGTTGTTTGGCTTGGTTTACAGTAACCCATGAAAAAAATTCTAGTGCATTAGACTCAGACCTAAGGCACCCAGCTAAGCTAGCCTAGAGCAGAGAATCTCAACAGAGCAGCATCTTCAGCTGGCCACATCCTGTATAAAACCCTTCTCTTGTGGCTGAACTAAAAGGACTCTGGCTCAGCTCCAAGATCTTGAGGAAGGAGTCTGGGAGGGCAAGAGTTAACACCCCCCTGCCCTTAAGGAGAGTCCATATGTACATGTTTAACAGTTTAATAAATTGTTCTGTGCACACTTGCGTTCACAAAGATGTGAACACGAGCCCAAATACTTGAAAGTGGCAAGTGAGGGAGCAATTATTATTATTAATATTATTATTATTCTTTGGTTGTTGAAAGTTAAGAACATTGCTACTAGCAGTATATCACAGCTTTGAAAGCCTACAAAGAGTAGGGGTATTTAAAATGAGTGTTGTCATAGCGATCCATGGTTAAGAGTAGAAGTTGGCAAATGTGTCCTCTTTTTTGCTCTTCAAAATAACAGCAGCTCTACACTTGCCTGTCATGACTGTCCAAGCCCCTAACTGGTAATCCTTTTGAGTTATTCCCCCTTTCCCCAAGGGAACTAGTCTTATGATGTATATTAAATCCAAGAGAGAAGCATGGAATAAGCAGTCCTTTGTAAAATTGCCCTGCCACCTGCCTCCTCTTCCCTGGCGGCAAGTCCTAAACTTCCAAGATGGTGGGGAGGAAGGCAAGGAGAGACCAAGTGGGTGAGAGCGATGGAGAGCAGGAATAAACAGGCTCCCCACTTAATGCGATTTTGACTTGTGGGCATGAGGGCCCAGAACGTGACCCCCGTGAAAGTGAGGGGAGGCCTATATGTGGTTTTATGTTGTATTTTTATGCTGTGAACCACCCTGAGACCTATGGATGAAGGGCAGTAGGCAAAAATGATTATATTATTATTATTATTATTAATTATTATTATTATATTATTATTATTATTATTATTATTATTATTACAGGGGGGTCCTCATCCCCAACCAGAGGTCCCCAAAGGCCATTCCCACAGAGGAAAGCAGCTTGTCTTCTCTCCTGCCTCCTCCAATTCTCCTCTCTTTCTCCTTAGATAACACAGAAGAGATGAGTAAAAGGTTTCCTGGGTGGTTTTTCGTCTTAGAAAATGCCTGGGTTGAGAGGAGGGCAGGAATAATACACATCGGATATAAGAAAGTGAAGGGAACTGATTTAAAAACCATCAAGGAAGATATTTATTCTGAGGAGTCTGCAAGGATGTTCATGATGCTAACATTCCCAACAGTCTCAGTCTAGCATGTGACGCAAAGAAATCCCCTTGATCTGAAAGGGAACCTGGGTTTTTTGGGTGTTTTTTATTTATTTATCAAGGTGTCCGTTTCTGTCTCTCAGCTGACTCTGCATATTCTTCTCTTTCCCTCATCTTCTCCCCAACAGCAAATGTCACTCTGGATCCAGACACAGCCCATCCCCAACTCATCCTGTCCGAGGATCAGAAAAGCCTGAGTAGGGGAGACAAACCTCAAGCCCTGCCTGATAATCCTGAGAGATTCCGTTACCGGCCTTGTGTGTTGGGACGTGAGGGATTCACAGCAGGCAGACATTTCTGGGAAGTCACTGTGGAAAGTGGGGAATTGTGGGCTCTGGGGGTTGCCAGGAAGTCTGTGGAGAGAAAGGGCTATTTCAACTTCAGTCCTGAGGGAGGAATCTGGGCTGTGGAGAAGTGGGGAGGGGGCTACTTGGCCTGCAGTTCCCCTATTTCCTCTCTTCTGTCCCTGTTTTGGGTGCCCAGGAGGATCCAGGTGACTCTGGACTATGAAGGGGGACGTGTGTCATTTTCTGACGCTGACTCAGGAGCCAAAATCTACACGTTCTCAGGGGCCTCGTTCTCTGGAGAGACCCTCCTCCCTTTCTTTTGCCTGTGGAGAAATGAAACCCACCTCAAGATCTCCTGAGGAGACTAAATCTGCCTCTCAGGCCCAGCATTTTCTTTCCTTTTCCCAGAATTCCCTCTTCAGCTTCTTAAAGAGTCAGTCACACTTTCAGGAGTCCTAATAAATTTTCTCACCTTCAATCTTCTTTTCTATTTGAGATGTCTGATTTGGCAGAGGACGAGACTCTCAATCCCACGGTTGTGGGTCTGAGCCCCACGTTGGGCAAATGTTTCCTGCACTGCAGGGGGTGGGACTAGATGACCCTCAGGGTCCCTCACAACTCTGTAATTATAGGAAACCTTCGTCTCCCCACAATATCTTCTGCAGCTGTGAAAATGCATAAATTATTGGATTTATAGATGACTAAAAAATGAACCCCTTCACCCACGTCAGGCAGGATAGCTCCTTGCTCTGGAGACCTCAGACAGGAAGAAAAAGAAATTGAACTGGGAATCATCTTCAAATGCCCTCTGCAAATACAGCCTCGCCATCCCCACACGTTGTCAGAAGTAAACCTTCTTGCATTGAGTGGGGCTTCTGCTCAGCTAAATGTGTTTTGAGTGGATGCATTAACGTTCCTTATTTACAGGCTGGATTCTGTCTATCGGGGGCATCAAATGGGGCGTCCTCTGGATAATGCTGGACTCCAACTCCCCTCCGACTCATCCAGCATGGCCAGGGGACAGAGAGGGTGGGAGCTGCAGTCTGGCAGCTTCCGGAAGGGGCCCCATGGCCTGTACTGCCCCATACATTACGCAGGACATCGTCCCTGTGTTCCTCAGCTCCACCCCAAATACACAGTGCTCCCCCCAAGGAGTGTCTTTTCAGCACCAGGTGCATCTGATTTCTATTCTGGGATACTAACAGCTGGAACAACACATGCCTGTGGAATTGACCACTCAAAGATCAGGCAGGACTCACTCTGGCTCCACTATCAGGGCCACTGACTACTAACCGGTACAGCCTCCTCTCCTTTCCCTGCGTTTTCCACAGGGTGGTGGCACATGATGGAATAAAGACACCTCCCCCCCCCACCTGCCTGAGCGCCACCTCCCCTTCCTCCATCCCCTACATGATGTTGGCCTCGTTTGTGTGTCATCGTACGTTTCCTGGGAGCCTCCACTCACCCCGTGGAAGGAAGGACACAAAAGTGTCCCATTTGGTCCATCGCCCAAGAGGGGCCACCCAGACACCTGTGGAAAACCTGCAAGGAGGACCAGAGAGCAAAAGCAGCCTTGCCCCCCCCCCCTGCAGCCTCCAGCAACCAATCTTTACAAGCATGGGAGCCAACTTGAATAAAAATATTTTTGGCGGGGGGAGCAGATAAGCCCTAATCCTTTCCACCTTCGGCTTGGTTTCATCCCTCGCCCTTGGTTACCTCCAGCACCTTCCCCTGCTCCTTGGCAGTGGCACGCACCCCTTGCCGCGGGCACCCTGAGCGGGGGGTCTGGCCAATGCCCACCCCCACTGCTGACAGGCAACACCACGCAGCCCCTTCCACACCATCCTTGGTCCAAAAAGCAGTCCTCATTACAAATGGGAGGGGCCAAAGGCCACGTTGGGAACCCCAGGGAGAAGCTGACTGGAGTGGCCATTTTGCCTAGAATGGACAATGCCCCCCGAAAACACACTCACACACACACACAAATGTTGGCTGTGTCCCTAACACATTTCTCTTGCATTGGCGGTCAAAATGCAGAAAAACAATGGGAGCACTAAGCATGTTCAAGAATGCTGTTTCAAGGTGCACAACACAGTGGGACTTTAAATGACACAATGGATGAAACATCAGGGCTTAGACTGAACCCTTTTTAAAGCAGGCCATGCTGGGAATAGGCATACATAGAACTGAGCAAATGCCAATATTGCATGAGGTTGCAGAGCAGAGAGAGAGAGAGACAGAGAAACCAATAAGGGTTATTCCATTGCTACAGCTCAGAGCTGCCTTGGGCTCTTCCACAACTGTCACCTAATAATAGTCACTCCATCACTGTTTGTATCCCAACTGGTCATTATAACGTGAAGAACTAGTACTGAGCTTGTTCCTTTCCTCCTCCTTCCCCATTCCCCTTTCCTTTTATGTCACCTATTTTAGCTTGTTTTTCATTGATCTGTGAAACTGCATTCTTACTTCACCACAAACAGATGCTTATGTTCAAAGAAAGTGGTTTGAGAAGCACATTCACACTAAATCAAGCATTGCTGCAAGCAGCAAGTTTTCAAACCGTAGTAATGGGTGAAGAGAAACAGCTTAAATTGTGGCAAGGTGTTGTGAGCAGGTGCTAACAACATGGATACCTAGTGCTGGTGAAATGGCTTATTCCCCCCTCACCCCAAAACAGCTCTGTGAGGTTGACTAGTATCAGGATGAGCAACTGGTCCAGGGGACTCTGAATTCCTAAAGCTAAAAAGGGACTTGAAACCAACTCTCCCCAAGCCCAAGTTTCTAGGCATCTGGTTGCCTCCCCCTCTCTGCCACCCAAAGTCAACGAGGGCCAGCTGAAAAGTTATGCATTTACCTGCTTGCACATATTGTTGTTGTTCTTGTTTAGTTGTTTAGTCATGTCCGACTCTTCATGGCCCCCTGGACCAGAGCACGCCAGGCACTCCTGTCTTCCACTGCCTCCCGCAGTTTGGTCAGACTCATGCTGGTAGCTTTGAGAACACTGTCCAACCATCTCGTCCTCTGTCATCCCCTTTTCCTTGTGCCCTCCATCTTTCCCAACATCAGGGTCTTTTCCAGGGAGTCTTCCCTTCTCATGAGGTGGCCAAGGTATTGGAGCCTCAGCTGCAGGATCTGTCCTTCTATTGAGCACTCGGGGCTGATTTCCTTCAGAATGGAGAGGTTTGATCTTCTTGCAGGCCATGGGACCCACCTTATTTTGGTGACAGTAAGTTGTTTTAAATTGCTGTTAATTATTGTCTTTAATGGTTGTAACCAGGGGGTAAAGGACTGATTCATAGCAAGAATAAGAATAAGTGGGGAGCTTTATCCTACAAGACGCACTCCAAGTTTAATTTCTTCAAATGCTAAGCAACTGGGAGCTGCTTCTCTCACCCAGTGGAGCAAGCAGTTTGCATTCTTTTCTTCGTTTTCTCTGCTCAAATCACAAAGGCCTCTTTTTCTGGTGTTCTCTTAAGTTGCACGAGTGGTTGGAGATTCTCACACAATTGGGCATTTGCATGGCTTCCCCCATGTGTGGGTCCCTCTGCGACTCCGTAATGTATCTCTCTAGTTTCCCACAGTGGAAGCACTTGTGCGCTTTCTGCTCAGTATGGATCGTCCGTTGCAACTGAACCTCTTCTCACACTCGGGAAACTATGGTTTCTCTTCCATGAGCCTCTCTGATGGCTCACCTAGATCTCTCGCTGGGGAAAGGGCTTCTCGCCCTCAGACCCTTCGCACAGTTCCTCTCCCATGTGCCTCCTCTGGTGTTCAGCCAGGGCGGATCCTCCCCGGAAGCTCTCCCCACACACGGGGCATTCGTAAGGGTGCTCTTTGCCATTCAGCCTCCCCAGCCCCAAACTGTGCTTGTCGTTCCTCCCATGATTTGAGGAGAAGGGCTTTCTGCTCCAAAGTGCATTGGGCTTCCACTAAAGGGAACTGGACTTCTGGGAGATGGCTGTGTTCATTTGCTCCCTGGTGTCCTTTGGATCTGGAATCTCAGCTAACAAAGGAAGGTTCCTCAGGGATATTCCCTCTGGCACAGCTTCCCTGGGTGGGAATTCTCCACCTTGATCTCTCTCCTTTTACCTGCAGGTGATGGTGAAACTGAAAACATTTTTAAAACATGTGTGGGAAACCCAGAAGCTGGACCTGGGAACAAGATCCCCTCCCCTTCTAGAGTCTCCAGTAACCGCTATTCAGGAGGATTCCTGCTTCCAACCACAGAGGCAGGGCATATAACCATCCAAAGACTTATCCTCCAGGAATTTTATCTAGTCCTCTGTTAAAGCCCCCCAGGTTTTTCAGCCATTGCAAGGGACCACAATTTATCAGGAATATAGGAAGACTTCACAATGTGTAGTAATATTGATTAATAATATTGGCCAGGATCGCACCAGGCATTCCTATCTAGGGAAGGAGCTCCATAACTTGTCTGCCGCACTACAGATGGTGCCTTCTGCCAGGCCAGCCCATTGGTCCATCGAGGTCAATATTGCCTCCACTGACTGGCAGCTGCTCTGCAGGGTCTCCAGGCAGGGGGCCTTCCTAGCCATACCTGGAGATTTACTGGCAAGGGATGATGGGAGTTGTAGCGTGAAGCAAACAGAGGGCTCCAGGTAGGCAATGCTGAAAGCGTCCTTTTCAATCTGAAGTTCTTTGCCACAATGCTAAAAACGGATTAAGTCAAAACCAGCAACCAGATTTTTAGGAGTTCTCGTCACGGAATCAAGTCCTGCTTGATAAATCAAAACTGCCTTCCATTTAGGGCAGAGGCAGATTTTCTCCAATTCAAAAATGACAAGGAATCCTGTTAGAGGAATTTTAAGGTCATAGATATAGATAAAATAAACATTAATAACTGTACAAGGCAAACACATACATAAGTATATAAACCACGTGTCTGAAATAGTGCAGGAGAACAATTCTGAAGCCATTTTGACTCCCAAATTGACCTCAAATGTTTCTCTGCAAGGAGGAAGGAAAATGGAAAACCTCCCCATTGTCTCTTTGCTCACAAATCCTGTCTTAAGGGCGTATCTGTGTATGAACAGGGTGAGCCTGTGACCTTGGGAACTGAATATTTACCATCAAAAAGAATGGCCAGATTGACCAGTTAATGCAACCAGTGACCATTATCAGGTATCCTGGCAGACAGGACTTCTGCTGTAGGCTTGCCCCTTCAGTGATGTATGTATCATGCATTGGGGGGTGGACAATTTCAAAAGTCTATATAAGGGTTTGCATCATAGCTGTCAACTTACAGATTTGAAAATAAGGGACCAGCAACCTCGAAAATAAGGGATCAGCAGCCAAAATAAGGGATCAACCATTACTTTTATAAAATACATATTTTGTTGTGTGCAAATGGCTTTAGATACCTATTAGGTCCATAAATTACCATATAGCATATATTCAACACAAAAAAGCAGCAACAATTTGTTGTTGACAAAGCAAGCTGGACATAGAAAGGGCCCCATTACCTTCAGTAGCTTATTTAAGAGACATCATCAATAAGGGACAGCAGTGGGGCACGGCGCTGGGATAAGGGACTGTCCCGCCAAATAAGGGACGCTTGACAGCTATGGTTTGCATACCAATGTTCTGGGTTCCTCCTCCCTCCTGTGTGGCGGTGGGGTGTTAGCACCCTGTTGCAACAGCTTTAATAAAGATCAGGCTTACTAGCTGCTTTGCTTCTCAATATTCTCTATGAATGACTATGAATGAAAATGTTACAATATGACTACCACAACTTACTAGGTGTGTGTGTTTGTGTGTGTGTGTCTAATCAAAAGCATGGGAAGCAATCCAGAAGCATTCCCTGCAACTTGAGAAAACATTCACCAAATGCAAAGACCTGGGGACATGTTTTTTTTAAAAAAAAGATCATGTGGTGACTGAATTTCTGAGTCATTTCCAGGAAGGGAAACTCCCGGTAGCTGAAAACGCAGAAAACGAAACTTACCTGGGACTTTCAGGTGAGGGAGCCATGGCTGCTGCAGGGGGTCACATCCAGCGTCTCCGTGATGAAGCCACGTGCTCCATCTGCCTGGAATACTTCAAGGATCCAGTGATCATCCCAGAGTGTGGGCACAACTTCTGCCGATCCTGCTTGATCCAGTGCTGGGGGGAATCGGAGGCAGAGGCTTCCTGCCCTCAGTGCAGAGAAAGAGTCCAGAGAAGGAGCCTCATACCCAACCGGCAACTGGCAAACTTCGTAGAAATAGCCCAGAATCTCAGCCTTCAAGAGGGAAAGGAGGAAGGAGGGAAAGGAGGAGTCTGCGAGGAGCACCAGGAGCCCCTGAAGCTCTTCTGCAAAGTCCACGAAGCCCCCATCTGCCTGGTGTGTGACAGATCAAAGGAACATGAAAATCACAAGGTGATTCCTCTGGAGGAGGCTTTCGAGGAATACAAGGTAGGAGATCCCTGGATCTTGAGGGGGAGAAATAGTTGTGGATTGTTCTTGGGAGGTTTTCTTTTTAATTCTCAGGTCCAAAGTAGGCATGGCATGAATTGGTGGTGGTTTATTATGTAAAAAGCAGCCTGAGGGCTCCTGGGATGACTGGGATGAGGGAGTTGAAGTCTTTCTCTCTGCCAGAAAGGGTTAACCTCATTCACATCCCGCAGCAGGTTGCTTTGTAAATATTTAGAACACTACAAATCCGCCAAGAGTTGTGGACTTTGTCCCCGTTGCCTGGGGGATCCCAGCCACGCCAGAGCCCGGCCAGTCAATCCGGTGCCCGGGGCAGTTTAAACCAAGGAGCAGCCAGAGGACTTCCTCTTGGCTCGCTTCCTCAATCACCCGCCCTCCCTCCATATTCGCAGGTTAGGCACTAGCCTTGCTATGGACTTTGGTTGGTCGCCTTGGTTGTCCGAGGGGCCTGGTAGGAATTTTTCCACTTGGCAAATTGGCACTGGCCACTTGGTTTTTGCCTACCTCGTAGCAATCGTCACAGCTTTGTTAGGGTTGCGGTTAGGCATTGTTTGACCTTGTGTGGGGGAGGGGAGGTGTGGCCATCACCTGCCCCTCCATGCTTAAGGGTATTCCGTTAAAGGAATACGGGAGTCTTGATCTTGTCCGAAGCCCGTTTGGGGGCTGGGACCTTGACACGACCCCGACGGAAACACCAGGGGGAAATTGAGGTGGTTCGCTTCAACAGGGCTCCCCCTACTGGTGGCTTACCCTTACTGGACTTCCTGCACAGCGGGCAGGGGTCAGATATAGTCAGGGCCAATCAATACCTAAGCCAATGCCGCTCACATTCTGTAATTCAATAAAGTTGTGGCCAAAATTTGCCCAATAACATAAACCTAATATCTGTGTCCTTGTGTTAGTTATTTACCAATGAGGGGGTGGCTGTGGGGTCTCAACACGCAAATGTAAATTGCACATACACAACTATGTACCGGTACATGTCTCCTTTGGCTAGCAGGATGCCTCCTCAATGCCCTGCAAAACAGAGAACAGCAAGGGATCAGTTACAGGGGGGGCAGTGGCCAGGAATTGACCAGATGGTGCAGGATCCCCCCCCAAAGCAGATTTAGGAGTGGGGGGTGGTGCAGATTTGGAAGCAGATTTAGGAGTGGGGGGTGGTGGAAGCACCTACTGGAGGGGAGCACGCTTATTCTGGGGGTGCTGTGGGGGCTCTGAGGATCTCCTCCCATCCCAAAAGGCAAAGGACTTCTGCTTCAGAAGAAACTTTTAAAAATGCCTTTTAATCCCTTAAAAATATTCACGTCTACTACAGAGCTGCAAAAATGCTCCTGTGCAATGCAAGGTAAATAATGCCACGAAATAGTAATAATAATGAAATGAAGCTGGTCCCTTTGAACTTGCGGGATGACCAGACTGCAATCTTCTGACCGAAGGAGCTACTTAGGTGGATTCTGGGCCAGCAAGAACTTCTTTGGCCCAGAAATGGAAGAAGCTCTTAAATCTCCCCTGGTGGTCCAAGCACACGTGGGCTCTGGCTACTGCAGAGAAAAGAACTGACAAGTAGCAGAAAACCTGAATTGCCATCTGACCCAGTTAAGTGGCAGAGCAGTGGGGTCACAAGGAAGGGTGGAAAAGCCCTAGGCTTGCAGAAGAGGGGTTTGGAATGGGTGAAGTTTTGAGAAGCGCTGCTCTATCCCTGTCTCTCTAGCCTCTTGGGCTGCCTTTGCTCTTCTCCAGACTAGTTTGTTGCGCTAGAAAACTTTCCCATCCCAGTTCTGCTGTGCTTTTCAGCCAGTGTGCTGTGGCATCTGGGGTGCCCTGAATGATGCTCAGGGGTGCTGCTGGCAACACTGGCCTCTGTCCCTCTTTCCTTCCCTCCCTCCTCGGATGCCATAGCTGCCTCCCAAAGGCTTGCGCAGCTCTTTGTTGCAGCAGCCCTGGCTACAAGCTCCGCTGGCAAATGGTGCTCTGGGGCTGGCCAGGGGGTGTGGGCTGCCAGGAGCTGAGGCGGCCTCGGAGGAAGCAAGCAAACTGGCGAGGGGCCCTTGCTGGTGGGAATGGACAGACAAGTCCCAGGCTCCTGTGGGGCAGGAGAGAGCACTCCGCAAGGGGGAGGGTGTTTGAGAAAGGGTGAGGGGCTGCAAGCTCCGCAAGCAAGGGGGGGCCTAACTGGGATCCTGAGCCCCACAGGGGTGCTGCAGAAAAAAGGTAGTTGGTCGAGGGAGTCATGCACCCAAAAAGGTTGAAAACCTCTAGACTCTTATTTCCTCAAGTAAACTACTTTGCTATTATAGCAAGGCCACCGAGCCCAAGAAGCCAGTGTAATATTCATCTGTCTCTGTCTGTCTCAATCAAACCTGAGTTTTTCCTTTTCTCTTTAGGGAGAGATCTGTCACCGCCTGGAGATTCTGAGGAAAGAGAGAGGGGAAATTCTGGCCCATCAAGCAGACCTGGACAAGGAAAGCAAAGACCTCCTTGTAAGTGCCACTCTTGTTACTAGGGAGGGAACAAGCACTTGAAGAGTCGAGTCAGGACTGAGGAGGGATGGGGAAATCTGCCCATTTCAGCTTCTCCCCATTTCTCCTTTTTCCATATCAGTTTGTTTATTCATTTATTATTCTGAAAATGAATCAGATGTTAGGGTAGCTACTTCCTTGTATAAATATTTTTATATGTACTTTACCCTCATAAATACATGGTTTGTGAACAAAATTGACCTTGAGCAATTCAGAGGTGTGAATTTCAAAGGATTGCTCTGTTTGCTCTCCATAATTTTTCAGCAATAGCAACTTAGGTAAATTCACTTTTGAATGCAGCTAATTTGAGTTTACGGTGGTAGCTTTAGTTATGAACTTAATTTGTTCTGGAGGTCTGTTTTTAACCTGAAACTGTTCTTAACTAGAGGCGTGCTTTCACTAATGGGGCCTCTTGCTGCTGTTGCGCTGCCGGCACACGATTTAAAATCTCATCCTGGGGCAAAGTTCTCAACTCAAGGTAACTCTTCCAAGTTAGTGGAATTTGTAACCTGAAGCGTTTGTAACCTCAGGTGTTTGTAACTCAAGGTACCACTGTATTTCCCATTGTCATTTATTATGTGAATAGCAGTCAAGGACAAGCCTGAGGAATTGTGAGCTGAGAGGGTGGAAGTAAGTCAATTCAAATCCTGATTTACCATCAATATTACTAAAGAGTTGTCTTTCTAAATATGCGCTCTTGTTCATCTTTAGGAAATTCAGTGAGCTATGGGGATAAACTCTGCACTTTCTCCTCATCCTCCTCTGTTTCTGTTACCTTCCTTCCACCTCAAAGGTCCCAGTCTAAACTGAGGGTGTTTTATGTCCATGGACGTTCTCTGAACAACTCTGAACTCTGGTTATGCCATGCCCCAAATCATGCAGGGAATATCCTGTGGGGATGTTTAGGGAGGCAGGAGAAGATATATTATTTTATTACTGTATATCCTTCATAACTTTCGCTAGCAAGTTCTATAACTTAGCAGAGTTATTAAATAATCCCCCTTTTAAACAACACAGCGGTTAGCTAGTTGCAGGCTCATCTGAGCCTCACTATTATGATTCTTGGTTTCCTTATTTTATATCCCTCCTAAAAGAATAGACACGGCCATCTGGTTAAAGTTAACATAAAACTAGTTTACTTACAATCATCCAGTTCACAATGAGAATCCTGAAAGCAGACTTAATTTACAGAACAACATATAACTTTGTGAATTATCCCATAATAGAAATAGTCTCAAGTGACCGCGACTGAGCAGTCACTTCTCCTAACTCTTAGGAACACACAATGGAGAAGACACGGAGCAGAACATGGAGGCCGTGCGCTCCTCTCCCAAGAACAGGCCACACTCACATTCACTCACATGCAAAGGAAGTCTGTCCCAGCTCAGGAGGAACTAGCAAGTTTTCTCCTGAGTGATACAAAGCATTCCCCAGCATGTGCATTGTAGGACTGTTATATTTGACTGCAATACGTTTTTACATCCCACATATCCATGGCTAGAAAACAAATGCTCCTTCCTTTAGGCTGTAACCCTCTGCAAAATAGAAGTCAACAGGAACAGCAATGGAGAGGGCCTCCCCTCAAAATAAAGGTTTACTTCTTTAGCCACTGGAGGTTCCCTGTCTCTGAAAAATCAGAAGTGTCGTCCCTGTGGAATTCTCACAATTCTCTTCCTGGTGTTTTGAAGGCTGAGCACCTTCCACACTCAGACCTCCTCTTTTCTTGCAGAAATTAACAGAAACGGAGAGGCTGAAGACTGTGGAGAAGTTCAGAGAACTGCGCCAGTTCCTGGTAGAACAAGAAAAACATCTGCTGACTCACATGGAAGAGGTGGAGAAGGAGATTGCAGGGAGAAGGGATGAGCAGCTGGCCAGACTTTCCAGGAAACTCTCCTCTCTTGAGAGGATCATCCAGGAGATGGAGGAGAAGCGTCAGCAGCCAGCGAGTGAACTCCTGCAGGTAAGATGGTGGCAGGAACAGCCCAAGGCTCCAGGAAAAGGCTGCCCCTTTCATGTATGCAAGGAGTGCAGGGGCTGAGATGATGGAGCCTCTAGTCAGGTTTGTAATGGACAGGAAGACCCAAGAGACCTGGGATGCTTAACTCACCTGAATGGAGACTAGAGATTCGTCTGTGTTCTTGATGGAACGGGAGCTGATCTTCTTTGCTCTTTGCTGATGCTTTGTCTCTGAATGCCTCTCAGCTGTGGGGGGCTTCGCCTAGGATGCGTTCAGGTCTGCTTCCGACATGAGCCAGTCTCTTGACCAAGCTTCTCTTCCCATTCCCTCCACAACTTCTGGGTTGATCCCCTTCCCCATGGATACAGATCGGCCCAAAATGGTGCTCAGTCACAGTGACCAAAGAGCAAGACAGAGGGACTCATCCAGACTGCTGCTTGTCCCACCCCTTTCCTCCAGGAAAACCCACTGTTTACTGCTGAATTAGAGCAAACCTCAGCCAGGTTTTCTCCGGATTGACGTTTGCTTTGATGTTGCACTAAGGAGCAGGTTTTTCCTGAGGGAAAGCGACAGGGCAAAGACAAAACCACTTGGACTCGTGTTTTCTGGGCACAGGAAAGGGAGAAGTGTGGATGAGCCCAAAGAAACATGGAATTGTTTTATTTCCCCTTTGGAGGCATTTTATGCTGCAGGTGCATTTTTTTTATTTCCAGATGGAAAATAGAATTTGAAATTTGGGGACTGGGACAGTGCCCTGGCAGGATTATCCTGTAGGCTTATGTTTGTCTGAATAGCACAATGCAAACTGGATTAAAGTTATTAAAATATGGAAATGGGGAGAACTTGAAATTGGAACAATTAATAATTTCAGACTGGAAAAATAAAAGCTATGAGAAACCAAAACTGGCTGATTCCGCCATCCCTACCCAAAACCTTGGCATGTGCCAGGCAGACTGACATCTGAGGGCCAGGGTCAGAGGGGGTCTTCCTAGTGTGGCCTGTGGTGTGCAGTGAATTCCCTTTTCCTTTTCCCTCTAGGATGTGAGAAGCACCTTGCAGAGGTAAGTGGATCTGGCTCATTTCCATTAGCATCACTCTTTGAAGCTGAGATGCAAGAACCTCAGACATGGCCCTCCAGGGGCTGCAGGGGGGAGACTGTAGGACTCACTCCCTGCAACACCTCACAGGTAAAGGTAGAGCCCCCTCTTCTGAACTTGTAGCCCCCCAACTCTCCCTCCAAGGTTCATGGTCAACTGCCTCCTCCCTCCCTCCCCACATCATTTCACAAAGGAATGGGGGCTTTTTTCTTTCTCTTGCACTTTCTGTTCATGGACTTTTTGGTAATTTCAAACGTTTAGAAGAGAAAGTCCCAAAGATGCTTGGGAAGAGCTTAGGATGTACCAACGGATTTCAATGTCCAAGTAGCATCTTGTCCAAGTAGCAGCCACCCAACTCTTGGCAGCTTTGGACGTCACTCACATCCTCTGGAGAAGCTCAGGGAGGGAGGGATTGCAGGCATTCTACCTCAGGGGTTTGGTTCTTAAGTCCTGGCACCTTCCCAGAAAGTTGTTGGGGGCAGCATAGTTTGAAGCCATGGGAGCCCTCCGGTGGTGTCGCTTGGGGTTACATCTTGTCCCTTGTGCTGTTTAGCATCCTTACGAAGCCACCGACCAGGGTGTCAAGAGATGAAGCTGATTCCTGAAAATTACCTGTTGCGAAATGAACTTCAACTTTCTTTAGGTTATTGAGATCTCCTGCAATAATTAGGGAGACGGTGCCACAATGGGGCCATTCATTGTTTTTCTTTTCACCAGGTATGAGGAAAGAGAGAGTTCAGAGAAGCCACTGACTTTCCCTCCAGAGCTAAGGAACAGGTTCTTGGAATCCTGTGATCTAAATCACCTTGTTGAGGATACAATGAAACAATGGAAAGGTAATGAAAAATGGCTGCCAGGATTTCACACTGGGAAATCTATTACTTTTTCAGAACTGAACATGTTGTTGTTTAGTCGTTTAGTCGTGTCCGACTCTTTGTGACTCCATGGACCAGAGTGCACCAGGCACTCCTGTCTTCCACTGCCTCCCGCAGTTTGGTCAAACTCATGCTGGTAGCTTCAAGAACACTGTCCAACCATCTCGTCCTCTGTCGTCCCCTTCCCCTTGTGCCCTCCATCTTTCCCAACATCAGGGTCTTTTCCACTGAGTCTTCTCTTCTCATGAGGTGGCCCAAGTATTGGAGCCTCCGCTTCAGGATCTGTCCTTCCAGTGAGCACTCAGGGCTGATTTCCTTACGAATGGATACGTTTGATCTTCTTGCAGTCCATGGGACTCTCAAGAGTCTCCTCCAGCACCATAATTCAAAAGCATCAATTCTTTGGCGATCAGCCTTCTTTATGGTCCAGCTCTCACTTCCATACATCACTACTGGGAAAACCATAGCTTTAACTATACGGACCTTTGTTGGCAAGGTGATGTCTCTGCTTTTTAAGATGCTGTCTAGGTTTGTCATTGCTTTCCTCCCAAGAAGCAGGCGTATTTTAATTTCGTGGCTGCTGTCACCATCTGCAGTGATCATGGAGCCCAAGAAAGTAAAATCTCTCACTGCCTCCATTTCTTCCCCTTCTCTTTGCCAGGAGGTGATGGGACCAGTGGCCATGATCTTCGTTTTTTTGATGTTGAGCTTCAGACCATATTTTGCGCTCTCCTCTTTCGCCCTCATTAAAAGGTTCTTTAATTCCTCCTCACTTTCTGCCATCAAGGTTGTGTCATCTGCATATCTGAGGTTGTTGATACAGTGGTGCCTCGCAAGACGAAATTAATCCATTCCGCGAGTCTCTTCGTTTTGCGGTTTTTTCGTCTTGCGAAGCACGGCTATTAGCGGCTTAGCGGCTATTAGCGGCTTAGCGGCTATTAACGGCTTAGCGGCTTTAAGAAAAAGGAAACAAACTCGTAAGAACTCGCAAGACGTTTCGTCTTGCGAAGCAAGCCCATAGGGAAATTCGTCTTGCGGAACGACTCAAAAAACGGAAAACCCTTTCGTCTAGCGAGTTTTTCGTCTTGCGAGGCATTCGTCTTGCGGAGCACCACTGTATTTCTTCCGGCAATCTTAATTCCGGCTAGGGATTCATCCAGCCCAGCCTTTCGCATGATGAATTCTGCATATAAGTTAAATAAGCACGGAGAAAATATACAGCCTTGTTGTACTCCTTTCCCAATTTTGAACCAATCAGTTGTTCCATATCCAGTTCTAACTGTAGCTTCTTGTCCCACATGGAGATTTCTCAGGAGACAGATGAGGTGATCAGGCACTCCCATTTCTTTAAGAACTTGCCATAGTTTGCTGTGGTCGACACAGTCAAAGGCTTTTGCATAGTCAATGAAGCAGAAGTAGATGTCTTTCTGGAACTCTCTAGCTTTCTCCATAATCCAACGCATGTTTGCAATTTGGTCTCTGGTTCCTCTGCCTCTTCTAAATCCAGCTTGCACTTCTGGGAGTTCTCGGTCCACATACTGCTTAAGCCTGCCTTGTAGAATTTTAAGCATAACCTTGCTAGCGTGTGAAATGAGTGCAATTGTGCGGTAGTTGGAGCATTCTTTGGCACTGCCCTTCTTTGGGATTGGGATGTAGACTGATCTTCTGCAATCCTCTGGCCACTGCTGAGTTTTCCAAACTTGCTGGCATATTAAGTGTAGCACCTTAACAACATCATCTTTTAAAATTTTAAATAGTTCAGCTGGATTATCATCACTTCCAGTGAATATCATCATTGAACATACCAGACTCTTATTGCATGGAATTGAGTAACCCCAGGATACCTTCCTTCTTGGTGCTCCAGCCTTAATTTCCTTTCCCCCCCAGAATGGCCCATGTATATTGTGACGCTGGGAAAGAAAGCCTGAACCAGAGTGTAGAGCAAAGTCAGGATTTTTTCCTCCCATGTGCATCTGTTTATAATTATACGAAACCTCCTTTTCCTTGTGGTTCCCTGTCTGCACAATCTGAGTTTGTCCTTTTGGAGGTTCTCCTGCTCCCCTCCAGTCCTCCAATGTAGAGCCCAATTTAGGGGCAAAGTTCAGAGACCATCAGGATTCATACTGAATATTTTTATTCTGCAATTTGTAAGCTTGCTTTATGATTGCTGAGTTTTAAAGCTTTAGTTATTTTCTTAGATTCTTCCTATGATTTTCTTGGTATTAATTATTTTGCGTATAATTTAATTAATATTTAATAATTGTACTTGAATTTAAGGATGCTATGTTTTGAAATGTTACTTTTGCATGGAGATTGATTTCTGGTGCAGCAGTGTTGCCCTTACACTTTATATCTTTTTGCTTCCTCAGATGCTCTGTTATACAAAAAAACCGATTCAGAAAGGTAAATTTACAAGGGAAGAACAATTTTTTCACAGGAGGGATGGGGACTGATATTTCATGGGTGTTGAACCATCTGTGCTGCAGACTTTGGGACCCCCATCAATGACGTAACTCTTGGTAACAGTCCTCTAGTGGTGTTTGGGTTCTTTGTCTGTCCCATGAATGAACTGGGAGGGAGGGTGAAGGCTTGGATTGGGGGCGGAGATTGTCCCTGTGAAGAACCTGCACACCAGTAGTGAGTTCCTTTCCTGCCTATAGACTATTATTCTGGTTTCCCCCTTAATTTTAAGTTCAGATCCCTGTTTCATTTGTGGATTTTGAATGATTATATTCCCCCATTTTCTAGTATGGTATACCATTTCTGATTTTTCCATGAAATCATGGAATAGCAAAGTTTGAAACGATCCCAAGGATCATCTAGTCCAACCCTCTGCAATGCAGGAATTACAGCTAAACATTAGTTGTTTTACTTCCTTAGGCCTAGTGATATTACATTCTCTGGAATAATCTTTTGGACAATATTTAACATCACTACTTAGGCCTACAGCTGTCGTCTTTGCAATTATGTGCTCTATGATTTAATCTTTTGCTTGAAATAAGGAAACAACAGGTGCTATGTTATGGTGATGTTTTGTAAAATAAGATTTATTTTTTAGCTACTGCATTGTAGCCTGTTCAGCCTGTCTTTTTGCCTCCTCAGATGTTCAGTCATTCAGAAATCTTCAGAAAGGTAAATTTCACATGGAGACACCAATTCACAGGAGGGGGGACTAGTGTTTCATGGGGGTCAAGAGTCTCTTCTGTACAGCTTGACTCTGGCCCTGCTGTTTGTAGCACAAAGGCAGAGAGGGTGGACTTGAAGGTGCAGAAGGCGGGGAGAGAAACTGCCCAGAAGGATCAGCTGGAGGAAGGAAGAGTTTCATTCCTGCCTAGAGAGAGTTGGGTTGCTTTTCCATGTGACCTTTTTCAGGACTGGTTGCCACGTGTCCTCTTTTTCTCAGACAGGTCCTCTATTTTCATGATTAAAATTTCTCCCCTGGGTGCAGTGGCATAGCGTGGGGGGTGCCAGGGGTGCCGGCCACACCGGGCGCAACATCTGGGGGGGGGCGTGAGACCAGAGGGCCCAGCCCCGTCGTGCCCTCGGCCCGCCCCTATTGTCAGAGCGGCCGGCCAGCCTCCGCCTCCTCCTACCTTGCCCACCCGAGGACTGCGGCAGCGCCCGCCCCCGTGGCCACCTACCCCCGCCTCGCCCATTGGCTTGCCTCCCTCGGCCCACCTCTCTCCGATGGCCGCGGGGGTGTCCTGCTCAGCGCCGGCGCCTTTTTTCAGGAGGTAGGGAGGCTGGACGGGGAGGGAGCTCGTAGCCAAAAGGGCTGCACCGGCCGGCAAAGGGCCGGGGAAAGTTTGGAGAGGAGAAACGCACCGTCATGATTTCCCGGTGGAAGCGGCAGGATTAGGGATGGCGAAGCGTAATTACGCATGAATTTCGCAGGGTGAGAGCTTCGGGGATCGATCGGCGGAAATGGGAATCAATTGGAATATGAGAAAGAGAGAGAGAGAGGGACCATCATTCATAGGCATAGATTTGTAGGGTTAGGAGGCGCAAATCCACGGGTTAGGGGGCGCAAATTACTTGCCTTGCCCTGGGTGCTGACAACCCATGCTACGCCGCTGCCTGGGTGGATATTTAAAATTTTGCAAAATGTCTCAAGTTGTTTGGTTTTGTTTACAGTAACCCATTAAAAATTTCTAGTGCATTAGACTCAGATCTAAGGCACCCAGCTAAGCTAGCCTAGAGCAGAGAATCGCAACAGGGCAGCATCTTCAGCTGGCCACATCCTGTATAAAACCCTTCTCTTGTGGCTGAACTAAAAGGACGCTGGCTCAGCCACCAGATCTTGGAGAAGGAATCTGGGAGGGCAAGAGTTAACACCCCCCTGCCCTTAAGGAGAGTCCATATGTACATGTTTAACAGTTTAATAAATTGTTCTGTGCACACTTGCGTTCACAAAGATGTGAACATGAGCCCAAATACCCAAATGTGGCAAGCAAGGGAGCAATATGTATTATGTATTATTCTTATTCTTATTATTCTTTTGTTGTTGAAAGTTAAGAACATTGCTACTAGCAGTATATCACTGGAAATGTGTTGAATACATGACCAAAAGATGCTCCAACAAGAATTTATTGATATGTGTAGACTGATTTCACAAAGTTAAGTTAAGCAGATATATAAGATTAAATGTTTAATTATTAAAATACAAAAATAGAATATCAATTCTAAAGTTACAAAATACAGTGGTGCCTCGCAAGACAAAATTAATCCGTTCCGCGAGTCTCTTCGTCTTGTGAAGCACGGCTATTAGTGGCTTAGGGGCTATTAGCGGCTATTAATGGCTTAGCAGCTTAGCGGCTATTAACGGCTTAGCGGCTTTAAGAAAAAGGAAACAAACTCACAAGAACTCGCAAGACGTTTCGTCTTGCGAAGCAAGCCCATAGGGAAATTCGTCTTCCGGAACGACTCAAAAAACGGAAAACCCTTTTGTCTAGCGAGTTTTTCATCTTGCGAGGCATTCGTCTTGCGGGGCACCACTGTAATAAGGAAGTCACGCACGGGTGGAGGGAAGACACAGGGCAAGAAATAAGAAATGGATAAATGTTGGTACATAATGAAATGTAAAAATGCGAATTTACAAATATAATGTATATGTATCATTATGTAAAGATTTCATATATGTATTGCAACATTAATATTTTTTTTAAAAGAAAATTTAAAATATGTAAACATAGGCCCAAACACTTTCATGTGGCAAGCGAGGGAGCAATATGTATTATTATTATTATTATTATTATTCTTTGGTTGTTGAAAGTTAAGAACATTGCTATTAGCAGTATATCACAGCTTCGAAAGCCTACAAAGAGTAGGGGTATTTAAAATGAGTGTCGTCATAGCGATCCATGGTTAAGAGTAGAAGTTGGCAAATGTGTCCTCTTTTTTGCTCTTCAAAATACGGCAAGTCTACACTTGCCTATCATGACTGTCTAAGCCCCTGACTGGTAATTTTTTGAGTTATTCCCCCTTTCCCCCAGGGAACTAGTCTTATGTTATATATTAAATCCAAAAGAGAAGAATGAAATAAGCAGTCCTTTGTAAAATTGCCCGGCCACCTGCCTCTTCTTCCCTGGCGGCAAGGCCTAAACTTCCAAAATGGTAGGGAGGAAGGCACAGGAAAGACCAAGTGGGTGAGAGAGATGGAGAGCAGGAATAAACAGGCTCCCCACTTAACACAATTTTCACTTGTGGGGGGCACGAGGGCCCAGAACGTGATCCCCATGAAAGTAAGGGGAGGCCTATATGTGGTTTTATGTTGTACTTTATGCTGTGAACCACCCTGAGACCTATGAATGAAGGGCAGTATGCAAATATATATTTTTATTTTTATTTTTTTATTATTACACCCCAACCAGAGGTCCCCAAAGGCCAATTCCCACAGAGATTGTAAGAGGAAAGCAGCTTCTCTCCTCTCCTGCCTCCTCCAATTCTCCTCTCTTTCCTCTTAGATAATGTAGCACCCTGCTTGTGGTTAACGCTTAGCGAGAATGAAATATTCAACGCAGCAATAGAGAAATTAAAATAATAATTTATTTGTCAGACAAATAAATGAGAGACACAGTGGTATATGGTTACCAAAAGCTCTGCCCCCTCCAGCCCTGATGGCCAGCACTTATATTTCCTCAGCCCAGCCCCCTTGCTCCTCCTTTGGCTGCCTCTGTCCAATCAGCCTGGTTGAAATTCCTATTGGCTGTTTGCTAGAACCAATCATAAAAGATACACCCACTTCCTATTACCTTTTATGGGGGACAAAGAGCTATATTTCCTTCTATCCATAAATGGCAGACAAGTAGCCATATATCTTACATTTACCTCAACAAGGCACCTTAATTACCAGATCACCTTTTGCCCTATTGCCCCTGCACTCCAATACAAATGGCTAAAACAGATGGCTCATGGTATTAAGTTCTATCTAAACAGAGATCTTGGGTTCACATTCTCACACACCATCAATGAAATAAGAATCTAACGTAAGAATCTAACATTTCTTACTTTCTAAATCCTTTGCATAATTACATTAAGCCAATAAATTTCATGCATAACATAGATAGCTTTTTAGAAGAAAAGGAACTCAGTAAAAACAGCTTCAAAAGCAGCCTCTTCAATTTACACCCCCCTTTCCCAGCCAGCTGCTTTTCCCATTAGCTCTTGCCCTTTAACCTTAGGAAAATATGGCTCAAGTCTGATGGGAGGCACATGGTATTATTTTCTGTTAAACAATAAATCTTACTATTAATTAGTGTTTCTGCAGCTTGATTGTATTCTGTAAGATGTATGGTCAGTGTAACCTTTGCTCCCAGCCTGTATTTCCCTTTTACAACTTTGAGGTACTGCTATAAATCAGGGGGGCCCTTTCCAGGAGAGCAGGAAGATAAACAACTGCCAGAGTACTTAGCCAGGTGGCATGAAACATACAAGCATTTGCAAATATATCTTTAAGCTCATTTTAAAATACAGGCCTTGATCAGATGCCTCAATAACACGGAAGAGATGAGTAAAAGGTTTACTGGGTGGTTTTTCCTCTTAGAAAATACCTGGGTTGAGAGGAGGGCAGGCACAATACACATCGAATATTAGAAAGTGAAGAAAACTGATTTAAAAACCATCAAGGAAGATATTTATTCTGAGGAGTCTGCAAGGAGTCTCAGTCTAGCATGCGATGCAAAGAAATCCCCTTGATCTGAAAGGGAATCTAGGGTTTGGGGGTGTTTTTTATTTATTTATCAGGATGTCCATTTCTGTCTCTCAGCTGACTCTGCCTAATCTTCCCTTTCCCTCATCTTCTCCCCAACAGAAAATGTCGCTCTGGATCCAGACACAGCCCATCCTGAACTCATCCTGTCCGAGGATCGGAAAAGTGTGATATATGGAGACGAAGAGCAAGCCCTGCCTGATAATCCTGAGAGATTCAACAAGCGGCATTGTGTGTTGGGATGTGAGGGATTCACAGCAGGCAGACATTTCTGGGAAGTCACTGTGGAAAGTGGGGGATGGTGGGATGTGGGAGTTGCCAGGAGGTCTGTGGAGAGAAAGGGCGTCTTTGACTTCAGTCCTGAGGAAGGGATCTGGGCTGTGGGGAAGTGGAGAGAGAAGTACTGGGCCTGCACCTCCCCTGTTTCCTCTCCTCTGTCCCTGAGGGAGAAGCCCAGGAGGATCCGGGTGACTCTGGACTATGAAGGGGGACGTGTGTCTTTTTCTGACGCTGACTCAGGAGCTGAACTCTACACGTTCTCAGGAGCCTCGTTCTCTAGAGAGACCCTCCTCCCTTTCTTTCGTCTATTGGATAACAAAGCCCACCTCATTATCTCCTGAGGAGACTAAATCTGCCTCTCAGGCCCAGCAGGAGTTTCTCTCCAGACCAGACTGACTGACGTAAAAAACATTTACCCGCCAAGAGCACGTTGGGCAGTTTCAAGGGCCCTTTGAGTGGATTCATTCCAGTCAAAATCAGCAGAAATAACAAAACAAAAATGGGTTGCTCTTGCTTTGCATTTTCCTTCCTTTCCCCAGAATTCCCTCTGCAGCTTACTTCTTAGAGAGACAGTCACACTTTTCGGAGTCCTAATAAATTTCCTCACCTTCAATCTTGTTTTCCATTTGAGGTGTCTGATTTGGCAGAGGACGAGACTCTTAATCCCAGGGTTGTGGGTCTGAGCCCCACGTTGGGCAAAAGTTTCCTGCACTGCAGGGGGTGGGACTAGATGACCCTCAGGACCCCTCGCAACTCTGTAATTCTAGGAAACCTTCCTCTCCCCACAAGACCTTATGCAGTTGTGAAAATGCATGCATCATTGGAATTATAGATGACTAAAAAATGAACCCCTTCACCCATGTCAGGTAGGATAGCTGCTTGCTCTGGAGACTTCAGATGGGAAGAAAAAGAAATTGAACAGGGCATCATCTTCAAATGCCCTCTGGAAATACAGCCTCGCTATCTCCACACATTGTCAGAAGTAAACCTTATTGCCCCTTTACAAAGTATCTGAAGAAGCAACAAAGCGAACTGGACTCCTTGGCAGGTTTTGAATAAACATTCACAAACTTTTTATTGATAATAATCAGCTAAATAGTTTGAAGATCTATACAACTTTGTAACATGCAGAAAACAGCATTCTTAGAGAAACCAAAGACTGGAACTGAGAGAAGTCGGGGGGGGGGAAGGAAAAATGGGGGGGGACAAGGAAGATATGTTTTTGTTTTTCCCCAAAAATTTTATTAGTTTCACAATATCATAAACAAACAAACAAACAAACAAACAAACAAGACAAACAAACATAAATCATAGCCTTATTGAAAATTACACTTATTAACTTTGTTAAGTGACTTCCCCTTGGTTGAATTTCATTGCATGTCCTTTTAACAGTTTTCCAAATCCGAATTCTTATGAAATTTACCTTAAACATTAACATCCTTAGATCTTCACCTTATGGAATTAAACATATTAATTCATCACTTAACATAAATAGAATCCTAAGCCCATTAGGTATCTGCAAGCTATTTTCAGTTAATTTAACTTAACAAATTAACTAAGTAATCATTAAATTTATTCCACTCTTCCTGATACTCCTCCTCCTTCTGGTCGTGGACTCTTCCATAACAGGATGATATGTTTTTGGATAATATGTCTTGTTATAATTTTGAATAAAAAAAATTGCACAAAAAAGAAGTAAACCTTCTTGCATTGAGTGGGGCTTCTGCTCAGTTAAATGTGTTTTGAGTGGATGCATCAACGTTCCTTATTTACAGGCTGGATTCTGTCTATTGGGGGCATCAAATGGGGCGTCCTCTGGATAATGCTGGACTCCAACTTCCCTCCAACCCATCCAGCATGGCCAGGGGTCAGAGAGGATGAGAGTTGCAGTCTGGCAGCTTCCAGAAGGGGCCCCATGGGCTGTGCTGCCCCATACATTACGCAGGGCACCTTCCCTGTGTTCCTGAGCACCACTCCAAATGCACAGTGGTCCCCCAAGGAGTGTCATTTCGGCACCAGCTACATATGATTTCTCTCCTTGGATACTAACAGCTGGCACAACACATGCCTGTGGAATTGACCCCTCTCAAAGATCAGGCCGGACTCTCTGGCTCCACTATCGGCACCACTGACTACTGACGGGTGCAGCCTGCTCTCCTTTCCCTGCGTTTTCCACGGGGTGGTGGCACATGATGGAATAAAGACACCTCCCCCCCCAGCTGCCTGAGCGCCACCTCCCCTTCCTCCATCCCCTACATGATGTTGGTCTCCTTTGTGTGTCATCATAAGTTCCCTGTGAGCCTCCACTCCCCCGTGGAAAGACACAAAAGTGTCCCATTTGGTCCAGCGCCCAAGAGGGGCCACCCAGACGCCTGTGGGGCACCTGCAAGGAGGACCAGAGAGGAAAACCAGCCTTGCCCCCCTGCAGCCTCCAGCAACCGATCTTTACAAGCATGGGAGCCAACTTGAATAAAAATATTTTTGGCAGGGGGAGCAGATAAGCCCTAATCCTCTCACCTTCGGCTTGGTTTTATCCCTCGGTCCCCTCCAGCACCTTCCCCTGCTCCTTGGCAGTGGCACGCACCCCTTGCCCCGGGCACCCTGAGCTGGGGGTCTGGCCCGATGCCCACCCCCACTGCTGACAGGCAACACCACGCAGCCCCTTCCACACCATCCTTGGTCAAAAAAGCAGCCCTCATTACAAATGGGAGGGGCCAAAGGCCACGTTGGGAGCCCCAGGGAGAAGCTGACTTGAGTGGCCATTTTGCCTAGAATGGACAATGCCCCCCAAAACACACACACACACACACAAATGTTGGCTGTGTCCCTAACACATTTCTCTTGCATTGGCGGTCAAAATGCAGAAAAACAATGGGAGCACTAAGCATGTTCAAGAATGCTGTTTCAAGGCGCACAACACAGTGGGACTTTAAATGACACAATGGATGAAACATCAGGGCTTAAACTGAACCCTTTTTAAAGTAGACCATGCTGGGAATACGCTTACATAGAACTGAGCAAATGCCAATATTGCATGAGGTTGCAGAGCAGAGAGAGAGAGAGAAACCAATAAGGGTTATTCTATCGCTACGGCTCAGAGCTGCCTTGGGCTCTTCTGCAACTGTCACCTGGTAACAGTCACTCCATCACTGTTTCTACCCCAACTGGTCATTATAACTTGAAGAACTAGTACCTGAGCTTGTTCCTTTCATCCTCCCTCCCCATTCCCCTTTCCTTTTATGTCACCTATTTTAGCTTGTTTTTCATTGATCTGTGAAACTGCATTCTTACTTCACCACAAACAGATACTTATGTTCAAAGAAAGTGGTTTGAGAATCACATTCACACTAAATCAAGCATTGCTGCAACCAGCAAGTTTTCAAACCGTAGTGATGGGTGGAGAAGAGAAACAAACTGCTATGACTGTCAGAAATGCAGCTTAAATTGTGGCAAGGTGTTGTGAGCAGGTGCTAGCAACATGGGTCCCTAGTGCTGGTGAAATGGCTTATTCCCCCCTCACCCCAAAACAGCTCTGTGAGGTTGACTAGTATCAGGATGAGCAACTAGTCCAGGGGACTCTGAATTCCTAAAGCTAAAAAGGGACTTGAATCCAACTCTCCCCAAGCCCAAGTTTCTAGGCATCTGGTTGTCTCCCCCCTCTTTAAATTACCATATAGCATATATTCAACACAAAAAAAGCAACAATTTGTTGTTGACAAAGCAAGCTGGACATAGAAAGGGCCCCATTGCCTTCAGTAGCTTATTTAAGAGACATCATCAATAAGGGACAGCAGCGGGACACGGCGCTGGGATAAGGGACTGTCCCGCCAAATAAGGGACGCTTGACAGCTATGGTTTGCATACCAATGTTCTGGGTTCCTCCTCCCTCCTGTGTGGCGGTGGGGTGTTAGCACCCTGTTGCAACAGCTTTAATAAAGATCAGGCTTACTAGCTGCTTTGCTTCTCAATATTCTCTGGCTGGCCTCTGTTATTTTTCTCCTACCGATAGTGAACGGACTCTATACGGGCTCTAGGGTGCCCCATAAGGGATAAGGAGCAGTTTTTTCCCTATCACAAAGACTATGAATGAAAATGTTACAATATGACTACCACAACTTACTAGGTCTGTGTGTTTGTGTGTAATCAAAAGCATGGGAAGCAGTCCAGAAGCATTCCCTGCAACTTGAGAAAACATTCACCAAATGCAAAGACCTGGGGACATGTTTTTTTTAAAAAAAGATCATGTGGTGACTGAGTTTCTCAGTCATTTCCAGGAAGGGAAACTCCTGGTAGCTGAAAACGGAGAAAACGAAACTTACCTGGGACTTTCAGGTGAGGGAGCCATGGCTGCTGCAGGGGGTCACATCCAGTGTCTCCGTGATGAAGCCACTTGCTCCATCTGCCTGGATTACTTCAAGGATCCAGTGACCATCCCAGAGTGTGGGCACAACTTCTGCCGATCCTGCTTGATCCAGTGCTGGGGGGAATCGGAGGCAGAGGCTTCCTGCCTTCAGTGCAGAGAAAGAGTCCAGAGAAGGAGCCTCATCCCCAACCGGCAACTGGCTAATATGGTAGAAATAGCTAAGAATCTCAGCCTTCAAGAGGGAAAGGAGGAAGGAGGGAAAGGAGGAGTCTGCGAGGAGCACCAGGAGCCCCTGAAGCTCTTCTGCAAAGTCCATGAAGCCCCCATCTGCCTGGTGTGTGACAGATCAAAGGAACATGAAAATCACAAGGTGATTCCTCTGAAGCAGGCTTTGGAGGAGTACAAGGTAGGAGATCCCTGGATTTTGAGGGGGAGAAATAGCTGTGGATTGTTCTTGGGACGTTTTCTTTTTAATTCTCAGGTCCAAAGTAGGCATGGCATGAATTGGTGGTGGCTTCTTATGTAAAAAGCAGCCTGAGGGCTCCTGGGATGACTGGGAGGAGGGAGTTGAAGTCTTTCTCTCTGCCAGAAAGGGTTAACCTCATTCACATCCCGCAGCTGGTTGCTTTGTAAATATTTAGAACACTACAAATCTGCCAGGAGTTGTGGACTTTGTTCCCGTTGCCTGGGGGATCCCGGGCCACGTCAGAGCCCGGCCAGCCAATCCGGTGCCCGGGGCAGTTTAAACCGAGGAGCAGCCAGAGGACTTCCTCTTTGGCTTGCTTCCTCAATCACCCGCCCTCCCTCCCTACTCGCAGGTTAGGCACTGGCCTTGCTATGGACTTCCAGGGACGCGGACTTATAAAAAATATTGGGGGGGCCCGGGAAAGCTCATGAATAATAAATAAGCTCATGAATATGCAAATAAAGTGGCGCCGCCTCCTCGTGAGCGAATAGGGGAGAGCGTGCTGCGCCTATTAATCAGCTCCAAAGGAAATTGGGTGGAGCTTTTGCTCGGGAGGGAGGGCAGGAGGCATGCAGCCCGCCCCTCCCTGTGCATTTTGGGCTGGGGGAGGGGCGGCGACGGCGCTCTGCTGGAGGGGCGCCGGAGATTATTGGGGGGCGGAGCCCCCCCAAACGAATTTTTGAGGGGGCTCGGGCCCCCTCAAGCCCCATGGAGTCGGCGCCTATGTGGACTTCCCAACGAGGGGTGGCTGCGGGGCCTCGACATGCAAATGTAAATTGCACATACACAACTAAGTACATATCTCCCTTGGCTAGCAGGATCCCTCCTCAATGCCCTGCAAAGCAAGGGATCAGTTGCAGGGGGGGGGGAGGAATTTCCCAGATGGTGCAGGATTCCCCCCCCCAAAGTATCTGTTGGAAGCAGATTTAGGAGTGGGGGGTGGGTGAAAGTACCTACTGGTGGGGAGCATTCTTATTTTGGGGGTGCTGTGGGACCTGTGCAATGAGGTTTCACGGGGGGGGGGGTGTCTGCTGAGGATCTCCTCCCATCCCAAATGGCAAAGGACTCAGTGGTTCAGAGTAGCATCTGCAAAGACTAAGGGGGGGATGATTTTTCCATCACAACTCAGAATTGGACCTGTGCTATGTATAAAAAAGATAAAACTCTAATTCTGCTTCAGAAGAAACTTTTTTAAAAATGCCTTTTCATCCCTTTTAAAATCATTCACTTGTTCTACTACAGTGGTGCAAAAATGCTCCTGTGCCATGCAATATACGATATACGATACGATATACGATATCTTTATTGTCATTGTCCCATGCGGAACAATGAAATTGAAAAACTACATAAAACTACGTAAAAACTACATAAAACATTCAAAAACCCCTAAAAACTCTGAACCCCATTTTAAAATACACTATACTATAAAAACCCCTTATGCTGCGTTTAGAACCAGAATTGCACTTGTATAGAAACTGTTTCTCAGGCGGCTAGTCCTGGCCTTTATAACCCTATACCTTCTTCCAGAAGGCAGAAGCTGAAACAGATCATTTCTGGGGTGTGCACTATCCTGCGCTATCTCTGCCACTTTCTTATGGCACCTGGCAGCATAGATTTGATCTAAGGTGGGAAGAGTGCACCCAATTATTCTCTCTGCAGTCTTTACAACCCTGGATAGCATTGTTTTTCCCCTGGCCATACAGCTCCCAAACCACACACAGAGACCATAAGTTAATACGCTCTCCACAGTGCAATGGTAAAATGCCACCAACAGGTCCTTTGAGAGATTGTTTTTCCGGAGGATTCTCAGAGAATATAACCTCTGCTGTGCTCTCTTCACCAGGTCTTTGCTGTTTCCTCCCCAGGTTAGGTCGTTTCTCAACTCCATTCCCAGAAATCAAAACACTGAGATCTGTTCCACGCACTTCCCCTCAATAATAAGTGGCTGAATATTCAATTTACAGTGGTGCCCCGCAAGACGAATGCCTCGCAAGACGAAAAACTCGCTAGACGAAAGGGTTTTCCATTTTTTGAGTCGTTCCACAAGACGAATTTCCCTATGGGCTTGCTTCGCAAGACGAAACGTCTTGCGAGTTCTTGCGAGTTTGTTTCCTTTTTCTTAAAGCCGCTAAGCCACTAAGCCGTTAATAGCCGCTAAACCGCTAATAGCCGCTAAGCCGCTAATAGCCGTGCTTCGCAAGACGAAGAGACTCGCAGAACGGATTAATTTCGTCTTGCGAGGCACCACTGTACCTTTCCTAAAGTCCACAATGATCTCTTTTGTTTTCTTTAAGTTAAGGAGTAAGTTATTTTTCTTGCACCACTCCCCCAACTGCTCAACTTCCTTCCTATAGGCCACCTCCCCCTCTCCAACCGTGATTAAACCAACCACCGTTGTATCATCTGCAAACTTAATGATCTTATTACTGGGGTATTTGGGGGCACAGTCAGCTGTATAGAGCATATATAAAAGTGGGCTCAACACGCACCCCTGCGGCGTCCCCGTGTTCGTGATGAGATCTGCAGAGATGTGGGAACCCAACCTGACCCTTTGGGAACGGTTTGATAGAAAGTCTAATATCCACCTGCACAAACATGGTGGAAGTCCCAGGTCTAATAATTTGGGCACCAATCTATGCGGAAGAATAGTATTAAATGCAGAAGTAAAGTCTACAAATAACAGTCTCGCATAGTTCCCTTGCTTCTCCAAATGAGTCAGGACAGCACGTAAAGCCATTGCCACAGCATCCTCTGTGGATCTCTTTGCCTTGTAGGCAAACTGGTAAGGGTCAAGTCCCACTGGCAGACAAGATAAGATGCGGTTCCTCACCAGTTTTTTGAAACATTTCATTATAATGGGTGTCAATGCCACAGGGCGAAAATCATTCAAACTGTCTATCTTTGATGTTTTTGGCAGGGGTATAATGGTAGCGGATTCCAGACAGGGTGGAAAAGTGGACTGGTTAAAAATCTTCATAAAGATTCCTGCCAGTTGGTCCGAACAATCTCTTAGCACCCTGCCAGCCACCCCATCCGGGCCCATAGCCTTCCTCGTGTTTACCTCCTTTAATATTCGCCTCACTTCTCCCTCTTCCACCCTGGCAGCATTTCCTGTAGGTAGTGACGCCAATAGCTCTGGCATCCCTGTTGGAGTCACCTCAAATTGGGCAAAGAAGGTATTCAACTCTCCCACCAAGGAAGCAGTACTCTCTACCACTGATGAATTCCTTGATTTATAACCAGTCAGATGTTGGACTCCCTGCCACATTTGTCTAGTATCATGATTTCTCAGATGGTCCTCAATTTTTCTTCTGTACTCCGCTTTTGCTTTCCTGATACCCCTCTTCAAGTTCGCTCTTTCTATGCCATACAATACCCGGTCCCCAGTTCTAAAAGCAGAGTTTCTGTCCTTCAATAATCTCCTAACCTCTCCCGTCATCCAGGGCTTCCTATTCGGATACAACTTAACATACTTTTCCCTGGTGACATTTGCTGCGCAGAATCTAATATAATCCAGGACTGTTGATGTATAAGTTTCTAGGTCTTGATGGTTGAACATATTCCAGTCAGTCTCCTGGAAACAGTCCTACAGTTGCTGAGAGGCTCCCTCAGGCCACACCGTAACCACCCGTGTTTGTATCTGGCCTTGTTTCCTGAGGGGTGTGTATACTGGTGTCAGAAGCAGGGATACATGATGTGAACCACCGAGGTGCGCCAAGGTCTCATATGCCCGTCTAATGTTCGTATACACCTTGTCAAGAGTATTTTCTCCCCTTGTTGCACACTCAATGTGCTGATGGGATTTTGGGAGTACTGCCCTCACATCTGTGTGATTGAAGTCCCCCGCAATAATGTGCACAGCCTCCGGGTATCTGCCCAATTTAGCATTGATGTCCTCATGCATACTACTCATGGCCCTGCATGCATTTGCAGTTGGTGCTATGTACACCACTGTTAACACCACTGTTGTAAATTCCCGGGGAAGATAGAAAGGTCTGCATTTAATTGTCAGAAATTCCACACCCGGAGAACAATGCTAATAATGCTAATAATGCCACAAAATAGTAACGATAATGAAAGGAAGCTGCCCCTTTGAACTTGCAGAATGACCAGACAGCAATCTTCTGACCGAAGGAGCTACGTAAGTGGATTCTGGCCCAGCAAGAACTTTGCCCAGAAATGGAAGAAGCTGCAGCATTTAAATCTCCCCTGGTGGCCCAAGCACACGTGGGCTCTGGCTACTGCAGAGAAAATAACTGACAAGTAGCAGAAAACCTGAATTGCCATCTGACCCAATTAAGTGGCAGAGCAGTGGGGTCAAGAGGAAGGTGGAAAAGCCCAAGGCTTCCAGAAGAGGGGTTTGGAATGGGTGAAGTTTTGAGAAGCGCTGCTCTATCCCTGTCTCTCTAGCCTCTTGGGCCGACCTCTCTATCTCTTTGATACATCCCAGGTTGGATCCTGCCTCACCCCTTCCTCCTCCTCCTCTTTCGACGTCTTCCTGGGAGCTCAAGATGAGAAGTCAGGCTGGAAGTCTCTTCAGAGAAGACAAAGGAGCAAGCATGGCTGCCTTTGCTCTTCTCCAGACTAGTTTGTTGCACTAGAAAACTTTCCCATCCCAGTTCTGCAGTGGGTTTGCTGGCAACACTGACCTCTGTCCCTCTTTCCTTTCCTTCCTCCTCGGATGCCATAGCTGCCTCCCAAAGGCTTGCGCAGCTGTTTCTTGAGGCAGAAAGAAGATAGTCCAGGGAGTCATGCACCCAAAAAGGTTGAAAACCTCTAAACTCCAGTAAACTACTTTGCTATTATAGCAAGGCCACCGAGCCCAAGAAGCCAGTGTAATATTCATCTCTCTGTGTGTCTCTTTCAAACCTGAGTTTTTCCTTTTCTCTTTAGGCAGAGATCTGTACCTGCCTGAAGATTCTGAGGAGAGAGAGAGAGGAAATTCTGGCCCATCAAGCAGCCCTGGACAAGGAAAGCAAAGACCTCCTGGTAAGTGTCTCTATTGTTACTAGGGAGGGAACAAGCACTTGAAGAGTTGAGTCAGGACTGAGGAGGGATGGGGAAATCTGCCCATTTCAGCTTCTCCCCATTTCTCCTTTTTCATATTGTAGGCTGAGCCTAGTCCATGCCAGGGAATCGTTGGCCCGCGTCCTCAGATCCAGAGAGAGAGTAAAAGAAAACACCAGGAAAGATCCTTCTTTGGAGGAAAGCAGTTTTATTCTCTGTGCACAGGAGACAGCCAGCAGAATAAATTCTGGAAAACTGACTGCCCAGAAAATACGCCTCTGCAGACTTTCTTATACCTTGAGTAGGCTCTCTCCCTCCTCCCCACGCCCTCCAGAAACTTCCCCAATCAACTGGAAAGTTTTCAACTTATTTTTAGCATGTCTATAGCCCTCTAAACAGCCCTCCCTATTGTTCCCTATAGTGTCTTTCTAAGCGTCCTGCATCCCCTCGTGCTGCCTCCTCCTCCCGTCTCCCCGTATGTGTCCTTTTTATCTTGCATTCCTAAGGTAAGAAAGCGAGGCTATTCTGCAGGTCTGGCTGTCTCTAGCCTCTGTCTTATCTTGCATTCCTTCGAGGGGCCTTTTTTGCAGGTGAAGTTATTTCTAGCTCAGAAATTGACTTAGATCCAAGGTATAGAAGAATATAGAAGATCCTTCTTAGGTACAAGGTACAAGGTATAGAAAGCATATAGAAAGCAACCCTTCCCTCTCCCTTCACTCCCTCCTCTTCTTATGAACAACCTAATACTTAGGTTCGTTCTGGGGTAGGGCTCTATAATCTCTCATGAAAGCAATCACGCGAGGTCCCATCATGCGAGACATCATCTTCTCCATCATATTTTGCATACATTGCATCAAGCAGGGCATACAGAAGCAGAAAAGCAATAGAAGCATTATTGGACCTATCACCATAGTAAATATCCTCCCCATCCATCCACCTGGGAAGATGCTGTCCAACCAAGACATATCCCAGCCCTCCCAGGTTTGTACAGGGACATGTGCTACCTTTTCAATGCTTGCTGCCAGATCACGGATAGCCTCGCCATGGTCTGAAATGTTGAAGCAACATGCTCCACCTGTGAGATTTAACGCTGCACAAAAGCCTCCATGTTGCGCCAGGAGAAAGTCCAATGCTAATTGGACTGAGAGAAACGCATTGCGTGTCTCATCCAATTGCGTGGCAATTAGCCTAAGGGCCGTGGCTGTCATGTTAGCAACAATCTCTACCACTGCCTGGAGTCTGATTACGCGGTTCAAGTTATAGATCGGCCCCCTTGCCCCAGAGATTTTCTCTCCCCGATTCCATGAGGCCGGAGCATAATGGGCCAGTATCCTTTCCGGAGGCCACTGATTTTTGCCCCAATTCTGGGAGCTGCCACCTGCAAGTGTTGCCAGGTCAGCCGAACGCCTCCTTCTACGGGGTGCAGAGGCAATCTGGTCAGGAATCCACATGGGGGGTATTAAGTAGGCTGGAAAACAGACCCCATACCATCCTCTTGGGAGGGCATGATAGGCCTTCCTGCCACACACCCAGTAAACGTCCTGACCATGGGCAGATATGGTGCCTCTCAGCAAGCGGGCCAGGCATGCAATCAAATTGGAACCAGAAAAGGTTCCTGCCTCGGACTCAAACATGTTAGTCGGGGCTGGGAAGGTACGATCACAGTGGGAAGTGCCCACATAGGTCTGAGCGTCACTTATGTCATTTGATTTGTTGACACAAAGGCAGCCAGTGATCCTGTGAACCTGGAAAGGGACGGAATGATTCCATAAAGAAGAATGGTTGCCCAGAGGCTGGAAGGCAACAAGTGGAGTTGTAACCAAGGATTCATTCCAAGGCACAGGGAGGAGTGGCATTCCTCCCAGAGCATCTACAGGGGCCAGAGTGCAGACGGCACAATTGGTCCGATTTGCAGAGAACACAACCATCTCAGCAACCTGAATCCACTTATTATATGTGTGGTGGGCCCCCCACGATTGCAGCAGTTGTCTGGTCACTGTGAGTGGTATTGGCATTTCAAAGGTCAAAGGCAGCAGAAATACCAGCATGGGGACCCACAGTCGTATTTGAGCCATTGTATGCACGGGGAGGGGCTTAGGTAAGTGCTAGAGAGTGGGCTGGGGTGTAATTACGCTGAAAGGAAAGATCCACTAGACACCCTCCTCTGCAGGGGTGGCGTAAAGCAAACCAGGCCCAGGTACCTTCAATAAAGTTCAGTTATGCGAAAGGAAAGAAAAGAAAATGTGAAAATGTTCTCTTTCAATCCATGCTGGATCCTGGAGCCGTGCCAAGCGTCAGCGTCCGGAGTGACGTAGGCAGGGCTGTAGTCTGGTGGGTGTCGGGTCGTCTGGTGGGCGTTGGGCATCTTGGGTCCCTTCCAACAAGGCTGGAGCAATGTCTGGGCGTCTGGGTCCAATCTGGGTCCTCATCATAGGGATGCAGAGGCTCGACCAAGGCACAAGGCGTTCCAGCAAAAGCTCACCTGTTAAGAGAAGAGATAACAAAGACGGCAGCGATTGCACAGAACAAATGGATAGGTAACATTTGCACATAAGGTATAGGCCTAGCAAACATTAATTCAAAAGGGTATGCTTGGCAGGAAACTTCGCAAGGGTTAACAGTTCTGTTCCTTGGGTTAAGTTTTGCCAGCTGAGATTTTTAAAAGTCTCATTTGTGTGCTCTAGGTTTCAGAGCTTTAAGCCATGTTGCAAATTTCAGTTCATTTGCCAGTGTCTGTAGAAAGAACAATGCGCTCCTTGCTTCTGGCAAAGTCTCAAATTCCTTTTTCAGAGTAAAATTGCACCTTAAAAGAAAAACTTGATAAAGTTCACAGAAAGCATTCACTTGCTTTTAAGAAAGTCACTTCTTCAGGTTAGTACTTTTGGGCAGGGGGTGGGTAACTCTTGGCCTTCTGGGTTTATGTGGCTGAACTGTAAATCCAGAAAGTGTGAGGTTCAGGGTAGCTGGCTGAATGCAGCAGTGTCCTTCTTGGAATAGCTGCCAAGAGATAACGCTCTGAAGCTACCTCCAAGCGCCTGGCACAAAAGGGGGGGGGAGCTGATGTCCTGTGACTTGCATGATTTTTTTTAAAAAAACAGTCTGTTCAATTGCTTTTTTTTTTTTTTTTCTGCAACAGTCTTTTTGAGCAAGAACAGAGATGAAAAGAAATAATTTTTGAGAAATCTTGTTATTCCCAGCCTGTGGGGAGTGGGGCCTGTGGGCATTCCATTTCCCAATGACTCCCTTGCCTGCAGATGGCGCACTGGCTTCTTCCCTAGGCGTCTTCTGACCCTCCCGTGGACACCCTCGCTTGCTCCAGGATTGCGTTTTTGGCTTTCTGGCTGCTGGCTGTTTGAAGACAAACCCCTAATTATTTTGGCCAGGTCCTCTTCGAAAGAAGGATTCTGATTTAAGGTGCTTGGAGGTCTGTGGTCCTGGGCATCGGATGACTCCAGGGGGTCGTACACTCAGTGGAGTGGGGCCATCAAAGTGGAGTTTTAGCTGCCTCAATTGCAACTATTAGCTGCCTCAATTGCAACATCAGTATTGTCCGCTGCCCTGAGGGCATTTTTCTTGCGGATTTCCTCAATGGTCAGTAATTGTAATTCTAGGGTTTTAAATCCCTTGGGTTTTAATTGTCTCCTTTTTTTAACAGTTCTGTCCTATGCGGCTCTCAAAGCCTTCCCTTCTGTTTCTTTCTGCCAGTTCACATCCTTGCATTGTGCTGCTTCTAGAACCAAGAAGCCACATGGTTCTACATACTGAAACACTCTTTTGGACTGCTTGTCCACTTCACCTTCTGAATTCTTCATTCTCTATACCACCTTCTTCCTCACTTTCCTCTTCTCTTTCTTTTCTCCCTCAGTCTCTTTTCTTGGGGGTTGGGTAGGGGAAACCTCATTTAGCCCTGGTGCAGTTGCTGCATAGGGTGGAGGGGGGCTAATTATTCCTTCCTCCTTTTCTTCTGGGACTTCTCTTCTGGGACTGGCAAAACTGCTGGCTTTTTAACTTGTACTTGCTGCCATACTGGGCACAGTTTGGCAGGCACAGGTAATCACAGTTCTACTTTTCTTAAGCCATGGGAGACGGTTAGGAACTCCACATAAGTGTTGGAGTCTATTTTTTCATCAGGTTTTTAAAATCCCCAATCTTCTCCCTTCGTGGCATCTTTTCAATTTGTTCAGGAAAGCATTGCAGGGGGGTCATGGGAGTTGTTTTACTGCTTTTTCTCCATGACCCTGGAACACTTGGACACTTGGGATACTGGGACACTCCCTCCTCCTAACGTTATTTTTTCACTCAGTCACAGGCCAGACGTTGCTTTCAACGTCTCACACACTCAAAACATTCACTGGAGTGTCCCCACACGCACATTCAGAAAAACCCATGCACCTCCCCCAACCCCTTTTCCCCCCCAAAAAAACCAAAATCACAACCGGCAGTGCTTCACAACTTCGACCGGGGCCCAAGAGCACCTTTTTTTTTACTGCTTCTTCTGGGCACAAAACCAACAACCAACCATAACCGGCAGCGCTTAGACTTCGCCCGGGGCCCTAGCAGCACCCTTTGCTGCTTTTTCTGGGCGACACCAAAACCAGTGGCACTTCTTCTACCCTGCAATCACCCAAGGGGAACGCTAAGCCCCAACCTTCACACTTAACAACAATTCAGTCACTGGAGTATCTGACATGCAACATAGCAACATACAACATACAAATCACATCAATATAATTTCAACATGCAACACACTAAACACACCAAATAACTTCAGCATGCAATACACAAAACACACCAAAATAATTTCCCCTCCTTCTTCTGTTCCAAATTTTTGCTGGTGGCACTCTCCTGCACAACCAGTCCCCTTTATTCCTGGTGGCTGGCACTCTACTGCGCAGCCAATCCCCTTTATTCCTGGTGGCTGGCACTCTACTGCACAACCATTCCCTTCCTGGCTGCACACTACTGCATAACCATTCCCTTCCTGGCTGCACACTACTGCATAACCATTCCCTTCCTGGCTGCACACTACTGCATAACCATTCCCTTCCTGGCTGCACACTACTGCATAACCAGGTGAGGCTGATCAGGCCTCCCTCTTTTCCCTTGGGCCCCACGCCCACGCCCTTTCCCTTGGGCTTACCGTTTTTTTTTTGCTGCAGATTCCTTTCCCTGGCCAGTCCTCTTTCCTCCCTCGACCTGGGTCCTTGCTCTGGAGCGGTGTGGCTGGCTCCCCCCACAAATTGGCAGGGTGCGCGCGTGGAGCCTGCAATCACCGATCTGAGCTGTCCACCAGGTTGAGCCTGGCTCTCTCCAGCCCTCTGAGGTGGGGCAGATTCCCGGTCAGGGAACCAAGATGTAGGCTGAGCCTAGTCCATGCCAGGGAATCGTTGGCCCGCGTCCTCAGATCCAGAGAGAGAGTAAAAGAAAACACCAGGAAAGATCCTTCTTTGGAGGAAAGCAGTTTTATTCTCTGTGCACAGGAGACAGCCAGCAGAATAAATTCTGGAAAACTGACTGCCCAGAAAATACGCCTCTGCAGACTTTCTTATACCTTGAGTAGGCTCTCTCCCTCCTCCCCACGCCCTCCAGAAACTTCCCCAATCAACTGGAAAGTTTTCAACTTATTTTTAGCATGTCTATAGCCCTCTAAACAGCCCTCCCTATTGTTCCCTATAGTGTCTTTCTAAGCGTCCTGCATCCCCTCGTGCTGCCTCCTCCTCCCGTCTCCCCGTATGTGTCCTTTTTATCTTGCATTCCTAAGGTAAGAAAGCGAGGCTATTCTGCAGGTCTGGCTGTCTCTAGCCTCTGTCTTATCTTGCATTCCTTCGAGGGGCCTTTTTTGCAGGTGAAGTTATTTCTAGCTCAGAAATTGACTTAGATCCAAGGTATAGAAGAATATAGAAGATCCTTCTTAGGTACAAGGTACAAGGTATAGAAAGCATATAGAAAGCAACCCTTCCCTCTCCCTTCACTATCAGTTTGTTTATTCATTTATTATTCTGAAAATGAATCAGAAGTTAGGGTAGCTACTTCCTTGTATAAATATTTTTATATGTACTTTACCCTCATAAATACATTTTTTGTATTACCTGGCTGGGTCAACCTTGAACAATACAGAGGTGAGAATTTCAAAGGATTGCTCTGTTTTGGTCTCCATAATTTTTCAGCAATAGCAGATTAAGTAAATTCACTTTTGAATGCAGCTAAATTGAGTTTATTTACCATTGTTGTTTATTATATAAATAGCAGTGAAGGAGAAGCCTGAGAACTTGTGAGCTTAGAGGGTGGAAGCAGGTCAGTTCAAATCCTGATTTACCATAAAGATTTGTCCATAAAGAAAGAGTTGTCTTTCTAAATGTGCGCTATTGTTCATCTTAAGGAAATTCAGGGAGCTATGGGGATAAACTCTGTGCTTTCTCCTCATTCTCCTGTTTCTGTTGCCTTCCTTCCACCTCAATGGTCCCAGTCTAAATTGAGGGTGTTTTATGTCCGCAGATATTCTCTGGACAGCTATGAACTTTGGTTATGCCCCAAATCATGCAGGGAATATCCTGTGGGGATGTTCAGGGAGGCAGGAGAGGATATATTATTTTATTATATCCTTCATAACTTTCGCCAGCAAGTTCTATAACTTAGCAGAGTTGTTAAACAATCCCCCTTTTAAATTACACAGCGGTTACCTAGTTGCAGGCTCATCTGAGCCTCACTATTTAGGATTCCTTGTTTCCTTATTTTATATCCCTCCTAAAAGAATAGACACGGCCATCTGATTAAAGTTAACAGAAAACTAATTTACTCACAATCATCCAGTTCACAATGAGATTCCTGAAGGCAGACTTAATTTACAGAACAACATATAACTCTGTTTACTATCCCATAAGGGAAATAGTCTCAAGTGACTGCGACTGAGCAGTCACTTCTCCTAACTCTTAGGAACACACAATGGAGAAGACACAGAGCAGAACATGGAGGCCGTGCGCTCCTCTCCCAAGAACAGGCCACACTCACATTAAGTCACATGCAAAGGAAGTCTGTCTCAGCTCAGGAGGAACTAGCAAGTTTTCTCCTGAGTGATACAAAGCATTCCCCAGCATGTGCATTGTAAAAAGGTAAAGGTACCCCTGCCCGTACGGGCCAGTCGTGTCCGACTCTAGGGTTATGCGCTCATCTCGTTTAAGAGGCCGGGAGCCAGCGCTGTCCGAAGACACTTCCGGTCACGTGGCTAGCGTGACAAAGCTGCTCTGGCGAGCCAGCACCAGCACAGCACACAGAAACGCTGTTTACCTTCCCGCTATAAAGCGGTACCTATTTATCTACTTGCATTTAGGGGTGCTTTCGAACTGCTAGGTGGGCAGGAGCTGCGACCGAATAAAGGGAGCTCACCCCGTCGCAGGGATTCGAACCGCCGACCTTCTGATCGGCAAGTCCTAGGCACTGAGGTTTTACCCACAGCGCCACCCGCGTCCCTTATGTGTAGGACTGTTGTATTTGCTTGCAATACGTTTTTACATCCCACATATCCATGGCTAGAAAAAAATGCTCCTTCTTTTAGGCTGTTGCCGTCTGCAAAATAGAAGTCAACAGAAACAGCAATGGAGAGGGCCTCCCCTCAAAATAAAGGTTTACATCTTTAGCCACTGGAGGTTTCATGTCTATGAAAAATCACTCTTCCTGATGTTTTGAAGGCTGAGCACCTTCCACACTCAGACCTCCTCTTTTCTTGCAGAAATTAACAGAAACGCAGAGGCTGAAGACTGTGGAGAAGTTCAGAGAACTGCGCCAGTTGCTGGAAGAACAAGAAAAACGTCTACTGAATCATGTGGAAGAGGTGGAGAAGGAGATTGCAGGGAGAAGGGATGAGCAGCTGGCCAGACTCTCCAGGAAACTCTCCTCTCTTGAGAGGATCATCCAGGAGATGGAGGAGAAGCGTCAGCAGCCAGCGAGTGAACTCCTGCAGGTAAGATGGTGGCAGGAACAGCCCAAGGCTCCAGGAAAAGGCTGCCCCTTTCATGTATGCAAGGAGTGCAGGGGCTGAGATGATGGAGCCTCTAGTCAGGTTTGTTATGGACAGGAAGACCAGAGAGACCTGGGATGCTGAACTCACCTGAATGCAGACTAGAGATTCTTGATGGAACGGGAGCTGATCTTCTGCTCTTTGCTGATGCTTTGTCTCCGAACGCCTTTCAGCTGTGTGGGGCTTCGTCTAGGATGCGTTCAGGCCTCCTTCCAACATGAGCCGGTCTCTTGACCAAGTTTCTCTTCCTGTTCCCTCCATGATTTCTGGGTTGATCCCCTTCACAATGGATACAGATTGGCCCAAAATGGTGCTGTCCCAGTGACCAAAGAGCAAGACAGAGGGACTCATCCAGACTGCTGCTTGTCCCACTCCTTTCCTCCAGGAAAACCCTCTTTTTACTGCTGAATTAGAGCAAACCTCAGCCAGGTTTTCTCTGGGTTGATGTTTGCTTTGATTTTGCACTAAGGAGCAGGTTTTTACTGAGGGAAAGTGGCAGGGCAAAGGCAAAACCACTTGGACTCGTGTTTTCTGGGCACAGGAAAAGCAGAAGTGTGGATGAGCCCAAAGAAACACTGAGCTGTTTTTTTATTACGCCTTTGTAGGCATTTTATGCTGCAGGTGCTTTTTTTTACTTCCAGATGGAAAACAGAATTTGAAATTTGGGGACTGGGACAGTGCCCTGGCAGGATTATCCTGTAGGCTTACGTATGTCTGAATAGCACAATGCAAACTGGATTAAAGTTTTTAAATTATGGAAATGTGGAGAAATTGAAATCGGAACAATTAATAATTTCAGATTTGAAAAATAAAAGCTGTGAGAAACCCAAACTGGCTGATTCTGCCATCCCTACCCAAAACCTTGGCATGTGCCAGGCAGACTTTCATTCGAGGGGCAGGGTCTGAGGGGGTCTTCCTAGTGTGGCCTGTGGTATGCAGTGAATTCCCTTCTCTTTTTCCCTCTAGGATGTGAGAAGGACCTTGCAGAGGTAAGTGGATCTGGCTCATTTCCATTAGCATCACACTTTGAAGCTGAGATGCAAAAACCTCAGACATGGCCCTCCAGGGGCTGCAGGGGGGAGACTGTGGGACTCACTCCCTGCAGCACCTCACAGGTAAAAGTAGAGCCCCCTCTTCTGAACTTGTAGCCCCCCAAATCTCCCTCCAAGGTTCAAGGTCAACTGCCTCCTCCCTCCCTCCCCACATCACTTCACAAACTTCACTCTTTTCTTTCTCTTGCACTTTCTGTCCATGGACTTTTTGGTAATTTCAAACATCTAGAAGAGAAAGTGCCAAAGATGCTTGGGAAGAGCTCAGGATGTACCAACAGATTTCAATGTCCAAGTAGCATCTTGTCCAAGTAGCAGCCACCCAACTCTTGACAGCTTTGGACATCACTCACATCCTCTGGAGAAGCTCAGGGAGGGAGGGGTTGCAGGCATAGGCGCCGACCCCATGGGGCTTGAGGGGGCTCGAGCCCCCTCAAAAATTTTTTGGGGGGGCTCAGCCCCCCCAATAATCTCGGGCGCCGGGGGTGGGGGCTCCTGCCTCGCTGCTTCGCAGCACCACCGCCACTGCCAAGGCACTGCCGGGGGGAATTTCCTTCCTCCTGGCGGTTTCAGCCCCCGCGAGAACAGGGGAATCCCGACTGGCCACACCTCCCAGCCAGCCAATCGGCTGGCTGGGGGGGGCGTGGCTTGTCCTATTTAGGGCCGGAGCCACTTTATTTGCATATTCATGAGCTTATTTATTATTCATGAGCTTTCCCGGGCCCCCCCAATATTTTTTATAAGTCCGCGTCCCTGGTTGCAGGCATTCCACCTCAGGGGTTTGGTTCTTAAGTCCTGGGACCTTCAGAGAAAGTTGTTAGGGGGCAGCATTGTTGGAAGCCATGGGAGCCCTCTGGTGGTGTCGCTTGGGGTTACATCTTGTCCCTTGTGCTGTTTAGCATCCTTATGAAGCCACCAACCAGGGATTGGAGGTGGGTGTCAAGAGATGAAGCTGAATCCTGGAAATTACCTGTTGGGAAATGAACTTCAACTTTGTTCATGTTATTGAGATCTCCTGCAATAATTATGGAGACAGTACCACAACGGGGCCATTCATTGTTTTTCTTTTCACCAGGTATGAGGAAAGAGAGAGTCCCGAGAAGCCACTGGCTTTCCCTCCAGAACTGAGGAACAGGATCTTGGAATCCTGTGATCTAAATCACCTTGTGGAGGATAGAATGAATCTATGGGAAGGTAATGAAAAATGGCTGCCAGGATTTCACCCTGGGAATTCTATTACTTCTTCAGAACTGGACATGCCAGGCTCTTATTGCATGGAATTGAGTAAGCCCAGGATACCTTCCTTCTTGGTGCTCCAGCCTTCATTTTCTGTCCCCCAGAATGGCCCCATGTATATTGTGACGCTGGATCCTGTAAAGAAAGCCTGAACCAGAGTGTAGAGCAAAGTCGGGATTTTTTTCCTCCCATGTGCCTCTGTTTACAGTTATATGAAACCTCCTTTTCCTTGTGGTTCCCTGTCTGCACAATCTGGGGTTGTCCTTTTGGAGGTTCTCCTGCTCTGAATGGAGTCAAAGGGCATTAAGAAGCCCCCAGTTCCCCCTCTGCCTCCTGCTCAGGCTTCTTTCTCAGCCGTGGAGCCAAGGCCTGAGCCGTCTCCTCCTCAGACGTCCCCCTGCAGCTGCCATATCTAGGGCTTCAGCCTTCAAGATCTCCTGAGAGTTCCCCCATTGAGAGTGGAAGCAAGAGCACAGGAGCCCCAAAGGGCACAATTCTGCTTGTGAAGAACCTTAAAGATTTCTAGAAGGTTTGTGAGGAAGGGCTTCCTTTTTCATGAGATCTCTGCCAGTCCTTCTACAGCAACCTTTGCTTCTACTTATGTTTCACAATTTTGGCTTTAATGATTCCCCCCACCATTCTCATTTAAAGCTTTAGTTATTTTCATAGCTTCTTCCTATGATTTTCTAGTTTTTGATTATTATTTGTACGATTTAATTAATATTTAATAATTGTACTTGAATTCACTTTATATCTTTTTGCTTCCTTAGATGCTGTGTTATTCAGAAAGCAGCTTCAGAAAGGTAAATTTACAGGGGAGGAACAATTTCGCAGGAGGGATAGGGACTAGTATTTCATGGGTGTTGAACCGTCTTTTCTGCAGACTTTGGGACCCCCATCAATGGTGTAACTCTGGGAAACAGTCCTCTACTGGCGTTTGGGTTCTTTGTCTGTCCCGTGAATGAACTGGGAGGGAGGTTGAAGGCTTGGATTGGGGGCAGAGCTTGTCCCTGCGAAGAACCTGCACACCAGTCGTCTGTTCCTTTCCTGCCTATAGACTAGTAGCCTGGTTTCCTGGTTAATTTTATAGATTTTGCTTTCTTTCATAAAATGTATATACTGCTTTGTGGTAGGGAATAACCTCAGAGCCTTACAATATCTTACAAAAGCCCTTAGGGAGGATCCTGCAGGGTCAGTCCAATGTCCATCTTGTCGAGTTCTCATGTATAGGGAATCTCCCTTGCATTTTCTTATCCCTCCACATAATCTGATGATGTTATTTTGGGGCTTCTCTAGATTTGCTTGGATTTCCCCCTCGTGAAGTGTGTTAAAAAGGGCACCCGCAAGCACCCAGTCCCTCCTCCACCTCCTGCCATGCTGGTCTCCCAGCAGCAGAGCCAAGGCCTGAGCCGCCTCTTCCTCAGAGTTTCAACATCAGCAGCCATTTCTCGTGCTTCAGCCAATCCCCATCTCCTCAGAGTTCCCCCAGTTCTTAGGAGATCAGCCCCATTCCATGAGGGGGGACTTCCCATTGCATGAGACCCTTGTAAGTACAGTGCAAAGCTCTGTCGATTTTCCCTCTGCAATTTGGTTTGTCAGCATGCTTGGAAATGCCAGTTTCAACAGCTTTCCCCCACCAGTTTATTTGGGGCAGATATTAAACCTTTCTTCATCCATCCAGTTCAGACCCCCATTTCACTTGTGGATTTTGAATGATTGTATTCCGCCATTTTCTAGTATGGTTAAACATTTTTGATTTCCCCATGAAATCATGGAATAGCAGAGTTTCAAAGGATCCCAAGGATCATCTAGTCCAGGGGTCTGCAACCCGCGGCTCCGGAGCCGCATGTGGCTCTTTTACACCTTTGCTGCGGCTCCGGGGCGGATACTAGCAAGGGGAGGAGGCGCATTGTGCGCCCCGACACTCCCCACTGTGGCGGCCCCTGTACTGGCTGTGACGTCGCATGGGGCGGTGCGTGCGTTAGTCATGCACCGTCCCGACGTCACCTTCCCGCCCGCTGTCAGATCGCGGCTCCGGAGATATATTTGTTTTAAATGTTGCAATGGTTTTGCGGCTCCCAGGTTTTTTTCTTCGGAAACGGGTCCAAGTGGCTCTTTTTGTCTTAAAGGTTGCAGACCCCTGATCTAGTCCAACCCCCTGCAGTGCAGGAATTACAGCTAAACTCATTAGTTGTTTTAATTTCTTAGGCCTAGTGATATTACATTCTCAGGAATAATCTTTTGGAGAATATTTAACATCACTACTAAGCCTACATCTTTGCATGATTTAATATTTTGCCTGAAATAACAACTGATGCTATGTTATAGTTATATTTTGTAAAAAATATTTTTGTTTTGTTTTTAACTATTGCATTGTAGCCTGTTAAGCCTGTCTTTTTGCTTCCTCAGATATTCAGTCATTCAGACATCTTCAAAGAGGTAAATTTCACATGGAGACCCCAATTCACGGGAGGGGGGACTAGTGTTTCATGGGGGTCAAGAGTCTCTTCTGTCCAGCTTGACTCTGGCCCTGCTGTTTGTACCAGAAAGGCAGAGAGGGTGGACTTGAAGGCGCAGAAGGGGGGGGGAGAACCTGCCCAGAAGGATCAGATAAAAGAGGGAAGAGTTTCATTCCTCCCTAGAGAGTTGGGTTCCTTTTCCATGTGACCTTTTTCAGGACTGGTTGCCACATGTCCTCTTTTTCTCGGACAGGTCCTCTATTTTCATGATTAAAATTTCTCCCCGGGTGGATTTAAAAATTTTTTAAATTTGGCAAAATGTCTCAAGTTGTTTGGTTTGGTTTACAGTATCCCATGAAAATCCATGGGTTCACGAAGAGTCGGACACGACTAAACAACAACAACAACATCCCATGAAAAAATTTCTAGTGCATTAGACTCAGATCTAAGGCACGCAGCTAAGCTAGCCTAGAGCAGAGAATTGCAACAGAGCAGCATCTTAAGCTGGCCACATCCTGTATAAAACCCTTCTCTTGTGGCTGAACTAAAAGTTCCCTGGCTCAGCTACGAGATCTTGGAGAAGGAATCTGGGAGGGCAAGAGTTAACACACACACCCCGCCCTTAAGGAGAGTCCATATGTATGTGTTTAACAGTTTAATAAATTGTTCTGTGCACACTTGCGTTCACAAAGATGTGAACATGAGCCCAAATATTTTCATGTGGCAAGCGAGGGAGCAATAGGTATTATTATTCTTTGGTTGTTGAAAGTTAAGAACATTGCTAGTAGCAGTATATCACAGCTTCGAAAGCCTACATAGAGTAGGGGTATTTAAAATGAGTGTTGTCATAGTGATCAATGGTTAAGAGTAGAAGTTGGCAAATGTGTCCTCTTTTTTGCTCTTCAAAATACAGCAACTCTACACTTGCCTATCATGACTGTCTCAGCCCCTGATTGGTAACCTTTTGAGTTATTCCTCCTTTCCAGCAGGGAATTAGTCTTATGGTATATATTAAATTCAAAAGAGAAGCATGGAATAAGCAGTCTTTTGTAAAATTGTGGGCACGAGGGCCCAGAATGTGACCCCCGCAAAAGTGAGGGGACACCTATACAGTATGTGATTTTGTGTTGTATTTTTATGCTGTGAACCACCCTGAGACCTATGGATGAAGGGCAGTAGGCAAATGTCACTACATCATTATTATTATTATTATTATTACAGTGGGGTCCTCATCCCGCACCCCAACCAGAGGTCCCCAAAGGCCAATTCCCACAGAGATTGTCAGAGGAAAGCAGCTTCTCTCCTCTCCTGCCTCCTCCAATTCTCCTCTCTTTCCCCTTAGAAACACAGAAGAGATGAATAAAAGGTTTCCTGGGTGGTTTTTCCCCTTAGAAAATGCCTGGTTTGAGATTAGGGCAGGCACCATACACATCGAATATAAGAAAGTGAAGGGAACTGATTTAAAAACCATCAAGGAAGATATTTATTCTGAGGAGTCTGCAAGGAGGAGTCTCAGTCTAGCATGTGACACAAAGAAATCCCCTTGATCTGAAAGGAAATCTGGGTTTTTTGGGTGTTTTTTATTTATTTATCAAGGTGTCCGTTTCTGTCTCTCAGCTGACTCTGCCTAATCTTCCCTTTCCCTCATCTTCTCCCCAACAGCAAATGTCACTCTGGATCCAGACACAGCCCATCCTGAACTCATCCTGTCCGAGGATCGGAAAAGCCTGAGTAGGGGAGACAAACCTCAAGCCCTGCCCAACAATCCTCAGAGATTTAGCCACGAGATTAATGTGTTGGGAAGTCAGGGATTCACAGCAGGCAGACATTTCTGGGAAGTCACTGTGGAAAGTGGGGAATTGTGGGGTTTGGGGGTCGCCAGGAAGTCTGTGAGGAGAAAGGGCAGCTTCTCCATATTCCCTGAGGAGGGGATCTGGGCTGTGCGGAGATTGGGAGGGAAGTACTTTGCCTGCACCTCCCCTTATTACTCTCTTTTGTCTCTGAGTGAGAAGCCCAGGAGGATCCGGGTGACTCTGGACTATGAAGGGGAACGTGTGTCTTTTTCTGACGCTGACTCAGGAGCCGAACTCTACACGTTCTCAGGAGCCTCGTTCTCTGCAGAGACCCTCCTCCCTTTCTTTTCTCTGAGGGGAAATAAAACCGACCTCAGTATCTCCTGAGGGGACTAAATCTGCCTCTCAGGCCCAGCAGGAGTTTCTCTCCAGACCAGAGTGACTGACATAAAAACCATTTACCTGCCAAGAGCTCTTTGGGCAGTTTTCCAAGGGCCCTTTGAGAGGATTCATTCCAGTCAATTCAGCAGAAATTAAAAAAAAAAATGGGTTGCTCTTGGTTTGCATTTTCTTTCCTTTTCCCAGAATTTCCTCTGCAGCTTCTTAGAGAGATAGTCACACTTTTAGGAGTCCTAATAAATTTTCTCACCTTCAGTCTTCTTTTCCATTTGAGTTGTCTGATTTGGCAGAGGATAAGACCCTTAATCCCACGGTTGTGCGTCTGAGCCTCACGTTGGGCAATTTTTTCCTGCACTGCAGGGGGTGATATTAGATGACCCTCAGGATCCCTCACAACTCTGTAATTCTAGGAAACCTTCCTCTCCCCACAAGACCTTATGCAGCTGTGAAAATGCATGCATCATTGGATAAATAGATGATGAAAAAAATGAACCCCTTCACCCATGTCAGGCAGGATAGCTCCTTGCCCTGGAGACCTCAGACGGGAAGAAAATGAAAAAGAAATTGAACAGGGCATCATCTTCAAATGCCCTCTGCAAATACAGCCTCGCCATCTCCACACGTTTTCAGAAGTAAACCTTCTTGCATTGAGTGGGGCTTCTGCTCAGTTAAATGTGTTTTGAGTGGATGCATTAACGTTCCTTATTTACAGGCTGGATACTGTCTATCGGGGGCATCAAATGGGGTGTCCTCCGGATAGTGCTGGACTCCAATTCCCCTCTGACCCATCCAGCATTGCCAGGGGTCAGAGAGGATGGGAGCTGCAGTCTGGCAGCTTCCAGAAGGGGCTCCATGGCCTGTGCTGCCCCATACATTATGCAGAGCACCTTCCCTGTGTTCCTGAGCCCCACCCCAAATACACAGTGCTCCCCCAAGGAGCGTCATTTCGGCAGCAGGTGCATCTGATTTCTCTCCTGGGATACTAACAGCTGCAGCAACACATGCCTGTGGAATTGACCACTCAAAGATCAGGCAGGACTCACTCTGGCTCCACTATCAGGGCCGCTGACTACTGACCGGTGCAGCCTGCTCTCCTTTCCCTGCATTTCCCACAGGGTGGTGGCACATGATGGAATAAAGACACCTCCCCCCCCCCCGCCTGAGAGCCGCCTCCCCTTGTTCCACCTCCTATATCAGGGGTGGCCAACTCCCAAGAGACTGTGATCTACTCACAGTAGGGTTCAGAGAGAAGTTGTTGAGCTTTTTTTAGGGAGGAGGATGGAGAAAGGGGAACAGCCACTGACAGATCACTAAGGAAACAAACAGCCTCACTGAGTAAACTCCGTTCTGCAGATTGTGCAACAATGGAGGGTGGGACCACGATCTACCAAAACATCCCGGATATCTAGATCGCAATCGACCTGTTGGACATCCCTGCCCTATATGATGTTGGCAACGTTTGTGTGTCATCATAATTTCCCCTGCAAGTCTCTGATCACCCTGTTGAAGGACACCAAAGTGGCCCATTTGGTACAGCACCAAGAGGGGCCACCCAGATGGCTGTGGAAAACCTGCAAGGAGGACCAGAGAGCAAAACCAGCCTTCCCAGCCGCGGCTTCCAGCAACAGAGATTTAGAAGAAGAGAAGAAGAGTTTGGATTTGATACCCCACTTTATCACTACACTAAGGAGTCTCAAAGCAGCTAACAATCTCCTTTCCCTTCCTCCCCCACAACAAACACTCTGTGAGGTGAGTGGGGCTGAGAGACTTCAGAGAAGTGTGACTGGCCCAAGGTCACCCAGCAGCTGCATGTGGAGGAGCGGAGACGCAAACCCGGTTCACCAGATTATGAGACTACCGCTCTTAACCACTACATCACACTGGCTCTGCCTTCTGCCTCTGAACTGTGGAGGCGGAGCATAGCCATTTTGCTGAAGAGCTAATAACAGCCTAGTGCTCCATGAATTTGTCCCCAGCTCAGTGGGTGGAACATGATACAGTGGTACCTCAGGTTAAAGACGCTTCAGGTTACAGATTCCTCTAACCCTGAAATAGGACCTCGGGTTAAGAACTTTGCTTCAGGATGAGAACAGAAATCGCAGCGCGGCAGCAGCAGGAGGCCCCTGGAGCGCGAGCAAAAATCGCGCGCCAGAGGCCGCATTAGTGAAAGCACACCTCAGGATAAAAACGGTTTCAGCTTAAGAACGGACCTCCAGAATGAATTAAGTTTGTAACCAGAGGTACCACTGTAACTGGTTTCTTGAGGCAGCAGGAAAACAAATCAGGGAGGAGCAGGCCTCTCAAACACAACACAACATCTCTCAGCTCCAGCCTCCCTGAACTGTGGGAACAGAAAGTCAATCTTGGAGATGCCATGCACTGGCGTGTGTGTGTGTATCATCTTGCTCTGCAGTGTCTACACTGCGTTGCTGTGGCTCTCCTGGATTTCAGACCGGCACCTTTCCCAGTCCGAAATGGGAGATGCAAGGGATTGAACCGGGAAACTTTTCCATGCCAAGCAGACGCTATTCCCCTGAGCTGCAGCTCTTCTGCATTTTTGAAGTAATGCTCATGACCTTAGAATCATAGAATCATAGAATCATAGAGTTGGAAGAGACCACAAGGGCCATCGAGTCCAACCCCCTGCCAAGCAGGAAACACCATCAGAGCACTCCTGACATATGGTTGTCAAGCCTCTGCTTAAAGACCTCCAAAGAAGGAGACTCCACCACACTCCTTGGCAGCAAATTCCACTGTCGAACAGCTCTTACTGTCAGGAAGTTCTTCCTAATGTTTAGGTGGAATCTTCTTTCTTGTAGTTTGGATCCATTGCTCCGTGTACGCTTGTCTGGAGCAGCAGAAAACAACCTTTCTCCCTCCTCTATGTGACATCCTTTTATATATTTGAACATGGCTATCATATCACCCCTTAACCTCCTCTTCTCCAGGCTAAACATGCCCAGCTCCCTTAGCCGTTCCTCATAAGACATCGTTTCCAGGCCTTTGACCATTTTGGTTGCCCTCCTCTGGACACGTTCCAGTTTGTCAGTGTCCTTCTTGAATTGTGGTGCCCAGAACTGGACACAGTACTCCAGGTGAGGTCTGACCAGAGCAGAATACAGTGGCACTATTACTTCCCTTGATCTAGATGCTATGCTCCTATTGATGCAGCCCAGAATTGCACTGGCTTTTTTAGCTGCCGCATCACACTGTTGGCTCATGTCAAGTTTGTGGTCAACCAAGACTCCTAGATCCTTTTCACATGTACTGCTCTCAAGCCAGGTGTCACCCATCTTGTATTTGTGCCTCTCATTTTTTTTGCCCAAGTGCAATACTTTACATTTCTCCCTGTTAAAATTCATCTTGTTTGCTTTTGCCCAGTTCTCTAATCTGTCAAGGTCGTTTTGAAGTGTGATCCTGTCCTCTGGGGTGTTAGCCACCTTCTTGATACTATTCGTTTAACTTTCTGAAAACCCAACTAATCCCTATATTAAGTGAAAAGCAATTAATAAGGAGTCCGACAAGTTCATATCCAAAAGTCACACTCAGAACAAGACCCCATTTAGAGCCCCAGAGAGGAACATGAATGATACAGACCAGTCACGATGTTACAACCACAAAACCAAGATGGTGTCATAGGAGTTGAACAGAAAACGGTCTCCTCTTATCTTAAATGGTCTTCACGACAAGGCAATAATGAAGGGGCATATTACAATATAATTGTTCTATTATTATAGTAAAAGGGGAGGTTTCTACACCAACCAGAAGGACGTGCTTAAATGTTACAATGCAAATGGGCCTCTCGTTGGAATGTCTAGCCTGGGCAGATAGAGATAAGGAACAAGGAGTCATTGTAATACCAGGATGAGGGAGGTTGTAGGAAGGAGGAAGAAGACCAAGACCTTACATGGTAATAGGAACTTATTATAACTTTCGATTTCCCAGAAATCAGGTGGTTTACAAGAAATCAGGTGACTTACAAGAGATCAGGTGGCATTCTACTCTGCAAATCTATAAAAGGGGGCGCACCCTGACTGGGGTGTGCAGATTGCAAACTTATTGCTCTGTACCTTTGTTTTGCATATGCACTTCCAATAAAATCCTGTTAATAACCTGCAAGGATGTTTTGCCGCCTTGTGTGAATCTGTGCTTCAGGGACCCAATAGCAGGTGTTGGTGGTCCTTCATTCTAAATCCAGAGGCCCATCTAGTCCAGATTCCTCTTCTCCCAGTGCCCAGTCAGAAGCCCCAGTGGGGACTGAAGGGACATTCTTTCACCTTTGGTGGACATGCCCAAGGATTAAGACATTCTGGGAGATGATTTATAATGAAATGAAAAAGGTATTCAAATATACCTTCCTGAAGAAACCAGAGGCCTTCCTTCTGGGCATTGTCAGCCAATTGGTGCCAAAGAAGGATAGAACTTTTTTTATGTATGCAACAACAGCAGCAAGAATACTCATTGCGAAGTATTGGAAGACACAAGATTTACCCACCCGGGAAGAATGGCAGATGAAGTTGATGGGCTATATGGAACTGGCGGAAATGACTGGCAGAATCCGAGACCAGGGAGAAGAGTGGGTGGAAGAAGATTGGAAAAAGTTTAAAGACTATTTACAGAAATACTGTAAAATTAATGAATGTTAGAAGAATGTTGGAATGAAGTTATATGGCTTTAGTAGAAATGTTATAAGGAATTAAGTATAAATAGATTAATAGAGTATTAAAGTAAAAATAAGGTTAGAAAGTGTTAAGATAATTATAGGATAGAAAACAGAGGAAGATGGAAAGGAATTGCTGAAACAATTAACAGAAGTGGAATACAAAAAGAGAGGTGTGAGGAGGTCGTTGAAATAAGTGAATGAAAGATAAGATACTGAAATTGCTTGATGTGTTTTAAACTGTTCTTGTTTGGTTTTGTTAGTTTAATGTGTTAGTGTTATGTAGTGTTTTTGTATTGTATTGTATTGTTCATTTTTTTTCTTTTTTCTTTTTTGTAGTGTTTAAATTGTTGGAAAAGTAATAAATATCATTTTCCAAAAAAACACACAAAAAAACAGATGCCCCAGTGGGAAGCCCCCAAGAGGACCTGAGAGCAACACCCCTACTCTCCCCCACCCCGGAGATTCCCCACAACTGGAACTCAAAGGCACCTGCTGCCTCCGACAGTGGAGGCCCCACGTAGCCATTCCTGAATGTGTCTAGTCTTCTTTTAAAGCCAGCCAAGTTGTAGACCTTCCCTGCCCCTTATGTAAGGGAATTCCACTTTCTTTTGCCAGTCCAGAATGTACCACCATCTGGGACTAAATGGACCTTTGGCCTGATCCAGCAAGGATCTCCTTATTGTCCCTGCCAAGTATGCAAAAAGAGAGTGGAGTCCTATTTCTCCCATTTGTGGAGTTCACACTTCCACATCTGTACACTGTCACTGGGAGCTGTTGTTGTCAGTGTGGGTCTGTGGCTGCCCTTGTGATGTGTCCCTGGCCTTCGTTCTGAACCATCAAGTTGAGATACTTCATAGTGGAGTCTAGAACATTTTGGGACTTAACAAATTAACTTGGGCTGGGGTCTTGCTTCTTTTTTAAAAAAAGAATAGCTATTCATCAACAAAACACAATCCATTTTGTTATCAACTACAGTTGGTGCAACACAGACTCTTCAAAATAAACTTTCCTCCCACTCCATCCTTGAACCCCATTGTTTTTCTACTCAGATCATATATATCTTCTAGAATAATACCTATGACATCAACTTTCTCCTCCTTTTTAAAAAATCTTTTTCTGATAGCTGAAAACATCCAATTTCTATTATTAATCAATTATTACTTTAACCTTCCTGCTGAATCAATTTACTTATTTCAGCTTATTTTTGCTAGGTTTCTCTGTTGTCATCTGCCTATGTCTCGTGATGTAGATAAGGTGTGGATTCTCCACTGCAAATCAGGATGTAACCAACACTTCTCCCTCTTTTTTCTGTGGAATGTGGCACTTTTCAAGAATATTAGCTGGACGTTTTCCCTAAATGAATTGCCTGGTGTCTGATGAATGCCTTCTTCTGAATGAAGCTTTTCCCACACTCAGGGCATTCATAAGGCTTCTCCTCCGCGTGGGTCCTTTGGTGTTTGATCAGCGTATCTCGCCGAGAAAAGTTCTTCCCGCACTCAGGGCATTCGTGAGGCTTCTCTCCCGTGTGAATCTTCTGGTGGTCAATCAACCTGCAAGGATGATGGAAACTTTTCCCACACTCGGGGCATTCATAAGGCTTCTCCCCTGTGTGGGTTCTCTGGTGCTTGATCAGCGTATCCCGCCGGGAGAAGTTTTTCCCACACTCGGGACATTCGTGCGGTTTCTCCCCTGTGTGCGTCTTCTGGTGTTCAATTAAGTTGCACGGGTGGTTGAAGTTTCTCCCGCAATCGGGGCACTCGTACGGCTTCTCCCCTGTGTGAGTCCTCCGGTGATTGAGTAAAGTATCTCTCCGGGAAAAGCTTTTCCCACAGTCCGGGCATTCGTGAGGTTTCTCTCCCGTGTGGATCTTCTGGTGCCTCTTCAAATGGAGTTGCCACCGGAAGCCTTTCCCGCACTGGGAGCATTGATACGGCCTCTCTCCGGTGTGGATTCGCAGGTGACTCACCAAATTGGTTCTCTGGCTGAAGCTTTTCCCACAGTGGGAGCACTTGTGCGGTTTCTCCTCGGTGTGGATCCGTCGATGCCGCATCAGAGTCGCTCTGTAACTGAACCCCTTCCTGCACTCGGGACACTCATATGGTTTCTCTTCCACGAGGCCGCTCTGATGGCGCACCCAGATCTCTCGATGGGGAAAGGGCTTCCCGTCCTCAGACCCTTCGCACAGCTCCTCTCCCATGTGCCTCCTCTGGTGTTCAGCCAGGGCAGATCCTCGCTGGAAGCTCTCCCCGCGCACGGGGCATTCGTAACGACCTTCTTCTGCATTTAGCGTATCCAGACCCAAACTGTGCTGGTTGTTCCTCCCGTGATTTGAGGAGAAGGGCTTTTCCACTCCAAACTGTGTTGTGTTTTCGCTAACGGGAACTTCTGGGAGATTGCTGTATTCCTTTGTTTCCTGGTGTCCTTTAGACTCATGCTTTTGCTCTGTAATCTCAGCTAAACAAGGAACATTCCCCTGGGACATTCCCTCTGGCACAGCTTCCCCTGGGTGGGAACTCTCCATCTTGATCTCTCTCCTTTTACCTGCAAGTGGTGGTGAAACGCAAAACATGTTTTAAAAAAAAAATTATTGAAACTAGATGCCCAAGGGAAACCAATAAGCAAGATGTGAGCGGAAGAGCCCTCTCGCCTTCTAGAGTCTCCAGCAACCGGTATTCAGAAACGGTATTCTGTTAAAACCCTCCAGGTTTAATATTAATAATAATGGTCAAGATAGTACCAAGCAATCATATCTTGGGAAGGAGCCCCATAACTCGGGTGCCACCATGTAAAAGGCTCTGTCTCCAGTGGCAAAGCACGTGCATTGCAGGCAGAAGGTCTCATCCCATAGGACCACTGGTCCATCGAGGTCAGCATTTCCTCCACTGACTGGCAGTGGCTCTGCAGGGTCTTCAGGCAAGGGCATTGCTAGCCATACCTGGAGATGTACTGGCCAGGGATGATGGGAGTTGTAGTCTTAAGTGGACAGAGGGCACCAGGTGGGCAAGACTGGGAGGGGCTGTTTCAATCTCAAGTTCTTTGCCAGTGGGCTAAAAATGGATTAAGTTAAAATTAGCAAGCAGACTTTTAGGAGTTTTCTTCACGGAATCAAGTCGAGGAGACTAAATCAGAACTCCTGTGGATTTAGAGCAGCAGATTTCTTTTTTCCCAATTCAAAAATATCAAGGAAGCCTATGAATGAAAATGGTACCACAACACACTAGGTGTTTGTGTGTGTGTAAAAAGCTACTTTACAACTTCTGCCAACTATGATCAGAACCAAGCAAATATCCCAGATGTTGGATCCATAGTCCCTGCTACCCTTTTAAAAAAAATTAAGGGAGACCTGTTTTATTATCTGAATTACACCTTAGAATTCGCCCCTTTAACAAAACAGAACTTCAAATCCTTCATGGCTTCTTCATTGCTGAGTGACAAGTGACTGATCACCAGAGCTCTCCTTACTCAGACTCCACAGCGACAGTCGCTGCTTTTTTAATTAGACATGGATTTAACATGCCCCAAACTTTTCTTCTTTTTTTGCAGAGAGAGGCAATACTAAGGATGACGGTCCTGTGAGCCCCAAACACCTCCTAGCCTAAGGACCTCCAATGAATCTCGCCTCTTCACAACCCCCTGATGACTCGGCCAAGTGAGCAAACATGGCTGTTTGTTCCACAAATAATTTTTTTTTGGGGGGGGCGAACTTCTGCATTGTCAGGAAACTTAGGTGATCCACACTGAACAATGACAGTTATCAGGGGATCCTGATTATCACGGTCTACTCCCGCCACAGATTCCTGAAGGGAGTCTCTCTAACTTTGGGATATAAGTATGGAAAAAGAGCTCTGCTGGAGCAGCCAAAGGCCCACGGAGTCCAACGTCCTCTTCTTCCGGGGGCCGACAACACCCTCCCCACTTGTGATTCTCAGCAATGGGCATTCAGAGGCATCTCCCCCCCCCCCTACTCAAGAGCACAGGTGAGAAACAGGGTCATCCTCCATGAACTTGTCCTAAGGCCAGCCAAATTCGTGGCTACAGTTATCTTTTGTGGCAGCAGATCCCACTGTTTAAGGATGCAGCCTGTGAAGAAGTCCTTTCTCATGTCAGTCCTGAATCTTTAAAGGTATTTTTTAGCCGGGGGGGGGGAGCAGTCAGGGGGAGGTATCGGCTGTGGCCCTTGCCATAGCACAGTGGCCCCCGGCAGCTGCTGAAGAAGGTCAGGGGCCAGCAGCACCCAGAGCTCTTCTCAAACTGCAAGCATCACCCAGCAGATTTCACCAGCCTCCTTTACCTGGCTCTGGTTCCTGCAAGAACATCTTTCCCCCCTTTTCCGTTTGGAAGGAAAGGTCCAGTTTGGGAATCAGAAGCCCCTCTGGGGATGGGAAGAGAGAGAGAGAATGATTCTTATTTGCAGAATCTGGATCCAGATAATATTCCTGGAATTTAGTCTATTCTGGACACTGGACACATTCCTTTTTGACATTTTCATCCCCCTTCTTAAAAAAAAAGAAAAAAGCAAGAGATAAAAATGTAAAGAACAACAGAAAATTAAACAGTTATATACTGCTGTGCTACAACTTGTATTTATTTCTTACTTGATTGGCATGCAGAACAGGGCTTATGAAGTAGGGATACTTATTTTGGTTTGTGGTTTTCAGTGAGTATAGACTTATGGACTAAGTTGTTGAATTTTTATCTCCTTATATAAGAATTAAAAAGAAAAATAAACAGATTGTTTTCATAAACAGTATCCCAGTAGAGTGCATTTAAATCATTCAGTACACACAGATGTACGTGCGTGGATACATACATTCACCCAAAAGACAGATTTTTATTGTTTATGGGACACAACCTAGCCAAAATTAAGCATCTTTTAAATCCCACTAATTTCAAAGGGAAGAAACCTAAGCTGCACTCCCAAACTATGTTTATTGGGGGTAAGACGCACTGGAGACACAAGACTTGCCTCTGAGTAAACATGCTTGAATCGTATCTAGTGGGCCCTGGTAGAGTTGAGTATGAAAAGAAAGTGCTGCAGTTTCCCAGTGGGGCTGACCCCTTGGAAACACGCTTAGGATTGCAGCCTGAAATGTTTGTGGGGTTTGCTGCAATTCTCACCCCACCTACCTGGGAGAAAGCACCCCTGGAACTTACTTCTGAGTAGACCTAGTTAGGGAACCTTCAACCCTCAGATGTTGCTGAACTACAAATCCCATCATCCTTGGCCATCGGCCATGCTTGCTGGGACTGAGGGGAGATGTGGCTCAGCCCCACCTGGAGGACCATAGATTATCTCCTCTGAAAGGCTGTTCCTTACCCAGAGAGCCCACAATGCCACAGTTCTCCTCTTTGACTTGCCAGAACATCGTCCTCTGGCCTGGCTGTGTCAGGGATGCCTCCTCCTTGCCAAAAGGCCCCTCCTTCTCCTTGGCGCTCGCTGGGCCCTGAAACAGCCAAACATCCCCCACTCAGGTTCTGCTGTTCCGGAAAACACCATTTAAAGATGGATGCCAAGACCCCACACACTACCAATTTCGCAATGCCAAGCCATGTAAAATAGCAGCCCCCAGTCCCATCCCTAAGCAGCTGCTGAGAGACAGTGTAGTGTAGTGGTTAGAGTGTGGGACCAGGACCCGGGAGGCCAGGGTTCAAATAAATCCCCTCTTGGGCATGAAGCTCACTGGTGACCTTGAGCCAGTCACGGTCTCTGCCTAGCCCACCTCACAGGGTGGTTATTCTGGGGTTATAAGAGGAAGGGGAGAACCTGGAGCTCCTTAGCATAAAGGCGGGATATAAAGCACTCCATTGTGGGCCCCATTTTATGGAACTCCCTTCCAGGCTGTGGTCAGACAGGCCCTTCTCCCTGTTGAACCTACTGAAGACATCATCATCATCATCACCATCATCCTAGCAGGCTTATTTTATATAAGCCAGTCACAGGCTCTGTCTAGCCTACCTCACAGGAAATTATTTTATAATTTCCACTCTTTTTCATTGTACGGAATACTTTGTGCACTGCTTAGAGACAATGGCAATCAAGCTGTATAGAAACGGTTGAGACAAATTAAACGGGGCTGGGGAAGTTGCTCAGTGATGCAGCAAATGCACTCTGCACATGCTCAGGTGCTCTCTGATCCTTAGCTGGCCGTTACATTTGCCCTGCTCAAGGCCTGCCTCTAACCTTGGCTTCCCTCAGGATAACCTTCACTTACCTCAGTCAGCCCAGCTTCAGCCATTTCCAGTCCCTCAGGAGGAAGCAAGGAACAGGGGTGAATTGGGAGCGTCGTTCCGTTGGCTGTGAGGGACAGAAGAGAGGAAGACAACTGGCTCAGGGACAGGGCACAAGCATTGCCTGAAGATCCCGCTCTCCATCCCTGAGACCTCCAGTTAAAAAGCAGCAGTAGCAGATGATGGCAAAAGTCCTCTGCTGCAAGACCCCCTGAGAGATGCCACCAGTCAAGACTGGGAGTTTGGCCAGGTCCTTTGCGGACTTATTTTCTGGGTTCTGTGGTGCTTCAAGCAGGAGCAGATACACATCTTGGGTGGCATTCAATGAAACGTACGCCAACTGGAGGTTTAGGACTAGCACAATGAGACTTTGTCCCCTTCCTGCCCTTCCTGCACACCCAGATCTGCTAGGGAAGGTCAGGGGGAAACCCCAGAACAGATTTGGGGAGAGGAGAGGGGGAGAATGTTCCGCCACACAAGGAAGGCTCTTTAGAGTCTCAGGAAAACAAGGATGTCCATCCCATTCAGGTGCCAAGTTGACAGAAACAACGCACAGAGGGAGGTGTTCTGAGAGTCCGATATGCAATTAGGACATTCCATCACGTCTGGATCCACCAAAATCTTGAACCCTGCTGTACGGTCCTCTGGGAAGACCCTCCTCCCACTGCCCTGCAGGAGTTTTATCCAAGTAAACATTTAAACAAAGCCTTACCCGGCAAAAATCATGTCCTCAACTCGCCATTTTTCGAGTGCTGTGGTATCCACGCTAGCTTTGTCTCTCGGGACGTTGTCTCGGATGATAGGCTCATTACTGTCATCCAAGGGCCTGGTGGGCGTGTCTCCTGAGACCGGTATCTTGCAAACACAGGCGAGGAAAGTCCAGCATGCTGCCTTAAGCAAAGTCCCTCAGCTGGCATCCTAATTTCCCTAGCAGAATGGCTTTGTGCAAGGAGACGGCTCAGAAACGTCCATAGAATCATAGAATCATAGAGTTGGAAGAGACACAAGGGCCATCGAGTCCCAACCCCTGCCAAGCAGGAAACACCATCAGAGCAACTCCTGACATATGGTTGTCCAAGCCTCTGCTTAAAGACCTTCCAAGAGGAGACTCCACCACACTCCTTGGCAGCAAATTCCCACTGTCAAACAGCTCTTACTGTCAGGAAGTTCTTCCTAATGTTTAGGTGGAATCTTCTTTCCTGTAGTTTGGATCCATTGCTCCGTGTCCGCTTCTCTGGAGCAGCAGAAAACAACCTTTCTCCCCTCCTCTATATGACATCCTTTTATATATTTGAACATGGCTATCATATCACCCCTTAACCTCCTCTTCTCCAGGCT